TATGTATTTATTGACTGAGTGGCAGAGCTGGAAATATTTGGCTCGAGGTTATGACCTGCGTACGGAGAGCAGTGAAAACCGGTTTTTCGAATTCGTGACCAAGAGCCAAATATTTTCCCATTCGGCCCGACCAAATTCAGTCGATAAGAATGTTATTAAATAACCACGTCGAACACATGTGCGCGCAGAACAATCACTAAAAAAACGAAGCTAAAGTAAAAACGTTTCGTTTATTTTTTCGAGTCAGAACAAGAAACTCACCATTCAGTGAAAAACGCGAATTTTTTTACTCTTTTATTTTTCCTTTAAGTCTTTTTCAGCAAAGCCATGTGAGTGCACGGCTGACGGCTTTTTCAAGACCGGCTGACCCAAAGCCGTCCGGCCTTTCACCCGTCAGCTTTCATTTTGGTTTTTTTTTGGGATTGCGCACCAGGGCCGTAAAGGCCTCCCCAGGATTCTCACAAGGAGTTCTGTGAGCACAACGTGTTTCACAAGGTCCAGAGAAGCTCAGTTTGAAAACATTAATTTCTTTTTTAAAACTTAATTTAACCTTGTAAAATATAAATCGCTTATATTATCGCTTCGTGCAGTTAATAAGCCCAGCACCGAATCTTTGTGAATCCTTCAGAAACAGATTTCCGGCTCCATGTCTCCTGATCGACGCGGTCGCTGTTCGTCACTCTATACAAATCGGCATGTTTTGAAAATATTGAGATGGCACAATTAGTCTATCATTTCTATTAAATTATTATTCTCTTAAATGGGTCGGTTATTTGAAAAGAGTTTAGCCATTGTTCAACAAAACCGCGTACTAACTTGGTTTGATTTTGGCAAATCTTAGCATATAAATATTGCTAATTATGAAGAGAACAATGAAGGTATAAAACGCAGACTAGAAAATCATTTAGCTGCCCAAAATAATGCATTTACAAACAGGTTAATTGACGACAGTCAAAGGCATTTATTACACTTAAAACTTGGCAAATAGTCTGTCAGTTAATGAAAAAAAAGTATATTAGATATATAATTATTTTGTAAACTCCGTCAGATCTGAAAAAAAAAAAAAAAAGATGACGTTCCCGTGGTGAGCAGGAATCGAACCCCGCACCGCCGATTTAGAGAGCGCAAACGCTACCAATGTATTACACGGGCTAACAAATTTAACAATATAGATTTAATAATGCCTCGGAGACTAGCAGAACAGACAAACACGGCGAGAACACACTTAACCCTCAACGAAGTAGTAATTTGCTATGCATCATACAGGTTCGCTCTTATTATTTTTAAAAGGTTTCGCTTGCTACCTTCAAAAGTTCATGCACGATTTCATATGCAGAGGGCTTTGCTCGTTTGGCCCGTGTTTTGGAAGCTGTTATAAGAAAATGCGAAATTCGAAAATGAAGACAAAAACTCAAACATAGTTTTAAATGATGGACAACAAGTCGAGATATTCCTTTGTTTTTAGCGATTTAGCCACCGAAGTTGCACCGGATATTGAGTATCGTATCGGCTGGGCGTATCGGTGAGCTAAAAAGTCTTTCAGAGTAGGACGTACTTCAATGTACAAATCGAAAGCAACTTTAACTTTAAGAGGCGTGTCATAAAATTGGCAAGGTCACCGTATGATATCGTGCAAAGTTGCAAGCAAGATCTGAACACGTTCCTTTGTTTCTACCGTGCGAAGCAAGACAATGGCTGCGAAGTAAATAAGGGAAATAACTAACACGCAGCTAACGTGTTAAAAGCTGGTAGTTCTTTTGTTTTAGCCTGCAGCGTGCCGTGTGCGTGCGTTCACCTTATTCCCTGAAATCCCTTGGAGGGTCACGTATGATAAATTGATACATGCCATGTTTCTTTCCATGAAAATCTAATCTAACAAACGAAAACTTATCAGCTTTAAAAACACGGATTTTTTATCAAGCGATGAATGGCGAAAACTGAGATTCCTGAATCAGGTGATCGCACCAACTTTACGATCTTAAGCTAAAACATTTAGTAAACGTTCTCGCTGGTTGGTAAAATTGCCAACAACTAGACTCTGAATCTAGCTTTATTCTTGACGTGGCCGAAAATCTAATTTGATTTAACTAATTTACTCTTCTTTACGTTACCGAACTTTCAAGAACAGTCCTTATTACAACTGAGACAGTTGATATGTACACCGAATGTCAAACTGAGCGTATGACACAATAAACTTGCATTGTGTTGTACTGTATTTTTCGTGTTGCTTTCATTTCAACCTGAGTAAGCTGACCTACATTTGAGAGAATTGTGAAATATTTAAGACGAGTGAAGGCAAGTCAAATTTAGTTTCCCTTGGTTTGTTAGAAGTTCAGTTGCCGCAGATTTATACTATTCGGAAATTATTGACGGACTTCTGCGCTCCTGTGGCCAATTGAGTATTTTAGTTTCCCCCAGATGATTATTCGGTCAATCACAATTGTTACCAGAGCAAAGTGAAACATTACACTATAAACCATGAAGCAATGGTAACAATTGCATCGGGTGAATATGGAGGTGGTTGGCATCGACTGCGAACGGCCATCTCCAATATTTAGGAAAGTGACCATTATCAGCATAGTGAGCAAAGTACCAACCGGGATCAATGACAAACATCCCTGGGATAACTTATTCAATTTTTTTCTCTTGCTATTGTACCTTAAATATACCGCGAAGGTCATCGCTTTTAACAGGCGAAGGCCAAATTAATTTACGGGAATCTACCTCCAGTTTTACTTAACACGTTTCCTTGGCAAGTGTTTTCCGCTTTAGCTTCAGCATGTAGGTATTGAACCCAAGCGATGTGTTCAGGATACGACTGTTGGACCGTAGCGGGTTTTCTTTGCATCTGAAAAAACATCTTAGTGCGCTGTTTGAAGCATAACCACGATAAACTATGATTTATGAAGTGTGCTATTCGAAAAGAAATTATTTGGTTTTCGCTTGATCTAATCGTAAACCGAATGGGGCGCGCGACAATTTGAAATGGACGATGTTTGTTTGAGTGAATTAATCGCATATCAAATCTAACCGCACAAATAAAACTTCTGAACGATCTCAATCCGAAGCAGTTGGTCTTCAAAGCCGTGTGGGGATTTTTCGATATTCGCATTGGTTACTTTGCAGTTCGACCGCCTGTAGCCTACAGAGGCGGCCTGCAGAGTCTCGGAAGACTCAGAAAAAACACTTTACGGGTAGCTTTGAAACAGTTACCAGTGACAGGACTTTAGTCCTGCTAAACGGTAATTTTGATTTCAACTCTTTTCATTTTCAACTGAAAGCGGCTTAGGCACGCCGCCGCAAAACTTAATAGTTGCTGATCGAGTGCGAGGAGCGAAGATTGCCCAAACCACGAGCCTGTATCCGTTTCGGTGAGATTCTTACGCCTTTCTGCTTCGAATATCTTTAGATCTTGTGTTGACAGCCAGACTTCTTGTTTAGTTTCACCTATGAACTCTTCTCCTTTTTATGTTTCTCTATTCAAATTCTAGTTTTAAACGCAGATAGCATAGATCTTCACTTGCAGCCGAAATAAGGAGACGTTAAGACGATTGGAATTTATGGATCAGGATTTTTTGCCGCAAAAGGAAACCCATCGGTAGTCATAGATATTGACATGTTATAAATGGCTATTCACACTTTGCCGGGTAAAGAATTCTCTTCCAAAATACGTTATTGTAAATAACTCGTGCGCGTTTTTAATATTTTACCAAAAGTTTTCTTGGAAACTATAGTTAAAATGATAATGTTTAGTTCGACATGGAAAAAAACTGGCCCTCGAAAGTCTACCACATCCTTCAGTGCTATGGTCGATCCGCCCCATGTGTGCACACTTGACTTTTTCTCGCGCATGAATTACAATAGCTTATATTTACATAATCAATAATATTGTTTATGTTATTGAGTAATACAGAATTTTTGCTTGGTGCAACTAGAGAAAATGTTAAATGGGACGAATAAACGAGAATGGTCTAAGAATAGGAAAAGATTCAGAAGGTCGCACGAATACTGGCAATTTCCTTCAGGTTTTGGGTTAATTTAGGCTGGTATATTGAACTGAGAGTTTACCTATGTGTAATGCATTAATCATATGGATAACAATCGATCTTTATATCGCTACTTTGGCTTTTATCGTCCGCTGTGGTCATCGGCGAAAGCAAAATCTGATGAGAGAAAGCCTCTCCGATAAACTTAAGTGTTTGTATTCATGGGCAACCTCCTTTTTGAAAAGACCGAGTTAATATTTTTATTGGCTTAAGCCGCGTTAATGAAAGTCATGGAAACAGTGTTTCCTTTTCAAGGGTCAGGATAAGGCTTTTCATGAAATGAAATGAATGGTATGACCACCGGTAACCAATCCAGACCATATTACGAGACTCCAGGATTTTATACAACCATACACCAATAACTTGTTTTCGAGGGCACAATTGGCGTGGGTGTTCTTCAGGAAGCTTGTGGAGTCTATGACGTAACCACTAGAAGCCAATCCAGGCCAAACAGCAGTATCCTCGTTTGACCAAGCATTAGAATGGTCATCACCGGGATGTTAAGTAAAGATTTGCTAAGTTTCAATTGGGAAGATGCACCTGCCTAAGTTAGAAGACGAGCCGATCAAGCTTTCTATGGTTATAGCGATAACTCCTACCAAGCTCTCAGGGAACGAAACGACTTTGAACTTGTAAAAAAAAGAGGATATTTGGCAATACCTGGAAAGTCTAATTAAAAATTGACCTTCATTAATTTTAGATTAATAAAGAGCTTAAGGAGAATCCATTTGGTAAGGCGGCGTTTAGTGTTTCATATTCCGCTTTGTTCTGTATTATTGTTGTGCACATGTGGACTAAGAAGTCCTTCCCACGAGAGTCTTAAATCAGTAGTTAAATAAGGGGTCAGATTTCCCTCTGCACTTATCTTCCTCCGATTTCATGAAAGGTTAAACTTCGGGAAGAAACAGTTCTTCCAGGACACCTTGTTCATTTGGACTGAGCTTCCAATTTGACATGGCAAATTTATCTTTGGCTTGTTTTACAAACGCTTCAAACATCACCGATAGAGAAGCAGATGTCCTATCGGTCGCTGGTTCTATAATCATAATCATTATCAACACCATCACTTTTCCCTTCACAGTTCTGCTGAATCTCCTGGTGATAAAAGCTGTGAAAACAACGCCTCGACTCCAAACCAACAGCAACATCTTGCTAGCCTGTTTAGCGGTGACTGACGCCTTAACTGGTCTCCTTTGCCAGCCATTGTTTATCCTGTGGAGAATATTCCTATTATTCGGTCTTAGTAATAGTGACACGGTTGAACTTTTCTTTTTCACATTTGTAGCTGTAATTGTAACAGCTTCATTCTTTCATATGATGTTGGTTACGTTCGAGAGACTCATAGCCATCAAATTTACGATGCAATACTCAAACATTGTTTCCTATAATAACCTGAAGATAGCAGTGCTATCGATTTGGATCCTTTCTTTAATCAAAGGGATTCTAAGAATGACTATCTACATAGTATCCTTTTATTTAACATCGCTTATCATTATTTCAAATATTCTTTTTCTTTTTTTCACTTACTTCACCATCTATCGAGAGACACGTCGGCACCAACAAAGGATGAAAACTCAACAACTTCCACAAGATGTAGCAGAAAGGTTTGTCAAAGAGAACAAGGCGCTTAAGACAACTGTGTTTATAGTTGGTGCTGCTACTGTTTGCCTTCTGCCAATTTGTTTTTGTTTTATCGTAACAGTTACAGGCGTCTATGGGATTTGCCCCATCAAAGTACGATGGATGGTAACATGTGCCTTGTTAAACTCGCTTTTTAATCCTCTAATTTACTGCTGGAGACAAAAGGAAACGAGAAAAGTCATTTTTGGACTAAGAAACCAGGTCGTGAATGTAGATATCCAGTAAAGGATGGGAATGTAAAGAAAGGATTACAACTTCATAACTACGCGTGTAAAAATTTTTCTTACGTCTTTTCCAGCAACTGCATAATAATAAATGTCAATTAAGCTTTTGATCACGATAGATGATTGTCAGCCGCATGGAAAATTAAAACGTTATTTGTAATAATTATTTTGATGCAATATTTGTTTGTCAAATTAAAGGAAACGCTTTCTTTCTGTTCAATGTTTCTAAATATTAACTAGGGGATATTTTCTAACTTCTTTGTTTGTGTTTCGCTAAAAGTAAGCGTAAGCTTAGTATTGAAAAATAAACCTCGGGTCTCACATTTTTCCAGTGGTTGTTTAGAAAAACTTCGATTCACTTTAGGGTTTGTGTGTTTCCACTTACCTTTTTCGTGCACATGAATTACGGTAATTCTTAATTCATGAGGTTGTTGATTTTGTTGGAAATAAGTTTGGTTGGACTTGAGAAAGCTAAAATATGGAGGAAAAACTCAAAAGAGTCGTTTGAGGGAATATCACCTTTTCACCGCACTCAAATTACTATAAATCGTTATATCGCCATGATTAATGAGAAAATAGATAAAATAAGTGATTTTAGTCTAATTGATGTATAGTTCCGTTAACTTAGCATGAGTTAACGAGTTATTGTTAATTTGCGAGCTTCAATGAAAGTACTCTCAAACAAAAATTGTCCTCATCATATAGTAAAACAAACACCAAATTTCCACCATGAACAATGAAGATATCTCTTAACTAGATATTCCAAAGTGTTATCAATCGTAAAAAAATTCCAACAAACTTCTTAAAATGGGAAAACAAAGTTTTCTTAATGTAAATTTTGCTTGCATCACAAGCATCAATTTTCAAAAAATAACAATGCATTGTTTTTCTGTGTTTTCGCTTTCAACAAAACAATAAAACTGAGGCCGATATCAAATTAATTGAAATTTCTAATGGTAGTCCTAAAACGAACCGAAAACGGTGAGCTTTAAACTCACAGTGATTTATCTATAGATGGTAATAGAAAATTTGCGATGCACATACTTGTCCGTAAACCCTAGGACTATTGTTAATAATATCAAACAAAAATTGATATGAAATAATATGTAATCATTAACTGAGTGGGAGGGCTGGACGGGATAATATTTGGCTCGAGGTTATGACCTACGGGCCGAGCGCAACGAGATCCTTGCTTCGTGACTGACAGCCAAGTACTTTCCCATCCGGCCTGACGAAACTCAGTAAATAAGAGTTTTGTCAAATGACCACCTCCAAGACAGGAAGAAATAGACGGGCGCACGACAACCAATGAAAAGATTCAACAGTAAAAACGTTTCCTTGGTTTTTTTGAGTCCGGACAAGAAACTCACAATTCAGCGAAAAAACGCGAATTTTTTACTCTTTTAGCTTTTCTTTAAGTTTATGAAACAAAGCCGTGTGAGTGCAGGGCTGAACGGCTTTCATGTCCGGCCCTAAACACGTCAGTTTTCACATTGCCTTTCCATGGAATTGCACACCGGAGCCCTAAGGATCATTTGTCATGTTGCTTCCAATGCAAATCTAATATATGCTGTACCACTCACTTGCTCGTTGAATCAAAAATCATGTGCAATACGGTTTTCGTAGATAATCACTGATTGGCAAAGCCTACATTTGCGGTATTGTTTCAACGTATTGTTGTTAGTGAGGTGGCCTTCCCACAAGGGGCGGTTTCTTGAGGTCTCTTCGCCTTATAACTGATCTAAATCCATTGAACATAATTCTTAAAAAAGGCAAATAAAAATGATGATAATGATGTTGACTGTTTTCAACACAGTGAATGCGACTTTATGTTTGAATCGCTTAACAGGAAACGTTTAGTTACTGTTAATTTTTTTCAAGATAACAACTACCTCCTTTTGTCTTCTCAAAGTTATTTCTTGTTGTTTAGTTTTTTCCTGAAGCTTTGAGGCTTAATGCGAATAAATGTCTAGGAATTGCATCTTTTCTTTAGCTCGAAAGTCAAGGAGCACAAATAATGCCATGCAATGTTTGAGCCTATTGGACAGCTACTACAGCATTAGCTTGTAACCTTTCTAATCGAAAGGCAGTATATAATATTATTATTATTATTTTATTATTATTATTATAGTAAATATATGAATATGAAAGCGAGCTTGTTAGCTCAGTTGGCAGAGCGCTGCACTGGCATCACAGAGGTCATGGGTTCAAATCCAGTTCAGGCCTGATTTTTTTCCAGACACCTAAATTTTCACTACTGCTCAAGTAGTGTTCTTACTACGAAGATCGCTTTCATGATCGTTTCTTAATGCGCAGTTCGTATGAATGATTTTCATATATTTACAGTCATTTATTCATCGTTCCACGGGTTTATTTGAAACCAGCATAATGACCAGCTCCCATTTGGCCTATTAGCTCAGTTGTAGAGCGCTGTACCGGTATCACTGAAGTCATCGCGTACAGGCCTGAGTTTATTTCAGGCCCTATTTTCACTGCTGTTCAAGTAATGTACTTACTGCGAAGATCACCTTCATATTCATTTCGTAACCTGCAGTTCATATGTATGATTTTCAAATATTAAATCGCATGAAAGAAAGCAACGAAAACGATACATGAATACGACAAGGCCCGTTATCTAACGTATATCGGAAAGCTGAGTAAATTTTCAGCATTCTAAAAATCCAAACAATGAAAGATAAGACTTAACTACTAACGTTGCTCTCTTCATGAGGATAAAAGTTACAATTTTTGAGTATTGAATAGTAAATGTAATCACTGCGCACGAGTCTCTTGAAAGTAACCAGCATCAGATGAACACATGACGCCAGTACCATCAGTGCCGTAACATACGGGAAATGGAAATTTTAAACTTTTTCACTGTTACTGAGACCAAATAGTAGGGAAATCCTCCACAGAATCGAAGATGGCTGGCCAAAGAGACCAGTTAATGTGTCAGACACCGTTAGACAGGACAGTGAGATGTTGCTGTTGGATTCGGAGTCGTGATCTTGTTTTCAAAACTATATCACCAGTACTTTAAGGAGAACTATTAAGGGACAAGTGGTGGTGTTGATGACGATGGTCATAAAATAACTGACCACCAATAGGACATCTGCTGTGCCACCTTCTTCACTGGTTAAATTTGTAGCCTTTGAAAACTATCCAGGGAAAAATTTGCCATGTATAATTGGAAACTTAATGCAACTAAACAACCGTTTCTACCTGACGTTTACCATTACATAATACGGAGAAAGTCAGGTTTAATTTTTCATCTCCTGGGAATAACTAGAGAGTCCACATATGCACGACAACAATACACTACAAAACTGAATCGGAAACGCTTAAGTTCGCCTAATCAGATAAATTTCTGTCAGTCTCTGCCTATAAATAAATCTTAATCCAAAAGTGACTGAAACCCATTTTTAATCCCATCTTACTTATACTGTGAAATTGATTTTTAAAAGTCCAGAATCGTTTCAGCCCAAGAGAGTCCATTCAATTGAAGTTGTGGCAACAACAAGTAATGTCTTGATTGCCTTTTCACATAACATGCTCTAACTTCAGGAAATTATTTCGCTTTCCATGGCTAGATAAATGTTTCGTGCACGTTTAACTCATTAGTTTTCGTCCGTCAAATAAAATTTTGTATTAAAAAGAGAAAATATCAACTCATGATCCTTTGACATCTATTGTGCTTTGGCACCATGGGCTTAAAGAAAGTATTTGCATTACTGCTTTTTCATGGTCCGTTAAATCATTCGAAAGTTTAAATTTTACTTATACAGCACAAGGCCTCGCAATTTGACTCATTACACTAAGCCAGGATGCAGGAATTAGAAAGTAAACTGATTTGAATACATGTTGAGCGCAACCGCTCAGAAAATTATGAAAATTATGAAAGTTTTTACTTTTAGGAATAAGGTTGAATTAAATAAATAGCAATAAGATTAAGCAAAAGGATAATGTTCAATACCGTTTTAAAACGAGGAAATAACTTTTACATGCCACATGGATTGATTGAGTTTGCAAGTGATGTGAGCCAATCACTCGTGTAATTTCATCGGTTCACGATGCATTTTGCGGCAGCTGGAAGCAAGGGTTTTTTACGGAAACACCAGAAAAATTTTGATGGGTAAAAAGTCTCGAACGTACGGAACAATTCGATATGTTTTGTGCAAACCACACTTTTACTGAACATCGACTTAAAACGTTCCTTAGGTCGTCGCTTTCACGGTCCTAATTTTCATGCTCACGTAACGGACCACATGCACGCTTTTAGCTCTATCTTTTTCCCCTTCAATGATCCATTTTAATTTCTCCAATTTACAGGAGATAATTTGTACACCAAATTTATGCAATAAAATATAGGTCACCGTGCTCGTTCAAGAGCTGAAGACCATCTTACCTCTTTACCCGGTCCATTGATTGAAAAACAATAATGCGCGCGCGATTACTCGCCTGATTACTTTTTAGTTTTTATTTCCAGTACATGATGTGCAGTGAAATATTAAAGAATCACCTTCAAAGTTATTTCCTCGTTTTCGGTCCTCGCGGGAAGCTAGGCTGTTTATTGCAATTACTACCCATTATATTCAACCTGTTTCCTTACAGCGAAGCATCACTCTATCAAAGGAAAAGAGAAATGTAAAATAGATTTCAGAGGTATGTTTCCCATAGGTAACCGATTTAATTTCCATACTTAAGATTAAGGCATTCTCTTTCCTGGATAATACGATATGTTATCAATTAATCGCAAACCATAATTAAAGAAACTCTTACAGCCTTCGCAAACGGGTGAAACAACATTTTCTTCATGCGTATTTCGTTTGCATCATTTGCCTCATTAGCAATCGTTCAAAAACTATTCATAATTTTCTGAGCGGCTGCGCTAAATATGTGTTTATTTTTTTTTACCTTATTGCTCTCCTATCTTTGTTTCATTGATTTGAATTACGGAATACTGCGAGGAAAAGTGGGAGGTTTACGCCCAAGGCAAATTGTAAAACCACGGCACGGAAGATCATGGGACCGGTGTCAAATCATTTGATATTTTTAATGAATCTTTCTTGAGGAACCTTAAACGGTGAGCTTTAAACTCAAATTGATTTACATATCAATGGCCATGAAAAAGCCGCGAAATTGATGTCAAACTGAAGAATTGGTATATGTTTTTCTTTCAATGCAAATCTAATCTAACGAACGAAAACTAATCAGTTCATGAAACACGAACCACTTATCAATCAATCGATAGCGAAAAATAATCCTCAGAAATTAAGTGATTTTTTTTTTCTTCACGTACTTTTCATCACGTTCGGTCGAGCTCTCAAGCGCTGAAACTATTTTTTGGCAATACCTGGAAAATCTAATTAAAAAATGACATCAATCACTTTAGGAATAGGGTTTATTAATGGCAGAGCTTCAGGAAAATCCTTTTGATTAGGCGGCGTTTAGCGATTCTGATTCAGCTTTTTCCTACATTGTTGCTGGACACATGTCGAATGAAAAGTTATTCTCAGGAGATGCTTAAACCATTCTCTATTAAAGGCATAAGATTTTCTCTGCCTTTACCTGCCTCCGATTTCATGCCAGAGACAGAACGCCTGCTTAAAAAGTTGTTCTGAGACACATACTTGTCTCGCATATAGCCTCCAAATCGACATGGTAGACGTTTCCTTGGCCAGTTTTACAAACTTTACAAACAAAACTAGCAGAGAAGACGACACAGCAGATGTACCTCCGGTGGCTGGTGCCATAATCATAATCATAATCACCATTAACACTATCACTTGTCCCTGCACAGTTCTGCTTAACGTACTTGTGATAAAGGCTGTGAAAACGACGCCTCGACTCCGTACCAACAGCAACATCTTGCTGGCCTGTTTAGCGGTAACTGATGCCTTAACTGGTATCCTTGGCCAGCCATTCTTTGTCCTTTGGAAGATATTCCTATTATGCGGTCTCAGTAACAGTAAAACGTTTGAAAACTGCTACTATGGAACTGTAATCATGTTGCTTATAGCTTCATACCTTCATCTGATGTTGGTTACTTTTGAGAGACTCGTAGCCATTAGATTTACGATGCAATACCCAAACATTATAACTGAGAATAACATGAAGATAGCTGTGTTAGTAGTTTGGATCATTTCTTCTATTTGGGGGATTTTTGATGCGATGGAATTGGATCTAGCGCTACGTTTTATGTCTGGCTCTGTTACTTCTTCATGTATTGTTTTCCTTTGTGTCGCTTATTTCATCATGTATCGTGAAACACGTCGTCACCAAGAGAAGATAAAAACTCAACAACTGCCCCAGGAAGGAGTGGAAAAATTCACCAAAGAAAACAAAGCGCTTAAGACAACTTTATATGTAATTTGTGCTATTCTTTTTTGCCTCTTTCCACTTTGTTACTGTCTTATAGTTAAAGCTACAGGCCTTTATGCGTCTTGCCCCATCGATCTGTCAGTGATGCAAACTTTTACCATGTTTAACTCGCTTGTTAATCCACTGATTTACTGCTGGAGACAAAAAGAAATGAGAAATGTCATTTTTGGAATACGAACCCAGGTCGCGCATATAAACAACCAGTGAAGGAAGGTAATTTAGAAGAGAGTGTCAAAACCTTTAATACTACACATCTAAACTTTGCCTACGATTCATTTGATATTCGCGTGGTATTAAACTACACTCTATGCTAAAGCCAGACACCTCGGTAGTGGTTATTAAATAAGCCAAAGATCAACTAAATATTTTGCAACAATGCATTGCTATTTTTAAGAGGCCTTGTACAGAAACCCTCTACTATAGCGTGCATGTGTTTCCACTTATCCTTTTCTTGTGCATCAATTAAAGTCATGATTCTTATTAATTGTGGGTAAATTAATGCGTTTGTTAATTTTTATTTGAAAATAATAAAAGGTAACAGGTAAAATAGGGTAAAGAAAACCCAAAAGAGTTGTGCGAAGGTACATCGCCTTTTTTTACCCCATTAAAGTGCTCGTGACACGATACATTTTTTGCGTAAACATTTAGCTTATAATTCCAAACCAATTCCGATGGAAGAAAAATTTCCAAAAACTTAAAAATCGGTATTTTCAGGTCCTAAAATGCTCTTATTTTGTCTTAAAAGTGTCCCGTGGACTGGTAACGAATTAGCGGGTGATGTCGTAGAAAACTGTGAAAACTCTCAGTTGACACTTATAAATCTCTAACATTCTTGCAATTTTGTATCAGTCAGCGTTGAAATACTCTTGAAATAATGTCCGATAGCGATGTCCACCTACTTTCAGCAAGCTCTTCTCAAGAAGTAAAGAAGAAATGGAAGGTGCAAGTATAGTTCAGCCCTACGAAGGAGAACCGCGTGTATCAAACAAAGATTTTGACGAAGAGCGACAAAGACGGTTTCTCACCAGCGGTGTTCAGGTCAAGATCAGAACAAAAAAGCTCCCGTTACTGAATGTTTTGTTTGTTGCGTTTTTGTTTTCTTTTCTATGTTAAGAATAGGTAACTATGTTAGTTTCTGTTTCCATAACATTTTATTCCCTCGCACTATGTGCGGCGAAGGTTTCCCTTACTTAGTGCTCTAGAGTTTCGTTGCTGTAGAGTAATTCCCTTAACAAACCAAAAGCTGACCTTTGACGGAAAAATCAGCTTTATCACGAGGTACGATGATTTTTCACCAAGAAGTCATCGGGCAGTTTCACTGCAAGTTGCTCCTTTCCTCAGAGATTGGAAAGACAGAGGTAATCTTCCGGTCAAACGGAAAACGAGTGAGTTTATAGTCAACTGATTCAAGTTAATCTCAAAAAGGGAAAAAAAAGAAACTTCCCTAGTTTAAGCACAGCATTGCCATATGACGCATTTCGCTCAACAGTAAATAACTTACATCAGTATTGTAAAGGAATATTTCGTACGCATCGACTGCCACGCAGCACTTGGATTCGCCACCATCTAATTTAAAAAAATAGTGCTGTTATCACATTGACATTGCTACTGTTGTTACTTTTAGTATCTTGAGGGCAGGAAGGAACTGATCGCATGATGGCTCGTGGGACGGATTTTCGGAAACCTAGGTTACAATAATATATGGCCCCTTCGAGCTTGTGTTTATGCCAGTATCCGCCAGAGGTTTCGCACCGTTTACGCAACAGGATATTAGTCAGCTCAGGAAAGGGCGCGAACTTTGATACAAATGATGTATTTCTGTTATTAAAATATATAAGAAAAGTACAAATGTAGTCATGTGGAAAAACAAGGAATATGATTACATCTCAAGCGCGTGAGATAAACAACAGTAAGGACCTCACCATTCTTCGCTTGCGAAATGTCAACCAAAAGGAATGCTGAACAATCGTGTAGGGTGTGAGAACAGGCCCCTTTGATCAGCATTATTTTTAGCTGAAGTCATTGGTTATCTTCCCCGGATTTGAATGGTGGTACATGTTCGTAACAGCCCTCTTGGAAGCCGGTACGCAGCATAAGGCCGACGACATTGAAGAGTAAAATCTTCTCGATGTTGACGATCGAAACGCATCCATCTTGGAGTATATAGGAAATCCCCGGTATACCGGTATACGTGTAGTATTCTTGAAGCTAACATCATTTGGCGCCCCGGACATGCAATACGATCTTTCTTTCTTCTAGATTTCTTCTTTCTACACCGTAGTTGCCGACATGTGACTCGATCGTTTTGGCCGCGCGTTTAATGGGGGCGCTTTTTGACCGCCAAATCGTACTTTCAATGCACCAAAAAAATGGTCAAGGATAACTTGCTAGGTCGGTTATTACTAATCTTAAATACAGCTATCATCTAGAAATGACAAAATTTCGTGTCATAGGCACTTTAAATTTACTGTGAATCGTGCGGAAATGAATGTTTCTACTGTTATTGCGGATGTAAAACTCAGCAAAACTAGAGCGAATAACCAATTTTATTGTAAATGATGTAAGCTTCAGTAAAAGAACTGACAGACCGTTATTTTTCTCTGTTTATCTTACGATCTCAAGCTAAAACATTGGGTAATCGTTCTCGCTATTTGGTAAAATTGCTGACAACCAGATTCTGAGTGTATTTTTATTGTTGACGCTGCCGAAATTTAATTTTATTGATTTTGCATTTCTTTACCGAACTTTCAAGAACTGTCCATAACACCGCTGAGACCTCTGATATGTAAACCGACTGTCACACCGACGCAATAAACTTGCATTATGCTGTATTGGATTTTTCATGTTGCTTGTTATTTGATCTAAGTAAGCTGACCTACGTTTAAGAGTATTTTGAAACATTACATACGAGTGAAGGCAAGCAAATGTCACGTAGTTTCTCTTGGTTTGTTAGAAGTCCAGTAACCGCAGATTAATGCTGTCCTGAAATTATTGACGGACTTCTGCGCTTTCGTAGCCAAGCGAGTGTTCTAGTTTCCCCTGTATGATCATTCGGTTAATCACTTTACAATCGTTGCCTCAGCAAAGTAGAATATTACTCTCTTAACCATGAAGCTATGGTAACATTTAGATCGAGTGAATATGGAGATGGTAGGCATCGACTGCGAACGGTCATCTTCAATATTTAGGCAGATAAGATTAGCATAGTGAACTAAGTGCCAACCGACATCAATGCCAAACATCTCTGGGATAACTTATTCAATTTTTGCTCTTGCTATTGTACATTACATATACCGCGAAGGTCGTCGGTTTTAACAGACGATGGCCAAATTAACTAACGTTCCTCCTTTACTAAACACTTGTTTCCTTTGCAAGTGTTTTCCGCTTTAGTTTCAGCAAGTAAGTATTGAACCTAAGTCAAGTGCTTAACTCTTTTGAAATTGCATTCAGAGAAGCATCAGGTGATCATTTTTTTTTAATGACCTTATCCTTTTAAGCTCCTTGTCTCACGTTTCTTTGTTAACGGTTATTTTGATTTTGGTCGTTAAAAAATTGAAATACACTTCAGTTCAATACACCGAGTTCAACATTTTTTCTTTTCATATCTTAAAAGCAGTGCCTCCTACAATGTTATAAGGTGCTACAAACGGTCTCTACATCTCATCAGTTGCCTACAGCCTCAATTTTGGAATTTTTTTTCTTTGTGATGATGTTGTTGTTGTTGTTTTTTTCCTATAGGAGTATTTTTTTTTCAAGGTCCCTCATTCAAGAATATTTCACCACAATTTATGTAAGATAATAACGCATGTTATATAATAAATTTACCATTATGATAGCTGATATACTGTCTGTCGATCAGAAATGTTACAAGCTGTCCAATAGGCTCTAATTGCAGAACATTCAAAAAGAAAATCTTCCCTAACATTGCATGGCATTATATGTGTTCCCTGACCTTAGCCTTTGGGAAACCATACAATTCCTATACACTTGTTAGCATTACTTGGCCTCAAAGATTCAGGAAAAATTCAACAACAAAAAATAACTTTGAGGAGAAAACGCGTAGTATCTAGAAGAAATAAACAAGAATTAGGCGTTTCCTTTGATGCAATAGGAACATAATCGTTGAATTGTGAGTTTCTTGTTCTGATTCGAAAAAACAAAGAAAATGTTTTTACTTTAGAATCTTTTTAGTGATTGTCCTGCGTGCGCCCGTTTTTTTCTTTCTATTTAGCTTGACACAAAATTTTCGAGGTGGTCATTTGGTAAAACTCTTATTACCTGAGTGTGGTCGGGTCGGATGGGAAAATAGCTCTTGGTAACGAAGCAAGGATCACTGTGCTCTCGCTCCGCTTCTTTCTATTTAGCTTGACACAAAATTTTCTAGGTGGTCATTTGGTAAAATTCTTATCACCTGAGTTAGGTCGGGTCGGATGGGAAAATAGCTCTCGGTAACGAAGCAAGGATCTCTCTGCTCTCGCTCCGCAGGACATAACCTCGAGCCAAATATTTTCCCGTCCAGCCATCCCACTCAGTCAATAAATACATAATATTTCACATCTGTTTTTGTTTGACACCTGAGGCTTAAAGACATGAGGGGACGCAAGCGGCCTCAACTGTTAGTACTTTTTAGAAATGTTAGGATATTATCCTAGCATTCCTAACATTCCGAGCTGCGCGAGAGTGTCAAAATCCGTGCGTATGTCAGAAATGTCACTAGACCTAAAGTACGCCAGATGAGGGCGAATAAATATGAGAAGATAAATGAATTAATGCCTGATATCAAAATGTCATCAGCTAATGCTTTTGTTTCACACGCAATCAATAGTGCCTTTATTCCTCGGCCGGTTCCTTTGCGTTACATTGTAGATTATAAAAAGAAAAAAATCCACACGATTTATTTGTTGGAGTTTTGTTTTACGATTGATAGCACTTTGGAATATCTTAATGAGAGGTGGCTTCATTTGTCCATGAAAACAAGAACTGTCTGAGAGTACTTTCAATGAAGCTCACAAAATTTATAATAAAATGGTTAACTCACGCTAAGTTAACGGAACTATACATCAATTAGACTAAAATCACTTATTTTACCTATTTTAGTGAGCCTTCTCATCTATTCATGGTGAATTCACGGTCAATACCAATTCTACCCTGACTGCGGTGAAAAGAAGGTGATATTCCCTCAAACAACTCTTTAGGATTTTTTGCCATATTTTAGCGTTTTCAGGTCCAACCACATTTATTTCCAATAACATCAATAACCTCATGAATTATATAATTGAGAATTACTGTAATTAATGCACAAGAAAAAGGCAATTGGAATCATTTATCGTGATCAAAAACATAATTGATATGAAAAACAATGACTAAGGAGTCTTGTTTATCTAGTGTATGGAAAAGACGTAGGGAAAATTTTACATGTGTAGTTATCAAGTTGTTACCCTTTCTTTTACATTGCCCTCCTTCACTGGATATCTACAGGCACGATCCGGGTTCTCAGTCCAAAAATGACATTTCTCATTTCTTTTTGTCTCCAGCAGTAAATCAGTGGATTAACAAGCGAGTTAAACATGAGACATGTCAACCTCCATCGTCCGTTGATGGGGCAAATCTCATAGAAGCCTGTAGTTTTTACGATAAAACAGAAACAAATAGGCAGAAGGCAAACAGTAGCAGCACCAACTATAAACACAGTTGTCTTAAGCGCCTTGTTCTCTTTGACAAACCTTTTTACTTCATCTTGGGGAAGCTGCTGAGTTTTTATCATTTTTTGGTGCCGACGTGTCTCTCGGTAGATGGTGAAGTAAGTGAAAGCAAGAAAAAGAATGTTTGAAGTAGTGATAAGGCCTGTTAAATAACGGGATACTATGTAGACAGTCATTCTTAAAACACCATTGATGAAAACAAAGATCCAAACTGATAGCACTGCTATCTTCATGCTATTGTAAGTAACAATTTTTGAGTATCGCATCGTAAATTTGATAGCTATGAGTCTCTCGAATGTAACCAACATCACATGAAAGAATGAAGCTGTTAGCATTACAGCAATAAATGTGGAACCGAAATGTTCAACTGCTGCATTAATACTGAGACCGAATAATAGTATTATTATCCACAGGATAAACAAAGGCTGACAAAGGAGACCAGTTAATGCGTCAGTTACTGCTAAACAGGCCAGCAAGATGTTGCTGTTGGTAAAGAGTCGAGGCGTTGTTTTCACAGCCTTTATCACAAGTACGTTGAGAATGACTGTGCAGGGAAAAGTGATGGTGTTGATGATGATTATGATTATAGAACCAGCAACCAATAGGACATCTACTTCTCTATCGTTGATGTTCGAGGCGTTCATGAAACTAGCCAAGGAGAAATTTGCCATGTCGAAATGGGAGCTCAGTCCAAATGAACTAGGTCTTCAGGAAGAACTGTTTCTTCTAGATGTTTAACCTCCCACGAAATCGGAGGAAGATAAATACAGGGGTCAATGTAACCCTTTAAGCTAGTGATTTATAAGCATCTCATGGGAATGACTTCTCTGTCCACATCTGCACAACAATAAAACAGAACAAAGCGGAATATGAAACACTGAACATGAATACAAGCACTCAAGTTGATCGGAGAGGCTTTATCACTTCACCCAAAGCTTTCGCCAGTGACCGCAACGGACGATAAAGGCCAAAGTAGCGACAAAAAGATCAATTGTTATCCATGTTATTTATGCATCACACATAAGTAAACCCTCAGCTCACTATACCAACCTAAATAAGCCTCAAAAATTCGAAGGTAATTGCCAGTCATTTCGTGCGACCCTCTTAATCTTTTCATATTCTCTCTCGTTTATTCGTCCCATTTAACATTCTCTTTAGTGGCACCAAGCGAAATTGATGTAATTCTCAATAACAGAAGCAACATTATTGATTATGTAAACAAAATCTATTTTAATTCATGCGCGAGAAAAAGTCAAGTGTGCACACATGGGACGGATCAATCATAGCACTGAAAGATACGGTAGACCTTCGAGGGTCAGTTATTTATTATTATTTTTAAGTGCCACTCTCGCTAAGAGCGGTCCTCTCGACTTTCCGTCGGAAAAAAGTTTTCTCTTATTTTTTGCCCATGAAAAGGGTTTAGGACACACATTTCAAAAATAGTTTAGTTGTTCTCCAATTCTCTTTTTTTGCGTCGCCACAACCCAAAAATGATTTTTGGCCAGACCACCTCTGTGAACAGCGATCGAAAGTGCCAATTTCAAAGATTTTGTCTAGCGCGCAGCGACTGCAACAATGTAACTCACGGAATTCTATCTTCACGGAATTCTATCAGTTAGTTCACAGACAAAATATGGAAACTTCAAGAAATATTTTTCATTGATCAAGGAGACCCTTGTATTCAGCATATCAAAAATTCACTACTTTTACGTTGATTCGGGCCGAAAAAGCATATCCTAGTTTCGAACCAATTGAGGTATATTCTCAAAGCTTCCATCCACCAACTTCTTAAAAACAACGCAAATCCATGTGTTTGCTCAATTGCGCTGGTGTCAAAGATCATTTGCATGATTCTTGGAATTGACCAAGATCTTCTTTTGACAGTTCAAACTTCGTTCGTTTATCTTCTACGTTGAGGATTTTAGGTTTTCACAGCAACTGAATGGAGATTAGATGCCGTGTTGTCCTAAAACGTTGCGTAAACGTGATCGGTCGTAACGCTTGCGCGCTTGCGTGACTTACAAAGTAGACAAAGGTGATCGGAAGGCGCCTTCTCGATAATTTGCGTTGAAATATCAGGTCATGAATTATGCAAAGTGTGGAGAAGATCAAAATTAAAGAATAAAATTTGGCACTCTGCTGGTCATAACAGACATATCACGTTGCTTGAAAGGACAGAAAAACAAGTTAAAATAGGTTGCAGTGTTATATTTACAAAACAACACGCATACACTCTGAAATAATTCTGGCAGTTTCTCCCGAGATTTAGTATACGGAACCCGATGAACTAACCCTCCTTTCCGCAGATTTGTTTCCATCACTAATGATGTTACGCTCTTATGGACCACAACGGTTTTTAGCGACAAACTCGACATTTCCCTGCGACCTTCAAAATCAACTGGACAAACCCAGCTTGATATATTGCGTGACGTGATTGTGCAAACTTTTCTCTTTGTCATACGACCTGTTTCGCAGGTTCTACGAGTTGGAAGCGGGAGCTAGAGTTTTCAAGAAAACTTTTGGTAAATTATTAAAATGCGCCCGAGTTATTTACTAAAACATATTTTCGAACTGAATTCTTTTGCTCGCCAATTATGGATAGCCAACAAAGATGACTACCGATGGTTTTTCTTTTTTCTTTTTTTTGCGGCAAAACATCCTGATCTATGAATTCCAATCGCCTAACATCTCCTGATTTCGGTTACACATAAAGATCTTTGCTATCTACCTGCGTTTAAAACTAGACTGTGAACGGAAAAAAATAAAAAGGAGAAGAGGTTGAATTCATTGGTGAAAGTAAAAAAGAAGTCTGCATGTCCACACAAAGAAAGAAAGAAATTCAAAGCACAAAGGCGTAAGAATCTCACCGAAACGGATAAAGGCTCGTGGTTTAGACAATCTTCGCTGCTCGCACTCCGTCAGTAACCACAAGGTTTGCCGCGGCTTGCCTAAGGCGCTTTCATTTGAAAATAAAAATAGTTGAAATAAAAATTATCGTTCAGCAAAATTGAAATAAAGGTCTGTCACGGGAAACTATTTCATAGCTACTCGCATAGTGTTTTCGCTCCGAGTCACCTGAGACTCTACAGGGCGCCTATGTGTTTCTACTAGCGGTCGGCATTTCGAATTTATTAGAGTGTAATCATAACTTGACAAGTTGTCATCCAATAGCGTGAATTATTGGGAAAATTTTGAAAGCAAAAAAGAAAACCTACTTCGTTTTTACGCGAATGAGCCTTCTTTAAACGAATTAATGAGGTACGTAAACTTAACGGATTGCCTTGAAATTTGGTCCGGGGGGAACTCCGTTTTTCAAATAGATCTCCTCCAATGGCCTTCGACGTAGTGCGTCGCTAAAATTTTGATCAGCAAACTTGACAAATGAATTGCAAAGTAATCAATAGGAATATCGAAAAATTCCCACACGGTTTTGAAGACCAGCTACTCAGGATCAAGATCGTGCAGAAGTCTCATTAGTGCGGTCAGATTTGATGTGCGAACAATTCGCTCAAAGAAACATCGTTCATTTCGAATTAACGTACACCCCATTCGGTTTACGATTGCATCAAGCGAAAACAAATAATTTTTGCCGAATAGTACGTACACTTCATAACTTTTCCATTGATAACATTATAATTTATGGTGCTTGTGCTTCAAACAGCACATTAAATACTCTTTTTGCAAAGGATACCCGCGAAGGTCCACCGTATCCTGAACTCATAGTTTGAGTTCAATACCTACCCTCTGAAACTAAAGCGGAAAACACTTCCAAGGAAACATGTGTTATGTGAAAGTGGAACGATAGATTCCCGTAAGTTAACTTGGCCTTCGCTTTTTACAACCGATGACCTTCGCGACATATTCAAGGTACAATAGCAAAAAAAAAATAAATAAAAATAAGTTATCCCAGAGATGTTTGTCATTGACTTCAGTTGACACTTAGCTCACTATGCTGATCTTATTTGCCAAAATATTGGAGATGTCCGTTCGCAGTTGGCGCTAACTATCTCCATATTCCCTCGATCCAATTGTGACCATAGCTTCATGGTTGGGAGGGTAATGTTTCACTTTGCTGAGGCAACAATAGTGATTGACTGAATGATTATCTAGCGGCAATTAGATAATGGCATAAAGTATCTATGATAAGATTTAACGCCTATAACAAACGGCGTAATTTCCTCCAGTCGTTAATATATATACTGTAAATTTTACGCCGTTAATATAATTCTATAGGAAAATTCATTTCCTGTCTCGTGAATTCCGCGTTAAATTGCACGCGAAAACCTGTATCGCAGGAATCGCGATATAGGTTTCAGTGAATCTCGTGGAGAGAGCAGTGCCTCACATTTTATAATCTTCAGCAAAAAAAACTGAAAGTACAAAATACAGAGATATTTAGGACAAAGATTTTACAGAAAAATTCTTTCATACAGTGAATATCTTGGATTTGCCTGCTACCATACAACTTGCCAAAATATGGCGCCGACAATCAACAACTGAAATGCTTAAGCAAAAGGAAAATTTCGAGCGTTTCGGTATTTAAATAAGATCTTCAAAAAAACCGCTAAGAGCTTTATGGTTATGAAAAATTGTGTCCAAAATGTAATCATTAAGACTGGAATTTCTCAGTAAACTCTTACGAAAAATAGCTCAAAAAAAGCTCAAAAAAACAGAGTCGCAGAGAGTCGCTTGTTGGTGTCATGTTGGACTAAAAGTTTATATATGTTATTCACCAGACGGGAGGTTCGTATTGGGAAAAACTGTGCCCGAGGTCTTGGGCGGTACACAAGACAGAGGGAACAGTTTTTCCCAATACGGACCGACCTTGGCTGGTGAATAACATTTTTATTTTTTTTCTAAAACCTAACAAATGGTTGCGAAATGCGATGCGATGGTTGTGAGCGGGCAGGACGGAGAGAATACTGCCCGCTCTCGGAACCAATCGGATCGCAGGATTTGTAGAATACCGCCCGCTCACGAACGGAGAAAAAAACAAATGGAAATATTTACTAAAGAATTATCAAACGTTACTCCAGTAAACATCCCGCCAACTGCCCTTCCATCAGGTAACTAGAACGACTGGCACTGCTGACACGGTTACTCGTAGCTGATGTGTTGCTTGGTGGGGCTGAGCTGTTGAGAACAATCTCCCGTAAAGCATCACTTGAATCGCTGTTGAAAGTCGTCGTGCTTGGCTTGAAACCAGCCAACTTACTCGGTATAAGACGCTGTTTTTTCAGAAGATTTTGGCAGTAGCTGGATATGGATTCCGGATTGGCGTGGCCAGTCAGCTCTGAGATCCTCTTCTCACCGCAGTAAATTTACTGTGGATCTTGCGGAAATTAGTGATTGTATTAATATTGAAATTGGGTAGTTCAGCAAAATTAGGCAGCATTACCGATTTTATGTATGATATTAGTCCTGTCCTGTTTAGCGGTGACTGAGAAGAAGAAGTGGAAAGATTTAAAAAGAAAAAAAAAGGACAAGACGCTGAAGATTTATTATGTTTATAGTTGGTTCAGTTATTTTCTGCCTTCTTCCACTTTGCTTCTGTCTCGTCGTTAAAGCTACAGGCCTTTCTGAGAGTAACCCTATCAACGACCCATTTACGCAAAAAATGTACCATGTTAAACTCACTTGTTAATTTACTGATATCCTTGTTTTTTTCACAATTAGGGAAATGTGAAACGTCTACTTAATGACATGACAAAATTAAATCGTTCATTTGGCGACAAAAAGTTTCCATATTATGCTGGATGTATGTGCTAATGTTTGTGATTCTAAGAATAAGCGCAAAGTTGCAATAAATTATACAATCTACGTAAAATAATTTAGGGACAGAGGAATTCGCATCACCGAAGAACAAACAGACTTAAGAAATTTTTTCTATCCATGCACGCCTTTACTACAGAAGGGAAAATGTCAAGGAAAAGGAGCTTACGGACGGTTTTACGGACCGATTTTATGTATGATATTAGGCTTCAGTAAAAGCACCGACAGACGGTCATTGTTGTCGGGTTTATCGTACGATCCTAGACTAAAACATGTAGTAATCGATCTCGTCAGTTGGTAAAATTGCCGACAACTAGACTCTGAATCTAACTTTATTGTCGACGTAGCCGAAAATCTTATTTAATTTCATTAACACTTCTCTACCGAACTTTCAAGAACTGTCCTTAATACAACTGAGACCGTTGATGCGTACACCGAATATCGCACCGAATAGCTAAGCGTATGACGCAACGAACTTGCAGTGTGTCATGCTGTATTTTTCATGTTGCTGTCATTTAATATGAGTAAGCTTACTCCAATTGAGAGAATTATGAAACATTTAAGACGAGTGAAGGCATGTCAAATGCACTCCCTTGGTTTGCTAGAAGTCCAGTTGCCGCAAATTTTGCTGTCCGGAAATTGACGGACTTCTGCGCTTCCGTCGCCAATCGAGTTTTCTAGTTTCCCCTAGATGATGTGAATATAGATAACGGCGTAATATGTGACTAACACAGTCTATAGAATGTGCGATTTTACGCTGCTATCTGCGTCGGAATAATAATCATAATAAATTAGTATATAATAGAATCGCATAGCTAGAGGTAAACTCGCGGTCTGATTGGCTATCGAAGAGAGGATATTTAGCGTGGAATTGCACTTGTGCATGAAGGGATATTGTAGACGTGGGTCGCGAGCAAAAATTGTTACTATCTGAGGTGCCGCAGATCACTGAAATCCGGAAAGTAATGACGAAATTCTATAGGCTGTCGTGGTTACTCTGATACTTTTAACCTCAGTTGATCAGGCATGAAATACGCTCCAGGTCAGTAGAAACTATTATCGTTATGATAACTGACATGCAATCAGTTGATCAGAAACGCTACGAGCTAATAAAGAGCTGCCTAAATAGCTGTAATTGTAGAACATTAAAAAGAATATCTTCCATAATATTGCATAGCATTGGTTGTGCAACTTGCCTGTTGTATTTGGGACATAACGCAAATCCTATATACTCATTAGTATTCCCTTGTGTTTAAGGAGACAATTAAAAAAAAAACCTTTTCGTGGGAAAACGCGTAGTTCTTTTCTTAAACCATTTAACGAGAACTAGAGAAAAAAGAACGAACAAAAAGTTGTATTCACTGTTTATTATAACTTTAGAAAACAGGGACAATTGAAAGTAACTTTGTAATTTGCAGGCGGTTAACGAATCACCTCCCGAAAACATAATTACCAAAAAAAAAACAGTAACTCAGGAATTTTGTTTATCCAGTGGCTGGAAAAGACGTCAGCAAATTTTACATATGTGGTACTTAAGGTTTTAACACTTTCTACCAAATTCCCTTCCTTCACTGGTTGTGTATATGCACTACCGCGGGTCTTATTCCAAAAATGACCTGTCTCATCTCTTTTTGTCTCCAGCAGTAAATCAGTGGATTAACAAACGAGTTAAACATGGCACATGTTTGCATCAATGACAGATCGATGGGGCAACTTTCAGAAAGACCTGTAGCTATAACAATAAGACAGAAACAAAGTGGAAGAAGACAAACAAAAACAGCACCAACTACATATAAAGTTGTCTTAAGCGCTTTGTTTTCTTTGGTAAATCTTTCCACTTCTTCCTGGGGCATTTGCTGAGTTTTAATCTTCTCTTGGTGACGACGTGTTTCACGATACATGATGAAATAAGCGACAGAAAGGAAAATAATACATGAAGCAGTAAGAACACCAGACAGAGAACGTAATACTAGATCCCATTCTATCACATCAAAAACTCCAAAAATAAAGGAAATGATCCAAGCTACTAACACTGCTCTCTTCATGCTATTATCAGTTATAATGTTTGAGTACTGCATTGTAAATTTGATAGCTATGAGTCTCTCGAAAGTAACGAACATCAGATGAAAGAATGAAGCTGTAAGTGTTATAATCACAATTGCGTAATTGCAGTTTTCAACTATTTTACTGTTACTGAGACCAACTAAGAGGAAAATCTTCCACAGGACAAACAATGGCTGGCCAAGGAGACCAGTTAAGGCGTCGGTCACCGCTAAACAGGCCAGCAAGATGTTGCTGTTGGTACGGAGTCGAGGCGTCGTTTTCACAGCCTTTATCACAAGTACGTTGAGCACAACTGTGCAGGGAAAAGTGATGGTGTTGATGATGATTATGATTATGGCACCAGCCACCGGAGGTACATCTGCTGTGTCGCCTTGTCCGCTAGTTTTGTTTGTCGAGTTTGTAAAACTGGCCAAGGAAACGTCTCCCATGTCGTTCTGGAAGCTAAATGCAAGATAAGTATACGTCTCGGAACAACTTGTTCAACCAGTCGTTCTCTCTTTGGCATGAAATCGGAGGAAGGTAAAGGGGCAGGAAATCTTATGGCTTTAATAGAGAGTGGTTTAAGCATCTCCTGGGAATAACTTCTCAGTCGACATGTGTCCAGCAACAATACAGGAAAAAGCTGAATCAGAATCGCTAAACGCCGCCTAATCAAAAGGATTTTCCTCAAGCTCTGCCCATGAATAAATCTTATTCCAAAAATGATTGAGGTCATTTTTAATTAGATTTTTCAGGTATTGCCAAACTGCGCTTTTAAGTCTAAAATCGTTTCAGCCCTTAAGAGCTCGATTGACCACTATGACTAGAAAGTGTTCGATCGTCTCTTCACTTAGAAGTATGTTCTCACTTAATTTCTGAGGATTGTTTTACGCTATCCATCGATCGATAGGTGTTTCGTGTTTCATAAGTTGATTAGTTTTCATTTGTTCGATTAGATTTGCATTGGAAAAAAAGCATATACAAATTCTTTAGTTTGAAATCTATCTTGCGGCTTTTTCATTTCCAATCATATGTAAATCACTGTAAGTTTAAAGCTCACCGTTTTAGGTGCGTCAAGAAAGATTCATTTGAAATATCTAATAATTTGACACTGGTCTCATCTTCCGTGTCGTGGTTTTATAATTTGCCTTTTGCGTAAACCGCCCATTTTTTCTCGCAATATTCCGCAATTTGGATCAATGAAACCAAGATAGGAAAGCAAGAGGGTAAAAAACACATATTTGGCGCAGCTGCTCAGAAAATTGTGAATACTTTTTGAATGATTGCTAATGAGGCAAATGATGCAAACGAAATAAGCATGAAGAAAATGTTGTTTCACCCGTTTACGTAAGCTGTAAGGGTTTCTTTAATTTTGGTTTACATCGTAATATCCATGAAAGAGAATGCCCCAATCTTAATTATGAAAATTCAGTCGGTTACCAATGGGAAATATACTCTATACTAATTTATTTTTAAATTTCTCTTATCCTTTTGATAGTGCGATACTTTGCTGTAAGGAAACAGGTTGAATTTTATGGATTGTAGTTGCAATAAACAGTTTCGCTTCCCGAGAGGGCCCATCAAACAAAACGATATCTTCATTACGACCCGAAAGTGAGGAAATTGCTTTTAAAGTGATTCCTCAGTATTGCACTGCACATCATGTACTGGAAATAAAAATTTATGTAATCAGGCGGATAAGCGCGCGCGCTTTCCAAGAACATGGTATTTTTTTTCAATCAATGGACCAGGTAAAGAAGCATGATGGTCTTCAGCTCTTGAATTAGCACGGTGACCAATATTTTTATTGCATAAATTTGGTGTACAAATTGTCCCCTGTAAATTGGAAAAATCAAAACGATTATCTGAGGATAAAACAGATATAGCTAAAAGCGTGCACTTGCTTCCAGCTACCGCAAAATGTACCTTGAACGGATGAAATTACGCGCGTGATTGGCTCACATCACTTACAAACGTAATCAATCCATGCGGCATCTTACAGTTATTTCTTCGGTTTAAAACGGAATTAAAGAAATCCTTTTGCTTAATCTGATAGGCATGTTCGATTGGTTTCGTCGTTTATTGCAATTGCTATCTATTTAATTCAACCTGATTCCTAAAAGTAAAGCCATACACTATGATAAGGAATAAACCAACCAGAAAGGCAGTCAGAGAGACTTTGACGATCATTAGAGAGCCTGCTTTCAGATATAGTGACGAAAGAAATTCGATTTCAAGAGTATATTCCCCATCGGGTGGGCTTAATTTCCATGTTCAGGATTGAGGCCATCTCTTATGTAAATTATACAATGTGATATCGGCGTAAAAAAAAACAAAAAAACCAAAAAAAAAACAAAAAAAAACCAAGTTTTCTCAATGCAAATTTCTTTTGGATCGTTAACAACTTTCGTAATTTTCATAATTTTCTGAGCGGTTGCGCTGAACATTTACTCAAATCAGTTTACTTTCTAATTCCTTCATCCTGGCTTACTTCAGTGAGTCGAATTGCAAGACCTTGTGCTGTAGAAGTAAAATTGAAACTTGCGAACGATGTAACTGGCCATTAAAAAAGCCGTAATGTAAATACTATTCTTTAAGCCCATGGCACAATAGATGCCAAAGGATCAAAAGTTTTCGTCCGTCAAATAAGATTTGACGGACGAAAATTGATGAGCTAAACGTGCACGAAACATTTATGTAGCCATGGAAAGCGAAATAATCTCCTGAAGTTAGAACAATATGTTATGTGAGAAGGCAGTCAAGATGTTTTTCTTTATCGCCACAACTTCAATTTGGCTCTAATGCGCTGAAACGATTCTGGACTTTTAAAAACTAATTTTACAGTATTGGTAAGATGGGATTAAAAATGGGCCTCAATCACTTTCGGATTAAAATTTATTCATAGGCAAAGTACTAAGAGAAATTTATTTGATCGGGCGGAGTTTAGCGTTTCTAATTCAGCTTTGTGCTGCATTGATGTCATGCATATGTGGATTCAATAGTCATTCCCAGGAGATGAAAAATGAAACCTGACTTTCTTCGTATTATGTAATGGTAAAAGTCTTGCAGAAACGGTTGTTCAGATACATACTTTAGTTGCATTAAATTTCCAATTAGATATGGCAAACTTTTCCACGGATAGTTTTACAAACGCTACAAACTTAACCAATTGGAGAAGGTGACACAGCAGATGTCCTATTGTTGCTCAGTTATATTATAACCATCGTCATCAACACCATCAGTTGTCCCTTCATAGTTCTCCTCAACGTACTGGTGATAATGACTATGAAAACAAGATCACGACTCTAAACTAAAAGCAACATCTCACTGTCCTGTTTAGCGGTGACTGAGAAGAAGAAGTGGAAAGATTAAAAAAAAAAGGACAAGGCGCTGAAGATTTATTATGTTTATAGCTGGTTCTGTTATTGTCTGCCTTCTTCCACTTTGCTTCTGTCTCGTCGTTAAAGCTACAGGCCTTTCTGAGAGTTACCCTATCAACGAACCATTTACGCAAAAAATGTACCATGTTAAACTCACATGTTAATTTACTGATATCCTTGTTTTTTTGACAATTAGGGAAATGTGAAACGTCTACTTAATGACATGACAAAATTAAATCGTTCATTTGGCGACAAAAAGTTTCCATATTATGCTGGATGCATGTGCTAATGTTTGTGATTTTAAGAATAAGCGCAAAGTTGCAATAAATTATATAATCTATGTAAAATAATTTAGGGACAGAGGAATTCGCATCACCGGAGAACAAACAGACTTAAAAAATTTTTCCTATCCATGCACGCCTTTACGACAGAAGGGAAAATGTCAAGGAAAAGGAGCTTACGGACGGTTTTGAAAACATGCCCATAGTATCAGAATTTGTCAAAATGCACCTAAATCAAATGAACACCAAAACCATGTTTACAGCCGCAGTGATTTGGAAATCATGAAGACTAAAATGATTAGAAAATACAACTGTGGTAATAAAAGCCTAGCGTAGTGTTGCACTCGTCTTACTCTATTAAGATCCAACACAAGAGCTTTCCTTCTTACAAGGTTTAATAACAAGAGTTTCATGAAACCTAATCGTATAATCAAAAGGTTAAAGGATAAAGGTATAACCAGTTGCAAAAGTAGTTGAGACATTTGAGAACAGAAAAGTGTTCACCATGTGATCCAACATATTGTATCCCCTTACCCCTCTTTTGCAATGTTGCTATAGGCAGTATCATGTACATGGGAGTACCTCTTGATTTTTTTTTTCACTAACATTCTTATTAACCTTCAGATGAAATCGCTAAACGCACTTTTTCTTCAAAGTGTCTCAACATTTTTGCAATTTGGTGGTAGCTTTTGACTTTGGTATATTATGAATTGATCTACCTCACTAAGTAGAGTAACACGACATATTCGTAAGCATACCGTTCCAAATAAAACAAACAACAGAAAAAAAAACAAAAATAATAACAACAACAGCAACAAAAAAACAGTTGTCCATCAATAAGTACCCTTGAAGTCAGTTGTGTGTTTCTTGGGGATGCATTGCGGTCCTACAGGAGTGCCATATCGCTCCACCTTCTGCGCTGAGAAGTTATAGGGCTCAATCGGTGTAATTAAGATGGCATTGGTAGATCCGATAGAAGGATCCTCGTCAAAGTAGTTGAAAGGCCTTATGAAGAAGCGAGCGGAGTTGGCAGCCGTGGCGGTGTTGGGCAGGTCTTCTGCATGAGGTACATGCATCGCGCCAATTGTAACCCAGGCAACCAAATCCTCGTTCACAATGGGGTCATCATCCGCGAGGTAATTACGGAAATCAACCTGTGAAATGGTAAAGAAAGATTAAATATATTCGTAACGTTTGAAGCACTCATAACGGCGTTCATTGCCTTGCCTGACAACATACAACCAATGACAACAAGCATGATACCATAAAAACTATCGTTGTCTCCAAAATACATATATCAAGAGAGCATTATTTCAATTCAACGTGGTCAGATTGGATGCGTTTTCCATTTATTACCAAACGTTTGGAAGAGTGTTTTCCACGCAGCTCTTTACCCTCTTATACTGTATCCTCCAGAACAGACATTATTTCTTCGCTACATGTATTCACATATATTTAGTTCACGTTAAACAGAAGAAAACAAGCTTTAGAAAAAGAGAGCCTAACCTGTGGATCTGTTGGCGAGTTTTGATTATAAATAGAGCTACTCTGTGTCTCATTCTCTTTGTACTTGGTGATAGCCATTTGATAGAGGGACCAGCTCAACATTGGTGTGATCATCCAATCTTCTGGGTACAACTGCTTCAGCATGTTGTCCAGCTGGATGCGGTATCCTTTTTTCACACCCATTCGGTTTTTCTTCTTTTCATTGAAAAAGTTTAGGTACATTGGATGGTCGAAGTCAAACTTGTAAGATGCATCCATCTCTGTTTTCTTCACATCGCGTTTCAGAACTTTCTGGACACGTCGTCTGTTAGGAAACCATCGCTCAGTGATGTTTTCGATCCCAATTTCGATAGTCTCGTACGAATTTCCCCTGCCACCAACGTCCAGATCCACTTTATAGTTGATAAGGTGATCGTGTGTACCACTTGTGAAATCCTCATGAAGCGGGTATGCGTATGGGTCCATGTTAGAGTTATAAAATGCTCCAAAAATATACCCAGAAGCTGACATCTTGACTTCAATGACTCCGTTCTGGTAGAATATGAAGTCGAAAACATAATCGTAATTGTAAACTGTTGCTACTGTACGCAGAACTAATACTTGGTTGGCCATCCCTCCATAAAACTTGTAACCATTATAAAAGTTGTTATCATAATGTCGACGAAGTGGTGTTCCAGTATTTAGTTCAAATACGCACACTGCGTTGCGAAAGGTCTGCGGATTTCCAACTCCAATCATGTGCACTAAGTCGAAGAAAGTAGCAGTATTAGGGCAATCAACGCCTCGAACCATTTCGTAACTACTCATTCCCATTCGCCATGAGCCGTCAAGAAAGTTATTCCAAGAGGGGCTTGGATAAAAACCTGCGTAAGTAGCCGCTGCTTCTTGAAGACTGAGCTCGTAAACAATTCTCTCTCCGTTAAATTTAATATCGTAGATTTGCATGCCACTGTTGGAATCCATTCTGAAATCAAACGACCACGACATGTAGGTAATTTGACGTCCATTTACAGAGTAACGCTTTCCATCGGGCTCATACTGCACTGGTTCTCTCATTGGCTTAAATGGCTGAGGAACTTCTCGACGTTCGTAACTGGAAAATAGCGCGTCTGTGCCTTTTGGAGCTGGCACAGAAATCTTGTTAATGGTATTATTTTCGAATTTTCCCGCTAACTCGTCTATAGTGTCAAAAGTCTGATTGTTGTAAAGAACCTTGAGGATTTTCCATTTAGAAACGTCCGCTCCTCCATGATCTACCAGGAACATCAAGTCTAGAGGATGAAGATAATGGCCTGCAACATCCCCGCGAACAAAGTAGATCCAGGTATAGCGGTCCTCCCCTGTAAAACCCATAGGGGCTGTGTAAAGGAACTGTAAGCACTTTATACCAGAGACACAGGGGAAGATGTAGATGTAGCCGTCATAACTTTCAGAAATTAACTTGGCGAGTTTACTGGCAGTTTCCTTGACAATCTCTCTTTCTAGTGCGTTATATTCTACAACGCCATCAAAAGGGCGAGCATTAAATGGAACAGTTTTTTTCTGTCCACCTGGAATCTCTCTAACCTTGTAATCAGTTGGCGTCGAGACCGGATGGATGATGTATTCTTTTACCACAGGTGGATCGGTGGCACCATGGAAAACCACAGCAACAGCTTTTCGTTCAGGCTTGGCACCATTATTGTCTAGATGTTCCAGAACTTCTTCTTTCGACGGCGGAAGCAACTGTATCAAGTAAATATAATTGCTGTCGACTGTAGCCTTGGAATATTCCGTGAGGTTTAGTGAGGCCTGCTTCAGTAAATAATCCCTAACGGCGGTGATCTCGCTGACTGTCAGGTCGTTAAAAGGACTCGAAGACTTTGGTGGTTCTTTGGAACTCGTCATTCCATCAGCACAAGGTTCCACACTCATCGTGGTCTTAGAGGTTGGTTTTGGCTTTGTGTCTTGGTTCTCGGCCCCTTTCTGTTGCTTTGTTGCAACAACTATCAGAGCAATTAAAAGTGCTACACTTATCACGATGAAGATGATGGCCAGGACCTTCCACAGCATAGGGGCTGAGCTGGGCGCTGGGCTGGCTTTCTTCTTAAGCATAGGATCGCTCGATTCCATTGTCAACAACGACCTACGCAAGGTAGAAATGAAATCAATTTGAGATTATCACTTTTGCTGACTAATAGCGTACAATTAGTAGATATTGTTTTATGTGCCTCCGGGTGGCATTCTTTGGACTTAATTAATTCTGGCCCTCTTGACCTTAGAAACGCTGTGGTAATTTTATACATGATTTAACAAATAGAGAAGCCTTGACCGTGCTCTGTTCTGTTGTAATGCACGCAGAAGGCGACTAGAGCACTAAAGAAGTGTAGGGAGAAACACGAGGCGTAGCTTTGCTTCGTTGGACAAATTAGTACAATTTAGCAGATGGCGTGACAGCTTAAGCTCTGCTTTATGCTTTGTGCTCTGATACCAATCAATCAATACCAAACAAGCAAAACTTAAAAGTAAAACCTTCTTTTATGGCTCACGTTATGGGAAATAAAAGACAGAACCAAATTTGATACTGTATTAAGACCAGAAAAAATTAACTTCTTTGGAACTGACGGGGTTTAGGCCCTTAGCGCACGCGAGGATAATATGTTTTGACCGAAAAGAAAGCGCCATAGACTTGGGGACAAATAATTCAAGGGTCGAAATTCCTTCACTTTAATATAACTTGCAAAACGTGGGCTTGCTTCTCTAATGATCTCAAAATCTTCAAATGCTTCCATGCGGCTTCCCGATAAAACCAACAAGCATACTCAGAGTCTCAGCCCTGTTTTTCATTTCATGCGGTGACAACACAAAAAACGTGACTCTTAAGATCCCCTTAACAATTAAAATAATGACGTAAAGCAGACAGGATGAGAGAGAGATTATTTGCATATAATAGTTGAGGCAGAGGACATTTTTGAAAATGTAACCTTGAAAACAGCTAGGTATCAATATCAGTAGATAACTGACAGCAATTTCTTGCTTCTTCTCGCAGTTCTGTTGGCAATAACTTCGCATTTTAGTAAAACTGTTGGGAAATTGTCAGACAAAACTGTCGTGAGACATTTACTAATTTGCTTGTTCCAATGAATGTTTTGCTTTTCGTCCGTTTTCTTTTAAATAGCCACCTCTAAAAGCATGACTGTTTTTTTCCGAAGCAAATCAGCCAATTGATGAAACGAGTAGAATAACAATTGGTTGTGATTTTCTTCAGGATCAAGAGATTTAGTTTGTACGCTTTCAGTATACCATTTCGGTTTTGATTTATATACTGACGGTGTACAGCGGAAATAATATTGAAGTACAGAAAAAAAGAAAAAAAGGCTGGATATGAAACCTTGTTCCCCATGATAATTACAAAGGTTAACAGTGATCATCGGTTGAGCCCTTACTTCCTTATTCAGTTGTAATTATTCAATTTGATTGCTGTACTTGGTAAACCTAAACGTCCTGAACGGTTCCGGGATGGCCTTTTGGTAATAGTTTGTAATAAAGATCCGTTTTAGAATGGTGTTGACGTTTCCTACAGGATGAGCTAATCCACAAATGTGTTTCAAGCTTTTCAATACACTATTAAAAAAAAAAAAAGATCATACCTGAATCAAATGGAACCGTTAATCCGTCGCGTCAGTGTAAGACTGATATATACAGTGGCAGATCTGCAGAGGTTACTAAGTTATAAATAGACTAGCGTGACAGTATGACAGATAATTTTTAGCGGAGCTAGTGTACAGAGCAAGAGAATAGTCGTGTATTACGAACTTTCACAGTATCAAACTCCTCGCAAATACATCCAGCAAATGCATTTGTATTTAAGAAAAAAAAAAGCCTTCAAGAAACGATACTCTTTAGCGAAAATTTTTCGCTCAGCAGTTGCGTGACAGCAACAGAATATCTTAGAGACAGCTTATGTAAAACATCGAGCGACTTTGTGTCAATCATTATGTCATTGTTATTCACTTTTCATTGCACCACTCTCAAAGCTCCATTGTCTTCATACCTTGACATTTTGAAGGAACACCGAAATATTCAAATGCGAAGTAAGTGATTATTCCGATTTTAAAAGAAATGTGCAAACGTGGTCGACGTATCTCTTCGGTTTAAATGATTTTAGCACAACTTGAGATAGGCACTTGATGCGAATGCTTTCGTGAGATTACAAAAACAAATCTTATCGTATGTGGGGCTATTGCATTGTACCACAAAGTGATTGCTTATCGTTACTCTCGATAAACATAACAAACTGAACAACAATTAAATTTTACACAACAAACACGACTGAAGCGAAGGGTTAAGATGCTTAGACTGACTCAATTTCTTAACCGTGATCAATGACTTGATAGCTTCATGCGTCATAAGTTGGTCGCGTGGTCTGAAATGGGATTAGTCTTTTCATAAATACCCTAAGTATCATAAGCTTTAGAAGTTCAGTATCCATGCTACGTTGCTTCAAATACTTTTTGCACGGAATCTGCTGAGTAAACGACCAGAAAAATAATTGCGTCTAGTGATGTGATGGTTGATTTTCAGTTTCTTTAAAAACAGATGCGGACTTCTGGAATAAACAAAAATAGAAATAAATACCGAACAGTAACATCTAGTGTCAAAATGTGCTCTGAACATTTCGAAGGCGAGGATTTTTCTTGGTCAACATGGGAAAAAGGGAAAATGGCGTGGGAAAAGTCAGAGAATTTCACTTCCAGTGTCAGGGAAATTTACATCTTGAAAAGAAGTCTAGAAAAATTTTAATTTAATTTAAATATGAGGTTGTTCATCTTCTCTTGACCTCTTCGTGATGAATGATAATGACACTTTTTTTTTTCATGTACATTGTTTGGAACACTTGACAGATTACTGACCGACATATTATTTCCCTATGTAACGCAAGTTGAAGCTGGATTGTTAATGAAATCATATACATTTTCCCCCCTCTGTATTTATTATTATTATTATTATTATTATTATTTTTTTTTTTTTTTTATTTTTTATTTTTATTTTTTTTTTTTTACTATTTAAAATCCTCGTTGCATTTCACGGACATGAATGATATTGTATTGGTGAAATAAGCTGATGTCGGGTTTCCAAGAAAATAAATTATTTTTCCATGTTACCGTGAGGTATTATCAATTCATGTACACTGTATGTGACTTGCTGAAAGCTTAAATTTTAATTTATTTCCGGCGGTCGAAAGTTTAACAAATCGATGGCACCTAAACAAGCGATCACGCACAGAATTGTATTTTAGTGGGGCTGGGAGAGGCATCTAAGCTTGAAAAGCATGCTGGGCCGTTGGTTCAGTCACAGTCACTACTCATTAGAGTGGTTTAGCAAGAGGACGGGAACGTCATTTCAGAACGGGAAAGCGCGCGGATAATCTGGACACGACTCTATTTCGACTTCCGGTGTTAGCGTTGCCGTTCTCCCCATCAAGTTCAGGACGTCATTTCGCTGGTTTTCCCGTCGTGATCAAAACGCCAAGTATTTGCGTTCATTGTGTACTCATAAACGAGATGATGCTGTTTGGAATGATTTCAGAACTCATTTCCAATATAACCAGGTTACTTTCTTTATTTTATTCGGTGAATTTGTGGAAGTTTACCGCTACATTTATTCTGGATTCCCGAAAGGAAACACGATCGTCAGCAAGCGATCTAAGATTTTAGGACTCAGTTACCTTTTGTAATTGAGCGTGGCTTTAAGCAACGTAAGGGCTTTTCTTTGATACATTTCTTAAACCATGTATGAAAACTCCAAGAATGGTTGCTGTTAATTTTATCGTGAATCATGTCATCAATAAATTAAGCTTGCTTCATGTTGAAGTTTATCAAAATGAAACAACACGAAGGTTACCTGCTATATTATTCAGTGTTATTTGTTGTCATTGTCATTTTAACCGTGACTAAAAACTGTTCTGCGAATTGAAGTCAGAGATAAAAAAAATTTGAGAATAGCTCGAGTTTTGCACTTTTTTATGTCTTTAGTTTTTGATCAGCGCCGGTGAAAACTAAGACAAGAAAGTCATCTACGAAAGAAAATAACAATCAACTTGATTTCGGCACGGCTTTCTAAATCTATTAATTTGATTCGGTCTTGAACGACTTTATTCATTAAAAAAAATCAAATTAAACAAAAACAAAAATAAAACAGGAACGAAGTCTGATTCCTCAGTCTAACCGTTTCGTTGGTGACTAGTTTGAGTGCATTTCATTTGTTCATAGTTGAACGGGAACTCATTGTAAACAACTCCATCGTTGGGTCGCTTGATCTCTAAATGTTTTCGTCATAACTTCTGATAACTCCGTTCAAAATGCATTGCAACTCTAAGAGGGTGGTGCTCAAAAGAGGTGTACCGTCATGATTGGGAAGAATATTCAGTAAACAAGGGAAAAAACCGCGACGATTTAAATTCCAAATTATACTTTACAAAATTATGAAGAAAAACGAGTAGTGCTAAAATCTAGAAGCACGAAACGAAATGACAGCGATACAAATCATAGAAAAAAAATATTTAGTGGGCTTCAAAATCTGATAGACTCGAGACTAGAATGGAATAATTTCACAGTTTAACCGCCCATGTGGATTCATATTAACTACTCACTTGTAGTAAACTATCCTCGGTTTGTGCTTGTTACACCCTCAAAGAGGATAATTTCGTTGTCCTTCGAGTGGTCTACGAAACCGAAAAAATTCAAAGCTGATAATGATCCTAAAGAGCCAAGGTTAGGATATTCAAGAACGAAACAAAAGAACAAATATAGCGTGGACGGTTCGTTGAAACGACTGCTAAGTCACTTTTCAACACAACGCGACGGCGTTCTCGACCCAGTTTCTTCTCGGCATTTTTGCTGCGCGTGCCGTTCTGAAATGACGTTCCCGTCCTCTTGCTAAACCACTCTATTGACCAGCTTTACGAACGCTTAGTGTATATTGGGTATTTCATCGTCTTGCAGGTGAGGTTCTTTCAGATGCACTGATTTTCAAGGTCCAGCTTTCACTAGAAGCGATATTTAACGGTATTTAAACATGTAAAGACATTCTAGATTGAAGGAATTGGATTTCATTAGAAGTGGTTTTTGACCTTTTGCTCTGAAGGCCTGCAGTTCACTTTGCTTAAGTCAATGTAGACCTGTACTATTTGAATGTGTAATGATGGTCACATCCAATGCCATGATCTCTTGTTCTGGCAAGTCCAAACGCTTCTCTATCGATAAACGGATGCTTTCGTGGCGTAATCCAAAATCAAAATTCTTTTGTGGAGAGTCAGCATAAATTAAACAAACATACTGCGTAATTGGAGTGATAATCGGCAGGAAAAATATTTCATTGTGAGGCGAGTTGCCTAAGGAAGCCTGTAATACTCTCCTTTCATGTTCACCGCGGGAGCTTTTTGCTTAAACTCAAAATGAAATCTTAAATTGGAAAAATCATCCAAATATTTAACGACAGTTTCACTTGGTTGCATTTTGTCGTTACATGCGACCATTTCTTTATCATATGTAAAATCACACCTCAATCCATGATACATCATTCCAATGCAAGTACAAAGAATTCAAAACGATAAGAAAATGAATATGTAGTTTCTTGCACCTTCTCTTAGCTTTAGATGGTTGATTAACGTAGGTGCATTTTGAAACCCCTCAGTGAGCTGCAACTCCTGAAATATCGATACCTAGCCAGGATCATTGCGTTACTGCGCTATGTACTCTGCTCCTTTCGTTTTCTTTTTACTCCAAGGTATCATGACACTCAAACGTTGTGTGTTTTGAACAATTTGAATTATAAAAATGTCCTAGAATGTACCTTACATATTCAACGGGACATTGCAAATTTCTTCAATTCGTGACATTGCAAATGTTTTTGAGCTGTTTAGTTATGCATGGACTGAAAACTGCCTCATCCAAACAGATCAGGAGACAGACAATATTAATTAGTCTTTCAAATAATACCGGGTTTTCCTTCAAAATGGCGTACCATGATTACTAGTTTCTCTATCTCGCTGAAAATGCTTTCTTGCTGGCTTTCAGCTGAAGTTGAACGAAAAGGCAACGAAACTCCAAGGTCGTTCCAAAAGTGATCTTCAATTAAACATACAACCTCCTGCTATTTTTAGCCTTTGGTATATTCAATACTTGAGTCGCTTGAAATTACGCTAGGGACAGTTGATTAACGTAGTTGTAAAAACACCTAAAATATTAGACGAAATGTACACATGATAGGATCCTTTCAAATTCATTTGAATCAAAATATCACGATGATACTAAAAACGTTGTGTGTTTTCAACAAATTTAACTCTAAAACATTCCCCCGAAAGTATTCTGCAGATTCAACGTGACATTTCAAATGTTTTTTGGCTGTTTAATTATGCATGGACATAAAGCGAGTAACAATTGCTTAGTGTACTCGTAGATTAAGAGACAGACAACAACAGTCTTTCAAGCAATACCAGCCCTGCAGGAGTTTTGCAAAATGACGAACTACGATTACTTATATCAATGCCTCATTGAGAATAGGATGTTGACGGCTTTCTGTTGAGGTTCAACAAGTAGGCATAAATACTCTTAGGTCGTTCTAACAGTGATCTTCAATTGAACATACAACTCCCTGCTATTTTTAGCCCTTGGTGTATTGACGTATTGAAGTATCGCTTGAAGTCACGCCATAACACGAGTCAGTTGACCATTTTTTTCATTTTATAGGTCAGTTTTTATTGTCATGGAGACAAGTGATCCCATGGTCAAGAAGAAATCCGATCGCGTACCTACCAATGCACCCGTGGTGTGGAAAGTTCTGGCCATCGTCTTCATTCTGATAAGTTTAGCGTTAATGATTGCGTTGATTGTTGTAGCAACGAAGAAATCAAAAAGCGATCGTGAGCCAGCTGAAAATTCCAAAGGAGATCATGTTATTCAAGTGGAAAACTGTGTAAATGGAATGGATGGACTTGCTGACCCACCTAAGTCTTCGGGTCTTTTCGACGATCTAACAATCGAAGAAATCACCGCTGTTAGAGCGTATCTAATGGAGCAAGCTTCACTTAACCTAACGGAACCTGCCGAAGCATCGGTCGACAGTAATTACATCTACATGATACAGTTTCTTCCACCGTCCAAGAATGAAGCTTTAGAGTATTTGGACAACAATGGCGCCAAGCCTGAACGGAAAGCTGTGGCGGTGGTATTTCATGGCGCTGCCAATCCCCCGCTTGTCAGAGAATATATAGTCAGCCCTGTTTCCAAACCTACTGGACACGTCGCAAGAAAGATTCCTGGTGGGGAGAAAGACTTTGTAACATTCAATGCTCGGCCTTTTGATACTCGCACGAGAATGATAATGACCTATGTTGTACATTATGTCTCTGCAAAACTCGATAAGCTAATGAAAGAGAGTTACGATGGCTTCTCGTTCACCGGATGCAAGTCACCTAAGTGTCTTGGAATTGGTTTTACTTCTCCTATGGGATTTACTGCCGAAGATCGCATAAGTTGGATCAATTTCAAACGTGACATGACAGGACATCTTGACTTGTCGATGTTAGTAGATTTTGGAGGAGCGGACACGAAAAAATGGAAAATACTCAAGGTTCTCTACAATAATCAGACATTTGACTCTGTTGATGAGTTAGCGGCCAAATACGAGAACAACACCATCAACAAGATTTTTGTTCCTGCACCAAAGGGGAAGGACGCGTTGTTTTCAAGCTATCAACGTCGGAGAGATCCACAGCCACCCACACCAATGAGAGGACCAGAACAGTACGAGCCCGATGGAAAACGCTATACCGTTAACGGACGTCATGTCAGCTACATGTCTTGGTCCTTCGATTTCAGAATGGATTCCAACAGTGGCATGCAGATCTACGATATAAAATTCAACGGAGAGAGAATTGTTTACGAGCTCAGTCTTCAAGAAGCAGCTGCAACATATACAGGTTATTATCCAGCCGCTTCGTGGAATAACTTCCTCGATGGAGGCTGGGGAATGGGAGCATACAGCATGGAGCTGGTTCGTGGTGTGGATTGTCCCTACTCCGCAACATTCTTTGACCTAGTGCACATGTTTGAAAAACCAACGACTGTGCGAAACGCCGTCTGTGTATTTGAACTAAACACTGGAATGCCACTTCGCCGACATTATGATAACAACTTTTACAATGGTTATAAATTCTACGGAGGAATGACCAACCAAGTTTTAGTTCTGCGTTCTGTGGCGACGCTGTATAACTATGACTACGTGTTTGACTTCTTATTTTACCAAAATGGTGTCATTGAAGTTAAAATGTCAGCCTCTGGGTACGTCTATGGAGCATTCTATGACTCCAACATGGACCCTTACGCATACCCCCTCCACAAGGATTTCACAAGTGGTACACACGATCACCTCATCAATTATAAAGTAGACTTGGACATTGGTGGGCGTAAGAACTCTTTCGAGACCATTGAAATTGGAATCGAAAACATCACTGAGCGATGGTTTCCCGATAGACGACGTGTTCAGAAAGTTCTGAAACGCGATGTGAAGAAAACAGAGATGGACGCCGCTTACAAGTTTGACTTCGACCATCCAATGTACCTAAACTTCTTCAATGAAAAGAAGAAAAACCGAATGGGTGTGAAAAAAGGATACCGCATCCAGCTGGACAACATGTTGAAGCAGTTGTACCCAGAAGACTGGATGATCACACCGATGTTGAGCTGGTCCCTCTACCAAATGGCTGTCACCAAATACAAAGAGAACGAGACACAGAGCAGCTCTATATATAACCAACAGTCACCGACAAATTCCCAGGTTTGTAATTAATTTGTTTAAGGAAATGATTCATCTGGAGCATTCCATGTGGGAGTGGTGGTAAATCGATAGCATCTTACAATTACACAAGACGTAGCCTTCATATATGTGTGTACTTGTTTCTTCTTCTCCCATCTGGGCTTGTACCTCTCTCCTTGAGCCTGACTCCGGATTTCTAACACAAACCTTCCACGCACGAAAAAGGAAACCAGTGGGATAAAATTGCTTGGTTCGTTTCTCAGCCCTTCAGCTAAATAAGAGTCAGGAATATTTTCAAAATACTCCGTCAGCTCTCAGAAATGATTTTTGGGTTGGTTGCATCCCTTACTCGTCGTCAAATTATCTGTAATTATTTTTATCTAAATCATTTGATTTTGAGTGGCAACTACACTTTTTATAAGCCCATTTTGGTATGTTTTAGGTAGGTCGTGAAACAGATAAATCACTTGCTTTATCTCGACTAAGAGCGCTGTTTGACTAAGCGTTGCAAACCCAAAACCAAATGTATCACAACAGCCAATTAGAAGAAAGGGAAATCCTGTTAAAGCTAATAAAAGTTAAAAATATTTGTCTCATATTTTTCCCAGGTTGATTTCCGTAATTACCTCGTGGATGATGATCCCATTGTCAATGAGGACCTGGTTTCCTGGGTAACAATAGGGGCGATGCACGTGCCTCATTCAGAAGACTTGCCTAACACCGCTACGGCTGCCAACTCCGCCAGCTTCTTCATAAGACCTTTCAACTACTTTGACGAGGATCCTTCCATCGGATCTACCAACGCCATTTTGATCAAACCCATAAAGCCGTATAATTTCACTGGGCAGATAGTGGAGCGATATGGCACTCCTGTGGGACCACAATGCATCCCCAAGGACTATAAAATTGACTTTAATGGAACTTACCTTTATGGATAGATGGGTTATTTTGAGTTATTTCGAACACTTCCGTTCCGTTCGATCTCGGACGCTATCGTCTTCTTTCGGACGCCATAGACAATTTTTGTACCCTATTACCTGAATGGTAACTGTTCGTTTCGCTTTCAAGTCGTTTCGCTAAAAACCATGCCAATTCACTAACGTCTCATGTCGTTTCGCTAACGTCTCAGGTCGTTTCGCTAACGTATTACGAAACGATAAGTGATTCCATCAGCAGAACTTGATCGATTTCTAATCGGCCTAAAAGTCGGAGGGAGTTAGTTCGTTTCCATGCAAACTAAAAGTCGATTTGATACAAGCCAGAGATTATGTCTTGATACAAGTCGGTTCAAGACAAAATGAAGTCGAAAAAAATGCATATACATGTAGTGATCTTTGCGACTTCGACCAATCGATACAGTCTATCATCGGCCGATCTTACGCGGTATTGCTGTACAGCATTTCATTTGTCGCTACTTCAAAGAAAACAAAAATGAGTGCAGACGGCAGTGAAATAACCTCAAATGTTAGTGAAACGACCTTTGAGACGTTAGCGAAACGACCTGAGAGGTTAGGGAATTGGTCATAAGCGCAACGACCCGTATGCGAGACGACTGCAAACCATCTGAACTGCAAACGGTCCGATTTCGAACGATTGCATTTGATTTCGGATAGTTCTGCTCTAACTTGATTTTTTTTACTATTGTAGTTGACGCTTAGTTTCAAAAAGCTTCAAAAGGCTGGTTTTGAGTCAGATAACGTAAATACATAAAAATTTCTCATTGATAACACATGCATGTTTGTTTGGCCTGCCGCTGAACTGTTTTTCCTCTCCTCTGCGACCTGTTTGTTCTGTATTGCTGACCTGTTTACACGGTAAACCAATCTGACTAGATATTGTCAGAGAATTCAGTGTGTAGCGCTGAAATGTAGGTTTTATACAATGTGAGTTTAGCTCTCAGTTCCTATATATGTAGCGACCGTCTGTCCAGTTTCTCAATGGAATTATGTATTGCTTCCTTTAGATCGTACAGTCTTGCATGGAATCAATTATACGATTGGCATTGCCCAGTGGGATTGTCTACTTGTTTTCAAAGAAGCACTGATTACGGACGTTTTCCGCTTAAATGTAGAAAGGGCAGCCCTATCCATTGAATGAACTCCTCCCCCTAGAATATATCAAAGTCCCCGATACTCTCAGGAGCTTGTTGTCATCCGACTTTGGAGGAAGTTTGGCTCAGTAAGAGCGATGGCCCCGTAATCTGGTAGTCTCGGGTTCAAAATCTTCAACTTGCTACTAACTGAAGTTGTTCTTAATTGTCCCGAGTGCAATTCCTTGGCTGCCCTCTCTACATGACCGACTCGTCTGCCTCCTGCCAGTTGGGATTTTCAAAAGCTGTATATATTTATGTTTTTTACAATGTTTACCAGATCATTACTGTTAATTGCTAACAATTGCTTATTGCTATAAAATAGAGCCGCCTCGTTATCATTATTATCTTTATTATTATCTTTATTATTATTATTATTATTATTATTATTAATTGAAGATCTCCATTGTGGAGCAGGCCATGTGAGAAGAAAAATGAGACTGCTCCACAAAAAGTAAAAACTATTCTGAGAGAAGTATGACTGGTATAAAGGGCCGAAAATATATATTTGGAAAAAAACTTCACTAAGACATACAAAATTAAATTGAGCGTTTTTCAAACGAACGGATGCAAGCATGAACTCATCGCAAATAGAGCTTTGTAAGTACCTCCTCGCGCGCGACCCCCTCCTTCCTAAAGATCTCTTCACGCTCGTCTCGTACTTGTAACGTACTCCGAGGGTGATGTCTTTGAAAATGACCCCTGACCCGCTGGCTTTTGGACATTTTAAGTTTTTTCGTTCTGTTTTGTTTTGTTTTTACTTTTTAAAAGCATATGAAAAAAACCTACTGCCAGTGGAACTATATCCCAAATCTTCGCAACCGTTTTTTTTTAATGTCACGCAACACTACCCATTCTATGGCACCCTGGAAGGATCCCTGATAAAAGAGATCACACGGCACTTGGCTTCTCTTCGAATAGGATTTAAATTGCAGCTCCCTCATTTGTTTTCAATCTACATCTTTAGTCTCTAGCCTTAATAAGAGGCTAATTAATAATAGGGCTTTGGATCGTAGCTCAATAAGAGAAGGAGGTACACGCGCGTACTCACGCGGGACAAAGTGTGATCGCGATGTAACGTGACTGGGTACTACTCCCCATTCCTCCCCGTCTGGGGGGCTAAGTTCATTCAGTTCAGTTCTTTATTTGGCGGTCTTTGTGCGTACAAAGGCAAAAGGGGAATCTCTCTTCACTCTTCACATATCTGTCCAGGAATTGCTTTTTGCACAAATGTCTAACCCGGAAACGCAGCCGAAAAAAAGGAAAGAGCTGGAGGACTGCGACGAAGAAAATCCAAAGAAATCAAAGACTGAATCTGCTGACACCTTGATCGATTCGTCAGGTCATGAAACAAATGACACGAAGGAAAACCACTTAGGAGACGAAACCTTACCCGGGGCCGGATCAGAGGAGGCCACAGAACTCGATAAAGCCCAGGTAGAGTGGATTTAGAGCAAATGTTTCTCAGGGATTGCGCCCCTCAGCTGGTTTCGATCGCTTAGGTCAAATTTCTCTTTGAGGTGCATTTTGCCGGTCAGTAACTTCCAATTTTTTTTTTGTAAGATTTAATTATTGTTTACGATTTCTAGACCACATCTCAAAATCTTAGTCATCGATAGTTGCTCAAAGTTTTGAAAAGGTTCGCCATGTGCTAAATCACTCATGAGGTGCAGAAATTTTTCAAGAACGTAATCGCTCAACCGAAAAAACTTCGGTCTTGAGATGCAAATGTTAGATTGATCGACAATGGATAGAAATTTTCTGTGGATGCATGCTAATCTCTTTGTTCGACAGTTTCCGGTTCACTAAAGGAAAATGATTTATTTTCGGCCAAAAGATCAATGAAATCATCGTGAAGGAAATATTTGCTGGCATGACAGCGGAGCACATGACGAAATTTCAAGAATTGTGTTATGTGACATTCGAAACGAATCAATAACAACAGAAATCCTTTCGCGGGAAATTAACATGCGCCGCAGATATGAACAAGCTGTCGCAAATTATATTTTTGGTTTCTGCGATATTATTAAAATCACTGAAATGACACACAAAGATTTGCTTCTTGTAACGCGCTTTTGTGCGATGTTTTGAGTTATTCGTCAGACGAAGTTATGTCCTCATTCATTTAAATAACATAATTGCAATTGCAGCAGAAACTAATGATTTTAGCGTTGGAGAAATTTGCTCGTTTGAGCTTCAAAATCCTTACCGCTTTAATTAAGACACAAATCTGCATTTCCCCTAAGGTCCTCTGAGATTCAACAATATAATTTTTATCTTATTTTCCAAAAAAAAATAACTTGCAGTTTACTTTAGTCTTATCACAATCTGCAAAATTTTAATGATTCGGTTTCCAAACTGTTTTTACGAAATTATTCGTGGATCGATTTAGACCTATTTTAACCGGATCATTGGACGTACAAAGTGAGGAGTACAGATTGAAAAATTATGGCGTTATTCAAGTAAAAATGCTCGGTACAAAGGCCGGGTTTTGTTCAAAATTTCTTAAATGCAGTAATTTGCATATTTATAATACCAAACATCTGTCTTGTTAATATTGTATTTCTTGCCATTCTAAGTAAAAAAGTTAACCTTATTGTATAGCTTCCTGGTTGTTTTTCAATTTATATGGATATTGTACTTGTGCTAAATGGAGACCACATGGTGGCTGGGTGAATACAAGATATTAATGTAAATTGATGTGATGAGTTTAACCTACATGCCTTGTCACATTTCAAATGACTTTCTTGATTAATGGTTCCTGGGTTTTCAGAAGTTCTTTATGTTACTTTCAAGATTTTCATTTTAGTGATTAGAACAGAAGATCAAAAGATAACTGTGATGAGTGTAATCTTTGTACTCATGCCTGTTACATTTGAAATAACTTTCTTGATTAATGGTGTGGTGCTTGGGTTTTCAGAAGTTCTTTTTTATCTTTCAAGATTTCCATTCTGGTGATTAGAACTTAGGATAAAAAAAATAATTACTGTGGTAGTTAAATCTATGTATGTACTCATACCTTGTCAGAGTTAAATTTTTTTCTTTGTTTAAATTAATGCATGGTGCTTGAGTTTTCAGAAGTTCCTTATGCCTTTTAGATTTTCATCCCAGTGAATCTACCTGAAAATATGTTCCCTTTGTTAAAAGATGTTTGAGGAAGGTGTCATAGCTTCTTATTTGGTACTCTGGCATTTTTGGTTAAAAAAAAATGTCATTAAAACCAGTGTTGAACCAAAGTACCCCTGTAGTAGTCTAATTGTCCAAAAATACTGTCCAGAAATGTTTCCAGTAACAAAAGTGATAAAAATTCATCAAAATCATCAAATCCAACAGGCTGATTGCACTTTAATGAATTTGACTAAACTTTGTAGCCGATTTAGCTTTGACAAATTTGCCTAAATTATGGGCAGAATTTTCAAATCCATTAACGTTCACTCGGTTTCATGAAATTTCATCAAATCCTGCATGCATTTCTGGACATAAATGGATAAGCCAGTAGGCCTTTTTCCCTTTGTATTTTTTTAAAATGTAACAAAACAAAAGCCTTATAATGCCTATAAATTAAACCTTTGACCCCTAAGATTGACCAGCATCTAATTTCTCTTAACAATATCAGCCCTGAGTCAAATATTTAGGTCATAAGAATAGAGGAAAAGATCATCAACAGAAAAGGCTTTTGATTGTTAAACAAATTCTCATTGTTAGTACCTTAGTGAATGTATAGAGAACAGTAGAGAGAATATGCATACTGATGTTAGGCTGTAAAGAGTTAAATGTAAGCATATAACATGACTTGTAGTTGCACTTTCATGAGGAAGTTGGGTTGAGCTGTAAGTTCTTGTCACAAAACATTCAGTCATTGGAGAAAACTAGCGAAAAATTTTGAACTTTTTTTTTTTTTATTTTTTTTTTTTTTTACATGACCTTTGACATGAATTCCATGATGAAATCCCTTGAAAGGGCTTTCATCCAAGAATTTTAAGATAGAACTAGATATTTATTTTGAATAATGAAAAAGAAGAACAAAAAAACTAATTTTAACTGCATTGTCCCAAACTAAATATGGAAAATTGAGAATTTTGCTTCTATTTTTTTTTAAAGTCTCCAGCACCACCTAACACATGTGGTAAGCTTCTTATAAGTGGAGCAACAAACTGGGACCTAGTTGGACGGAAGGAGACACCAAAATCTGCTGGTAAGTTTGTGTTTCATGAAACTCTTATTTTGGTCAACAGGCTGCCTAGGGGTTTAAGACAATGTTTGAATCATGAGTGTTACACAAAGTATTCTGAGTAAAGCAAAATTCAGGAAATCAATAACTGTATGCTTTAAATGACCTAAAATTTGTCATGTTAATTATTTCCCATCACCATCACAGTAAAATGTGCCTTTCATGCATGTTGACCCCTTAGCTAACTCAAGATTAACCCAATTTGCTGGCCATTGACTCTTGTTGTTTGCTAAATTCAGCTGTATTGAGTTCTTAAATGGCTCAGAGGTAAGCATGCTCGACTCTGAATGGTAAGGTTAGGGTTTGAGCTCTTGGTGGGGGAGGGGGTTGTTCATTGTGCTGTGTTCTTGGACAAGATACTTTTCTCTTACTTGACCTCTCTCTGCCCAGGATGATAAAATAGGTGCTGGAAATTACTTTAAGGAAACTTGATAGGTTGCTGGATATTCACCAGTGATGCAGATGGTACTGAAACTGTAATAAGTAAGGAGTTATGAGGGGTGATATGTTGAGCTGAATTATACATGCATTTTGATTTTTTCTTACATATGATCTGTAAGAGGACAGATACACAAATGAAATGACCCTTAACAAAATTTTGCTATTTTATCATTGTAAAAAAATGTATTAAATTCCATTCGGTCATGTTACTGTTCAATAATAGATCACAGAAAGTGTCAAAAATATAGTAAGAGCATCATTGACAATTCAGCCGCACCTTGTGTCACTCTTTTTTTTTTTTTTTTTCCCACATTTTGATGTCATTTTGTAAAGCAACATTGTATTTTTTTAAGTAGACTCTTTTAAATTTCTATCCCTCTGTTTGGTCAAAAGAAAAAAAATACAAAGCTAAAAAGAAAAAAAATGATAGGCTAGGCCATTTCTACCATATAGCAAATAAGGCAATTAATTTAATAGAGGGGGTAATTTTTTAACCCTTTAACTCCCATGATTGACCAAGACAGAATTTCTCCTTACAATATAAATACAATATCAAGCATGCAAGTGATGAGAATTAGGACAAATATCAATTAGGGGATTATAAGTTCATCCAATCCCAAATTCTCTAAACTTACGTCACAAGAACTGTATGGAAGACAGTAAGGAGAATTATCAATTAGATCTTGGGAGTTAAATGGTTAAAGAAATCTTTATATAACAAGGTCATTAGCCCTTTGTTGTTTGCTCAAAATGTCAGCTTACAAACTTCTTAATATGGTAACCAATTTACATTATCAACTCAGTTGACAAACCAAATAATCCAATTAATGTAATGTCCTCAGGTAATGCAGGAGGTCCAAACTTATGGGAACCGCACAGCATCTCATCACTGAACCACATCAGAGTGCAGCTGGTGGCTTCAGGTCCAAGTGCTTGTCATAGCATCATCATCTGTGAAGATGGAACTGCTATGAGTTTTGGTAAGCATGCAATTTGATGTCGTTATTTGGCCAGTAAAATGTAAGTGTGAAAGTTTGGACTCTAAATTCTCCATTTTTGTGGAAATTGACCCAAGCAATTTTCCGTAGCATTTGATGTCTGTCAGGAAAACTTTAATGCCCGAGATCTGATTGATTATTCTCCCCTTTAGCTGTCACACATTTTCCTTGAAAACTAGTAAGGAGAATTTGGTGTTACATGTATATCACGACAACATTGTAGTATTTTTGATAAGGTTGATAATGTATGGTTATTTTTGGGAGGAGTTACATGGTAATAATTATATTCAGGGGGTTTAAGAGTTAACCTTTGGAGACTGGTGACTTTGACATGTGATCCAAGTTTTCAATAATTTTAAGGATTAGGTTTCAGGATTAAGTTTCAAGGCCCTATTTAGTCTTGAGGCCTTTACTTCCAAGATCTCCTTATTGTCTGCCATACAATTCTTGAGATGGTAGTTCAGAGAATTTTGTTTTGGATCAACCAACAATGCTCTAATTCCTATTAATTTTTTTATTCCCATCACTTGTCTACTTGATATTGTGTTGATATTGTAATGAGAAATTGTTAATTGGTCAGTCATGGGAGGTAAAGTACATAAATGAATTACACCTTGATCAGTGCTTCACATGTGCATTGATATTTAGTCTCTCTCAAATGTTTGCTACATCTTACATAAGTGACTTTATCAGGGTTTAACATTAAAAGTTTTTATTTCTTATAATTTACATACATCTAGACATTGCATGTTTTTCAGCAATGAGTGACTAGTTTAATTTTCTAAGGTCGCAATGACAATGGTCAGCTGGGACATGGAGATGTGGTACGCTGTGACAAGCCCAAAGTAATTGAGAGTTTAAAGCACTACACTATCGTGCAAGCAAGTTGTGGAAAGGCACACACCCTGGTTCTCACAGGTTTGCAGCAGTGATATTTAAATTTTTTTTTAGCTTTGATGCAAGATGCAAGCTCTGGCAATTTCAGTTCTAGAGTCACTCCCTCCTCTCCCTGCAACCCCCTTTCTTCCCCCCCCCTCTCCACTCTGCAAGGGTTATTTGGGGCTGAGAAGAAGAGAGACCCTGGAAACAAGTTTTCAGGCTTACAGTTTTTTTTTTTAGGGTGGGGGGAGAAGGGGGTGGAAAACCAAGCTGCATGGCTTAGAGCATTTAAGCAAATCAAGAGCTGTGGGAAATCTATTGAATAAATGCATACCCACATGGGGCTGAAACTCACAAATTCTCATTGCAAGCTTCTTTGTTTGGTACAAGAAACCTGAAAATATGGTAGCTGTGATTATTTAATGATGGTCACATCACTCATTACTAGTAATAACTGTTGTTTTCAGCTGAGGGTATCCTGTTTGGTTTTGGTGGAAACAAGATGGCTCAGCTGGGACAAGGACATCAAAAACCAGTTGTGGCCAAGCCTGTTCAGGTACCATTTTGATCACATTTTTGGAGGATTGTGCCAACTGTTCCTTTACCAGATTTACCAGATGTTCCTCAATGTATAGCCTAGTGCACAATGAAATGGAGAAGGAACTTGGAAGGGGGGGGGTGGGGGGTATTGTTTATGTAAATACTTGGATGATAGCCTGCTCCACCTCCTTCCTGCTCCACTAAACATAAACTGTAGTATTGTCATATCTTTGGGCTACATGTATGTAGCACTCAGTGGGAAGTATACCTATGTTTGAAAGAATATTATAGTTTTATTTTGACTTGCAACTTATTCTTCATCAAAGTGTACTGAGTAAGCATTACTATCTAGTACGTCCCCCTCTCAAATAGGCCCTCATCTGTAATAAGCCTCCATCTCCCAAAAAAGTGGAGCCGTTCTGATAAGCCCTCTCCTTTAAATGTGCTCCTCCCTAATAACTGCTTCCTTCTGTTAATAGGCCCCCCTCTAATATGCCTCTCTCAAAAAACCCATTCTTTCCTATAATGCCCCTTTCTAATAAACACCCTATCTGATAAGCCCCGTCCTCAATTAGACTCCCCTCTCTATAGTGAGCCCCCTTGCTAATAGGCCTCCCCTATCAGAAAGCCCCCTCTATAATAAACCCCACTATCTAATATGCTCTCTAATAACCCTCTCCTCTCTCTAAAAGATCTCCTACTCTAATAGGCACTTAGCTCTGCGAAGGGGGGCCCTCCCCATTTCTAATGGACCCCTCCCAGTGATCCACCCAGCTGCGCCACGTGTACTACATTTTGACGTTATCTGTAATGTATCGCTGATCAGACACACGGGAACATGGATTCTATTGTCAGGGTGATAACGGTAATGATGATGATGATGATGAAGGTGATACTGATGAAGATGATAATAATGATATCAATCGTAATTACTCTCTCTCTCTTTCTCTGGTTCCCTTCCATACAAAGATTGTTCACCCGAACAACAAGAAGATAATCAAGACCGCATGCGGGGCAGAGTTCAGCATGTTTATTGATGACACCAACTTGCTGTATTCGTTCGGTCGCCCGGAGCATGGTCAGCTGGGACATAACACAGACGGGCAGTACTTTGTCACATCTAACAAGCTGGCATTTTATTGCGAGGTGCTACCTAGACACGTGGCAGTTTTTGTCGAAAAAACAAAAGATGGATTCACCCATATCATGGACGATGTGAAAATTGTCGGTGTTTCATGCGGAAATAACCATACGGTAAGAAAATGGAATATTACCCAATTACTGTTCGCTTTGGTTATTTTCTTTGTAGGAAGTTTCAATCCGGGAAGCTAGGAGTTGGTCGTCGGTCGTCGGAAGTCAGCCTCGTTCGTGGCTCCAATGCTTTTTAACATGTACATACTGATATGACATGTACATACTGACATTCTATTTAAGAATTATTCCACGACCGCGTGTTGGATATGAGGTGGTAGCGCCTCAATGGCTATAACCAATCTCGAATCCAAAAGCGAGATTGGAATAGTTGTGTTATTAAATTTCATCAAATCGTAAACGTTAAGATAATTGGAGCTCTCTAAGGCAAATATTTTTTTCGCTCTGCACACTTGGCGCAATTTATTTCCATATAAGGTGACTCGGAATATGAGCTGATCACCAGAGTTGAGTGAACCAATCAGAACACTAGAAATACAATATTTGGAGTTGAAAATTTAGCAGTACAAGATGGATACATCTAAAGCCTGTATGCAGTTGTTAGAACCAAATTTCTGATTGAAAAGGAGCCAGTGTATTTTGATATCTTTCAGATTGTACGAGATTCTAAGGACCGAGTTTTTACTTGGGGATTTGGTGGTTACGGCCGGCTCGGCCATCAACAACCCAAAGATGAACATGTGCCAAGACTGGTTTCTTTCTTCAAAGCAAAAAGTGAGAGCAAACGTATTGTATTTTTGTACTGTCTTTTATTATTGTTGTTGTCAATTTTTTTTTTCACGACGGGTATTATAGTTTTTGTTCTAAACACTTTATCAGAAATCAGAGATCTATCACAGCTTTCCAGAATCATTGCCAATCTCTCTGACGAAGGGCTAATACTCGAAACGTCAGCCTTTAAACTCTTTACGGTGGCCAGTTTACATTTTAAACTCAGTTGATAATACTAAGTTACCCTGTTATACTCTCCCACCGACGCAGCGCCACAGTTTCTTTAGAAACTTACCCCTTTATTCCAGAATTATTGTTGTGTACCTTTCCTGTGATCACGAAACTTTTCTAAAGCGTTTGTGAAACAAATTCTGTACCTTCCTCTTATTCTCTTGGTAAGGAAAGTGTGTTCTGAAAGTACCTCAAATTTCCACACGATACTGTAGTATTTATTTTTATTACTAATGAGTTATATACAGCACTGTCCATGTCTCCATCGTCGTTATCTTCATTGACGGTGGAGTTAATGCTTTTAGCAGGTTATCTTTTATGTTTATCATCACCTTAAACAGCAAGGCGAATAAACTAGAAGAAAATCTATTCTCTCCGAGAATTTCCCTGAGTGTGACCGAGATCTCGTTTAGATGTGTTGAAGCGTTCTCTTCCAGAGTGATAAATAAAGTTTTCCTTCTCTCTCTCTCTCTCTCTCTTTAGGTGTCTCGTCCGTCCATGCCGGTGCAAGCTATAGCATGGCGGTCAGTGCTGGTCAGCTGTACTTCTGGGGACAGACCAAGAGCACGGGGGATGCTACTATGTACCCGAAACCGGTCCGGGACATGTCAGGATGGGATGTCCGCAGTGTAGGATGCTCGTAAGTTGTAAAAGCTAAGCAAAGATATGGCTGAGATATAGAGGGGGGTGTTGGGGTTAATTTGGTCCCCTTGGGGTCCAGAATAAGAGCGCGGGAAATGCCACCATGTACCCGAAACCGGTCCGGGACATGTCAGGATGGGATGTCCGGAGTGTGGGATGCTCGTAAGTTGTAAAAGCTAAGCAAGAATGTGGCTGAGATATAGAGGGGGTGTTGGAGTGCATTTCATCCCCTCGGGGTCCAGACCGAAGAGCGTGGGGATACCACTATGTACCCGAAACCGGTCAGGGACATGTCAGGATGGGATGTTTGGAATGAAGGATACTCGTAAATGGAAAAGGCTAAGGAATGATGTGGCTGAGATAAAGAGGGAGTGTTGGGGTTCATTTGATTCCCTTGGGGTCCAGTCTAAGAGCGCTGGGGATGCCTCTATTTTCCCGAAATTGGTCCGGGACATGTCAGAATGGGATGTCCGGAGTGAAGGATACGCGTAATTGGTAAAGGCTAAGCAAGGATGTGGCTGAGATAAGGAAGTGGTGTTGGGGTTCATTTGATACCCTTAAGGCACCGAACTGAGAACACCGGGGATGCCACTATGCATCTGAAACTGAGCCGTGACAGTCCAAAGTCTAAGATACTCTTTAGTTGTGCAGCCCAAACAAGGGCGCAGCCTAGATCAGGAATGGGATGATAAGGCTGTATTTAAGCCCAATTTATAATGAAAAGTTAGATTTTTGAGTAATTATCCTAATGTCAAAGGGTACGCTGGAAAGGAACCACTGCTTTTCTTTGTTTATTTGTTTGTTTTGTTTTTTTTCTCGAAGCGTCGATTATCATGGCGACTAAGGTCAGGGAACGGGCAGGGAGAAAAGATAAAAGTCAAGTCCATAACTCATCCATTTCTTCTATTCTGTAAACATAACGTAATTTGTTGAAAATATACAAATACATGGCGAGGACGGCTCTAGTGGAAGCCGAAGGCTGCTTCTTCAAAGATACATTTCTCTTTTCGTTGGTCAGGAAATTGCAGTTTTGTTAGGAAAGTGCGGAAAAAGTCAGGGAATTTAGGAAATAGGTTCGTCGCAACAATAACCACAGAAACAATAATTTCGTTGCCTACTTGAAGGAATTTTTTTTAAATTTTAACCTTTTTTTGTCAAGATAATGTAGATACTTAATGAGAGTAAATGCTTCATTTTCTTAACAGCAAAACAAGCATTGTTCTGGCAGCAGACGACAGTGTGGTCAGCTGGGGACCGAGTCCGACGTACGGGGAACTGGTGCGTAGTCCACTCGTTGTTTTTAGTTATTCCAATGTTTAGGTCCATACTGCCGTTTTGTTTTTGTTTATTTATTCGTGTCGGTCTAAAAAACGGTGTATGGTTCGCCATTCACAGCTAAGGCGACAACTTGAATAGACTAGTGTTGTGGTAGCACAATTAGTGCAGAGCACCAACTTGTTATTTGGCAGTCATTACCTGCGAGTGCATCTGTTCTAACTATTTCATATTCATGCAAGAGAAATAGTTTCATTAACACTGACAAAAGGAATGCCAAGTATTTGCCAGAATTGAATGAATACCTATCATCAACCACGCTCGAGGTCTTTGCTAAACGTTACGGGGAATGCACGGGCATGAAAAGGGAGGAGAAATAACGGGGAACCTCGACTTTCTTTTGAGGCCGAGAAGACGACGTTTGACATATAATTATATGTTTACCGTCTATACAGTGAGTACAGGAAACGATTTAAAGACACGTGGAACGGCTTCAAGATACTCGTGATTATCTCCCTATTGAAGTTAAGGATATTATAGAGATGAACAGAAAAAAATTTGGGCAACATAAGAGCTTTAAATTTCCGTAGGCAATACGGTAGAGAAGGGCCCGCTGAATTGACTGATTACATCGCGCGTTGTTGCTGATATATATTATGAAAACAGTTTCTCTGTGAGGTTCAGTTACTGTCCTTATTAAAACTTGCGTGTTTAAATATTATGAAACTACGTTTATTTTTCAGGGATATGGATTAAAGAAAGGAGGACAAAAATCGTCATCAAACCCGAAGATAGTCGAACCTCTGGAAGGGATTTACATCCAACAGGTCAGCTGCGGTTTGGGGCACACCTTGTACATTGCACGTGACGAGGAAAACGATCGAGCACTACTTGACAAATTGCCCGTTTACGACCCCGACAAGGTAAGATATTTTGATAAGCCTGGTAAGCATATAATCTTGCAGTTGCAAGGATTTTATGCAAAAAGCGTTGAGTGATTGGTGATTGATGCAAGGATGTGGCAAAAGCGAGAGGGTTTATGTGACCCCCTAAAACTAAGAAAGTTTGATGATTTTAAAACAACCTTGCAGGGCACCATGTAAATAATCTACCGTATGGGATTTTGTCCTCGAAAGGAAAGTAGAAGGAGGTTTATCTTTTTATCTTTTTGGAGAGGGATGTATCAGAAACTTTTAGCTCTTTGGGGCTTAACCGAGACGGGAGATGAATAAGAACTCCAGGGGGTGGCATTTTGTCTTCACTGAGTAAGAATCTCAGTTTAGAGAAAGCTACTGTCCTGTTAGCTTTGACTTCATGTTCCTTTGACCTCATATCATCTTTATTTTTTTCTGCAGATGTGATTCTGACCAATGTTACCTCTTACAAATGTCACTCGTGTCACGGCTTCTGCTTACGTCAGTGTTACGTCACAAGTCACGTGATTCAATGCGTGCGTAGTCTTCTTGATTCGGAATTACCAGCTGTTTCCAAATTATTTATATTTGTACGTTTTGTGATATTAGATAGTTTAGATGAGCTTCTTACTGTAAAGGGCAATGAGAAAGTGACATTGTTTGCGTTCCCAGGGTATCTCTGGTGGGCGAGAAATAGTGAGAATCTGAGAACGAGAATATTTCTAACAGGGCAGTAAGACTGAGAAATGTTTGGGTCTCGTTGTCGAATATTTTCAAATCAAATGCCAAAGCACAATTCCCAGCCCTGCTTAGGTTTATTTTTCTTACAAAGCTGACTGAAAAAGTTCCAGTTGAGAAATATATTAAACATACCAAGTTTCTCTGCGATGGTTTGATTTTTATGTAGAAAAGCAATTTTTGATTAAGTTCTTTCCTAAAGAATGTTATTTCTATCATTTCCTCAGTTTTTCTTTCGTACGACATGTTATCTATTTATAGCTGTTATTCCTCCAATTTCTTCTCCAGAGAGAGAAAGAGACAAAACGTCTAAAATCTGAAGCAAATTGTTTAAATAATCTAATTATTTAGTGACGACGTGTGACATTAGATTAAATATTAAGTACCTATAGTAGTGTCAAATCAAGAAAAACGCTATATAGATAGAGAAATTCAGTATTTAGAAACATGGAAGCTTGATATTAATTGTACATCTAAAAAAAAAAGACATTTAAAAAGTATGAGTAGTCAAGCAAACATAGTGAAATTATATTTATTTTGCAGAGCTCTAAGAAAAAAAGTATTGATTGAAGTGAGGATGGATCTTTTCTTCTAGATTTCGTAGCTGGCTGTTCTGTGTCAAGTGTGATCGAAGAAGTCGTGAAGCAAACGACGCATGTCTATAACGTTGACTGGCGCCTTCGTTTTCAACGAACAATCACACAAACGCCAAATACGCGAGCTAAGAAACTTTTTCGCTGTTATTGTTATGGTACATTGTGCAATAAAGCCTTTTTTTAAAACTATTCATTATTCTTTTCTATTTCTTTGATATTAAACTGATAATATGTCCGCCAAAAAGAGGATTTCCAAGATGGTTGATAGCTTTCTAAGAAAAGCGCCATCGACTGCTTTTTATTTGCAAAGTCACAGCCTTTGCGCGGGCCGAAAAATCCGAAAATTAGCTGTACATTGAGTGAAAGTTTCAAAGTCGCAGCTCCTTTGAAGAGAGGGGGAATTCCCTTTGAATATCAAAACAGAGTGTTGTTAATGACCAAATGGACCATTTGATTCAGAACAATGACGAGGGGTTAACGCTCGAAACGTCAGCTTTTAAACTCTCAACGCTGGCCAATTTAGTATTATCAACTCAGTTGATGATGCTTAATCACCCTGCTATGCCCTCTCACCGACGCAGCACCACGGTTTCTTTAGAAACTTACCGCCTTTATTCACTTGAATAAGGGTTTGTTCAATACCTCCAAAAGCTCAATGACAAAATTGTTTTGTTTCAATATTTATGGGTGTATATCTCTGAAATTGGAGGCTACAGAAGGTTTTAATCATATTTCCTTGGGCTTTAGGAAAAATTAACTCCTAATTCTAATCAATCACAAAATAGCTTTCGATTTTGAATGTTTTATTGTTGTAATCCAATGCAACGATTTCGTGTCGACAGGTAACAACTCTCGTGCATGACTGGTTAGCTACTCTCTCAGTAGTTGGTCCACCTCATTCACTTTTGAATTCTAAAAATCAGGAAAAACAGAGCATTATCACTTATTTTAGTTGGCATTTAAAAGTAGGGATACGTATACGTGGCTTTAAAAATGACTGAAAAATAACAATCTTTTCAAATCTGGTGAATTTGCTGTAGGCAGTTGTTTGAGCCCAACTCCCCCCACCCCCCTTAACAACCCCAACGCTTGCATCGAACGTCAAGTTTCGTATGAACAAGTCCCCGTCCCCTGCCCCCACTTCCTCTAATAATTTATAAATTACAAAAGAAAGTTACAGGACAAAATGTTACTGCTTTGATAATGTTACGTAAGGGGAAGTATCCCATGGAGCCATGAGATCTCAAAGTGAAAACAAGAATGCGCAAACTGCCTAAAGGACGGAAAATTCAAATGATCAGGCTGTTACTGATTTTGTTTTTGAGTAAGATTGGTTGAGAAAGCAATGCTAGTTTTCTGAACTAATCACGCTGCGAGTTAAGTAAACCAATCCAACCCCGGATTACCTTGGAAACTTGGTCGAAGATTGTAATGTTATTAAGAGAAGCTACCACCCTTAATTACCTGCCCCCGGCAGAACACTTTTCTCGTTTCTCCGGGACTTGCCGCACGCAATGCTGATGTCGTCTGCCATGAGGCCAAAATCCTGACCAAAAACATCGATGAAGGCTTTTACCAAGTTTTGTTTGGCTAGTTTCTGGACTTTGGGATCCAAACAGTCTCCTGAAAAGCTTTGCCAACTCATTCCTTTTCGAAATAACACTGGTCCATCAACATCTGAAAGAGACGGAAGAGAAAGAACAAAGGGAACTGAGATAAGGGATGAGAAAGCAACAGGAGGACTAAGTATAAGTATACATAAGACTAAGTATACATAAGTTAAAGAATTAAAGAGGAAGGTTAAAGTTCTGTCTGACGAACGCTTAGGCGCGAAATTTAGAGTCACAGAGAGTCGATGCGTCCGTCTTTAACTTATGTGTGTATATATATATACATATCCAAATGTATGAAGAGATAATTTTAAAACAATTGCCGGTAATGTCGCTATCTGATTGGCCAATTTTCCATGTCGATAAAAGAACAGACAACGCTGTCGCGTCAACATGTCACGCACTGCTTTTATCAGCTCTCAAACATTGATGACTTGAAAATTTTGACCTCGATACTGTGGTAAAAAACAAATCGACAGTGGTTTAGCGAGGTTTGTACTCTTATCGTGAGTCCATAACATTTTGACCACTGTTATGACGAATACCGTTTTCGATAAGAGTGCAGACCACGCTAAACCACTGTCGATGTGATAAATTCATTGATTTTCAGACGGTGTATAATCAACTCGCCCACAATACGAAAATATGAAGAACTACCAACCAGTACAATCTGGCCAAGGTAACTCTTGTGACACCACTGGGCGTGAATCCCACGCAAACCATGTTCCTGTCGATTGGCAGATGTACATATGGGCAGGAACTCTGGTGAAATCCCTGGGGAGATTACACTGAGGTGTGCACACTGTCCCGCCTAACAGATGCGAATGCGCGCAAGCCATGAGACCATTCAGTGGAGGAGCATAAGCCGGGCACTTGGGATCTGAAATGTGAGAGAAGAAGTAGCTAGACTGCTAATATATCAAGAAAATTAGGGCTATTAAGTTATAGTCTTATCAAATAGCGATTGCGAATTTTGATCGAGGGCCTCTTTCCACGGCCTCGGATAACTAATCGCGAAAGGTATGAGCGTATTTGCGTTTACGTGAGAAAAGTAGCTGAGCCGGGCCAGTCCTAGTACTTGCTGGGTTACCCCTTTTCGAGACTAGCTCGGCTTGACAAATCAGGAAAAGATGGGATTAGTTCTGGCCATCAATTCATGTAAACACCGACCCAATTTGTAACGCAGTTTCACTAAGTAACACGTTTGCTTGGATTTCTTGTTTTATGTTATGGCCTACTACCAATCCATCATTCCAGACTTTGATATCTTTATAATCCCTTTTTTTGGTCGATTGAAAAACAGACCCACAATCAGTGATAAAATTGTTGACAGATCGACCTTTTCAAACCCCTATAACTTAAATTTTAAGTTAATCTATTCGCCTCCTTCCCCCCCAGAACATTGTTGCATCGTGATTCCATGACCTTCAGCTATATACAGGCAAAATTGAATGGAGAAGGGGGGGGGGGGGTTTACCAATGATTTAGAGTGTGGTAGAGACAGGACTAGGTTATTCTACACTTAAATAAGACTCTTCAAATATGATGTGTTAACTAGTTTTGACGCTAATTGCACGCTGTCCTTGAAGTTATCCACTACAAGTAAAGACTTAATTGTATATTTTCGTTACCCTTAGCAGTGATTCGAACTTGGGTACAAATCAGTCGAGGCACGTTTAAAGAGGCCTTGAATTTCGTCGAGCCAAATTCGATGAAAGTGATGCCGAAGTTTCAACAATACAATGAGGAAAATTTTCCCATGATGTCACCAGCAGAGTCGCCAATGAGAATTCGAGGAAAATACATGCTAACTACCCCAAGCGAGGGACAACGCAAGCGATCAACTTTCGATTAGTTCTAGATGCATCTGATTGGCTGAAAGGGTGGCGCCAGTTTTCTAAACCAATCACATCACGTACAAAGTATACCAATGAAACTAATGCAATTTCAGATCACCGAATATTTTTCTTAGCTGAGATATTTACGCGGACGGAACTTATTCACTGACACCCAGACATATCCAATGAAAAGACTGTTCGTAGATGATAGAGCACTTTCCAAAAAAAAACAAACAAACAAACAAACAGACTGGCGTAAAAAAAATGTAAGGTGCTAAAGTCAACGCTGAGCATCCCTGTACAAATTTTTTTTTTCCCAAACGCCCCACTTTTGGAAACCAAAATTGATAGCACTGGCCCTACTCACTAGAAACAGTTATAGTGAATGTACATGACGCCTTATTGCCCGATGGGTCCGTGGCCTTGTAAGTAATTTGATGTCGCCCCGCTGTGAAACCTGAACCAGCGACCGACTCAGTAAACAAAACGACGTGTCCTCCAGAGTTATCATTAGTAGTCGGCGGGTGCCAGTGGACAACAGTTGTGTGACCTGGCCCCGTCTTGATGACTTCCATATCTCTGGGACAAGTTATCTTTGGAGGTTCCTTATCTAAGAAGGAAACGAGAAAAATATTAGTTTTTATTTTTAAATAAATTCATCTCATTTATTTTAAGTGTGGAAGTTTTTTTCGTAATTGACTCAAGACTTCAGGGCTTTTCACGATTTACAGAACAGCAAGCGACAATGAAAATTGTTATTTTTTTATTACTTTTAAAAACTTATAACTGAGAGTTCCATATGAAAACTGATCCCAACTAAAGAAACATTAACTGGCGTAGCTAGCTGCATAAAATCATTTATTCCCTGTAGAAATAAATTTTCTTTTTATCAGAGTTCTCTCCGTTAGTATAACTTGTCAAAATAATTTCGTAGAGAGCAAGAAAAAACAAGTGAAACTTGCGCAATAACATGATCAACAATTTCAAGATAAGATAATCGTTTCACAAACTAATATCTGACAACAATTTAAGATAGTGGCTTAACAAAAAAGAAAATATAAAACTTTTTTTTCAAAAATACTCACCTACAATGGTAACCGTAAACACACATGAATGTGAATTTCCACTGTGGTCCGTAGCTGTGTAGATTATGCGTGTTTTTCCAATCGGAAAGTCGTGAGGTGACACAATACCCTTTGGGAAGCTGGTAATCGTGGGCATGTGACCCGAGTTGTCCGTGGCAAATGGTCTTCTCCACTTCATCCTCCTGGTGGGCTTTTTTGGTTCCGTGTTGCTGAATACGTTATCCGGGCATTCTATATTTGGCGGTTTTATGTCTTCACAAGAACAATAATTAGTGTTTTATAACTGCAAAGTTTAAAATTGGCTTTAGTATTATTTTAGTCGTTTACATAATGGGGTGGGGTGACCCGCCTAGGCTGGTTTCCCGCTCTGCTGGGTAGGGTTACTCTGTTACCCGGAGTGACAGTTTGCCTTGTAAATGTCTCAAGGTGGGGTAAACCCGCTCAGCCGGGGTAGCGTTCATGTCGCAAAAACTAAGACGGCGGGTTTCCTCACCTATCAAGGGTTCCATACATCCATGTAAACAAGCCCCTTAAAAGTCGTCTTACTTTATTGCCAGGTCTTCTTAATTATTCTAAGCAGCATATGGCAGTCTGCAGTCTTTCCCTACATTTCCACAGTTCAATAACCCGCCAACCTCTACAGAAAAAAAATTATCTCTCCCATCGGCATTCTTTATTCCCACGGCATCACCGAGCGCATTTCACCACTAATTTTTACCTCGTGTTTCTCACTGCACCTAGTTCCCACCAATAGCGTAGTTCCATGTTTCTGTACGGAAACCACACACAACCCATAGTTTCTCTATTTGTTCTGACGGAGGCTTACATTTACTAGCTTACGTTTCGGGAACTGTCCATGGTGGCCCACAGACGTAGCACCACCGTTTCTTTAAAGATGTATCCCCTCTCCTCGCACCTACATTTTATTTTTCTCATGTTTTTGTAAACAACTTGCCGTAACTGGTAATTTCAGCTCTCTTTGGGTTTGTTAGAAAGGTTTTTTTTCTAAATGATGGAGCTTAGTAAAGACACAACAATCGATTTAAGTAAATAAACGAAAAGGAAAGAAAACAATCTCTTACCCTTGCCTTCTTGGAGATATTTTGTCCGCCCTTGATCAGTGGCCAAAACTGAAATAGGGAAAGTTAAAGAATATTTAATGCAAGCATAAAAAAATTGTTAGATTTTAAAAATTGGTCTGCCTATATTAATATGAGCCATGATCTGCGGGCCTGAGTAGCTGTAACATATACTTTAAAAATCAAAAAATAAAGAGAGAAGATTGTGTCAAACGTATTGTCATAGGTGAGGGGAGTAAACATCTTGCAATGTATAGATCGGAGTGAAATCTGATTTTACCTTTCTCCATCATACAGATTATTGCTAAGACCATTGTTAGCTTTGACCCCGCAAGCATCATAGATGTGTCTTTGATATAACAGAGCTGGCCTGAACAAGCAATATCAAAAATACTTAGATCAATTTCCTATAAAGAGAACGGCTGTTGAGCATGAATTGCCAGTGAAATGCAGCTGGTGTACTGTTGAACACTGGATTTCGTACCATGGTTATGACTGTACTAAAAGTTGCATAAAAAAACTAGCGATTTTGGTTCCACAAAATTAATATGCAGTGTTGAAAGTCAAATTCCTGCATTGTGAAAGCTCGTGAAGCAGTTAAAATCGACGCACTCAATCCAAATTTTGCTTCAAATGGTTGCTTTGATTGTGGATCGCCAATATTTATTTACTTTGTCATCACTAGGCCTCTTTTTCTAAAATAAACTCCGGAAATCATGAAACTGTTTATTGCAATTCTATTGTTTTCAGAGTAAGTTGTTGACAAGGAAATTTGTTGAGCAGACCCAACAGGATCCTCATGACTCTATCATCCCCTGCCAAGTTAAGTCTTTCAATTGCAGTGATCGGTTGTACGTAAATATTTCTAATTAAAACTCCAAAAGAATATACAGGAGTCACGCCAAACATTTTGACCAATTGTTTTTTCTCTCTCGAATACGTTCATCTTAGTAAGCAAAATTTGGCAATTATAAATTTTTGGGCGAAATCCCTGAAAAACGCCCTGTTTTCATTTCTTGTATCTGGGGGGTTTTCTTGATATGACGAGAAGCTGCTGGGTTTGTATCAGCTTTAAGATTTGTACCAGCTTATATAGCAGGGGTTTTCCATAAATCTGGAGACTCTAGGTAAGATGCGTCGGGAAAAAGAGGGCGAAAATACATTGCGAAAGTTTGGAGAGAAAATTCGTCGACCTTCAACCCTTTGCTCTGCATTGCAAAAAATGAGGAAATATTATACCGGGACGGAAATGTCCTCGTCCGGGAAGCATAAGTAAACATTGCCGTGGAGAGAACATTTTTGATGTGTAAAAAATCCTCTTTTAAAACTTACTATCATGAATCGAGTGCAAACAGTGTTGTTCACTTCAAAGCGGGCTCAAGGTGAAGATATTTCCTTTACTTTTTGACTTAGAAAAAGGAAAGAAACTTTTAAAAAATTGTTTGTATGGATAAAAAACACTGAGAAGCTGACGATGTTTGGAGACGGAGAAGATTAACTTGGATTTCAAATGACCATCTTGGAAACATTTAGGTCAAATTATGGGAGATACCCAAACGCCGATCTACAATAGCTCTTTCTCTCTCTCTCTCTCTTACAAATAAAATAATAAAAAAGGCAAGCGTGTTTTAAGGCATAACAAGCTAAGGCAGGAATGTAATTTATACTTACTGTAACAAAAATGCCGCTTCAAGAGGGTAGTATGCTTGGCGTGGGAGGAGGCGAATGACGTTTGACCGTGGTGAGACGGATGTTATGCACTTCCCTTTCTTTGTAATGCAAACACCTTAAAAGGGCCACGGCTGAAAATATTATTGGTGTGATTTTACCGAAATTTCGTTTGTTAGCTATTGTTAATTTAAGTGACAGCCAATCGTTTGAGATAATTTTCTGTCAAAACGCTTAATAGGATTTTCAACTATAAGCACGGATGTTCCATGAGCCACGTTAAAAAAAAAAAAAAAAGTTTTTAATATCTCCTTTGGATGCTTATCTATATTATTTATCCTTGGCACCGAGGATCAAAATTTAATATGAGGCAGTGTCATCCAAGTTCTATATCATTGAACAAATAACCTCAGTTAAAACCGGATTTAGAAGCAGTTTTCTCAATGCTCTATTATAAGTTTGGTTAAAACTAGCATTTCCTCAACACTAACTTGTCTTTTCTCTAAAGGACCCAACTAGTTGCATTTCACGTGGGTGACTGGCTCAAGCAATCTAGAAATGGCTGCACCAGCCTTGATCAAGATGGCAATAGCCGGGCTGTCAATCAAACACCTTTCGATTCACGTCAATTGAAAACCTAATTAGCAAACTCAGGAACTTACTTCCAATCTCGTTCTTGGAATAATTACTTTCGAGCTGTTTACTCCTTCCAAATTGACTTTCCTCCTATCATCTCTAGATCTAATATTTTAAGATGAGATCTGGGTTAGCTGAAAAAGACTAGTTTCATAAAAATCACAAAGAATAAGCCTGACAGAATTAAAGGTTAAACTAAATAAGGAAAAGTTTGTTGTACCAGTCAAAAAGGAAAAAAAATTGAACACACCGCGTTTTCATAAATTAAAGAGAATTTTTTCTCACAGATTCAGTGCAGTGGATGAAATTATAAAATATTTACGGTTAACACCACCTCAAGTGAGAGTATTGATTCTATATAAAATCTTAAAATTAATGTAGAAACTCGTCTCTGATGGCGAATTCGGCAGGCGATAAACTCGAAATTATGAATTAGGAATGAAAATATTAGAGAGAAATTTCTAGAAGTCTGAAAAGAAATTAACTTAACAAAAAGTAATCATCGTGTCAACATTAAAATGACATCAATATGACAGCAAACAAAACATTATTTTCTGAGAACTCGCTAAAAAAGCCAATTATCAAGACAACAGAAAATCTGCACAACAATAAAATTCACGATAAGAGAATATATCAATTGATCAAAACTATCAACAGCTAACAGCAAGTATGGGTCGTAGTGGATAGCGTGTATTTGCCAGTTTTCGCAGTTCACACAATCCTCATTAGGGACCTTAAGCAGCCAGAACGGTAACGCCAAAGAAGACTTCGATTAAAAAATGTCTTTAACTAGAAATTCAAAAATTGGCCGCATGTGTTTACCATTCCATATGGCGCCACACCTCAACTTCAGCAAAACGTATTAAAGAAGCGTCAAGTTCCAAATGGAAATTAAAATAATCGGCCGTCGCGGTTTCGGTTCGCAGACGACGCAAATTGTGGTGATTTCACGTTGTCGTTTTGCACAGGACGGCTTAGAAATGTACAAAGTTTTAAAACGCACTTGCTGAGCTATTTTTCTGTCCATTAGATCTTTTGTTTTTCCATGTCCTCGTTGCCGCCGCCGTCGTGGTTTGCTTAAGGTCCCTGATATCATGTGACCTGCGCGTAAGCTAAGCACTTGACACTTGATATTATCTTCGTTGTTTCCGTTTTAAGGTGAAATGGGGTTCGTTTACTTTGTCTGTGAAAAACAAAGCTTGTTCTTAAAATAAAAATGAGAGTCTTCTCTTTTTCTACGACAATACACCAGATGAATCATGGAAAAACCAAGAAACAAGAATACTCATTTTAATGAATTCTTATGAATACCGCTACGAAACATCATTTTTCATTTCAAGAAATCTCATGATTTGTATTTCATCAATAATTTTAATCAAGCTTATTTAAAAAACAATATTGATTATAATGAATAAAGAAAACCATGTCTATTATTATTTATGCTAGGAAGTAGAAGTTCGTTTTGGTTTTTCAATAAGACCTTGGAATCCACTTTTCGAGATCTTGCGCCTAGCCATCAAACAAAGTGCTTCTACCTTTCTTAATGCAGTGTTTCTAGTTTTTAAAATCCATTTGTCAGAGAAAATATTATACTTAGGCCAATTTTACCATGCTAAAAGGGAGAAACTACTCCTGTAAATGCACTTAAAGCTGTAAATTGGATCCGCTCAACTTAACACAGCTGAATCAATTTAACAAATAACATGTTATCTTTAAGGAAGGCGAAGACGTTTCCTCTTTTCTATGTTGGTTCAGGTTTACACTTCTCAGAGTGGTTTGACGATCACGGGAACATAATCGGCATTCCCTGAGGACAGCTTTTGCATACGCCATGTGGGATGTACATTTCGAACCAATTGGCTTCCCTTTCATTGTTGTACTAAGGCTAACTCTGCCCCTAGAATAATTAGTTGTTCTTATAATTAGAAGTTATTCTTTGGTTCAATTATCACTTTCTCTGAAATAAGAAGTTTTAAAAATATTGGTCAAAACAGTTGAAAAAAATTTTGGATACGATTTCCTCGTATAAAAATTTCCAATTGGTATCACCTCAATATCAGTCTCATGCGGTTCAGAAATGTTCCTAATTATTGATTCTTTTCGAATTTTTTCCTTTTCTAATTCGATGAGAAGCGAGTGATTATAAGAGCGGATGTAACTTGACAGCTGCGTCAGTGTAAGATTCTGTTTCACCGATTTCTATGAAGACTGGAGACAAAATTTAAAGTAATAGAGCTATTATTCGTGCTTGCTTCAGTAGCAGTGACCACTTAAAGAATTAAAAAAAAAAAGTATGTTGTGCGCAATATTCATGCCGGATCGATATATACCAAATGGAATTACAAACAAAAAGAATTACAATGTTTCGTGTTGTAGCGTGCAAAATCAACTAACAACTGGCTCGATAAATGATTTTACTACTTTCTTTATTGAGATATCCCACAATTAGAAATCTACGTGACGAAACATATTTCATCAAACTTCCCTAATAACAAATAAAACAGCTGCCTATGTTTCGTAGGCCTGATTGACTTGATGCTTCTACCGAGGTTCACACAAGAATCTGGGTATTAAACTATTAAACACCAAACATTGCCGTGCTGAACTCTAAAAGATAAAGAAAAAAAAATTTATTACTATGTATAAAGATCATTTATCAAAGAGTTCGTAATGGGGGCAAAGATAAATGGACGACAGTAAAACGTTTCATTTAAATTTCCCCCAGGACTGCCGTAGCCGTCATATATATGAGACTACAAGATTCGGGTTGACGATGAAAAGAATGTTTTGGTGCCGGTTTGTGCGATAGTCAAACAATGGTCAGTCGATGATGGTGAAGTCTGGTCTGTTGAAATTGGTCTGATTAAAATAAGGGTATACTAGTAATCTTTTCAGAAATGTCACCCGGACTTATACTCCTGGGTTTTTTTTTATCCGATAAGAATACTTTCCGCCTGCCCTAATAATAATGTCCCTTATTTCTTTTTATCCTTTCCTACCCCGTTCCCTTTTGTTCAATTTGCGAGTCTTAACCCTTTAACTCCCCTAAGATTAACATGTAACTTCTCACTATAACATCCACACATTGTCCAGCAAACAGGTAATGAGAATACTTAAACTTATCAGGCAGACGTTAGTAGTCTTGATCTAACACCAAATTCTCGTAACTGATTTACAAGGAAATGTGTAGCAGCTAGAGGAGAGAATTAACAATCAGATCTTGTGAGTTATAGTTTGGTTCACAACGAGCAATAAGAAGCATGCACTCTTCCCGCAGATATTGTTCCACTCAGCCACAGCAGGGCTCTGTTATCTCCCCATTTATGATACTAACATCATAAATTCCCTACCGTGGTAACTGAATTTATTATCCGCCACATCAATATCGCCCTCCTTAATAAACTCAGCTACGCCGTTTGGAGAGATGTCATATTTGAAGTCTTCAAATCGTTTTTTCAGCTCTCCAGCCGTCACAAACAAGTCATGGTTCGTATCGGTGGCTTTGAAATGACATAAGATTTTCTTGACATCATATATACTTTTGTACGTCATGATTTTAGACTCCTCAGGACTGAGTTTGCCGTCAGCTGTGAAGGAAGGTAACGTAGTAATTTCTGAGCTTTTCATGTAATATGTTTAATGGTTAGATTTTAATGAATAAAGTATCTCTTCCTCTCTACAGCAAAGCAGGTTTGAACAGTTGAACAATGAAAGTGATGAATATGAAAGCGATATTCGCAGTAATGGATACTACTTAAGCAGTAGTGAAAATAAGGCCTGAAAAAAGGGTTCAGGCCTGTACGGGATTTGAACCCATGACATCTGTGATACCGGTGCAGCGCTTTGCTATCTGAGCTAACAAACCAACTGGGGGTGGTAATTATTTTGGTTAGTAATAAACCCGTGAAGTGATAAAGCAATGACTGTGAACATATGAAAGTAATATGAGCGAACTGCAGATTAAGAAGTGAATATGAAATAAGTGTTGACATAACTGTTCCTCCTGAGAAAGGGAGTAGTTAAATCTTCGTCAGTCATTCTCATATACGTTCATTCTAAGATTTTCATCATAACAAGAGATACTCTTACCGTTCAGATCGAATTCTTCTACATCACCCTTCCACTTTAATCCAAAGCTTTCCACTTCACTTTGGCTGGCAAATCCATCTCCGTTCAAGTCCATGTTTTCCACCAGAGCTAGAATGCAAAAAGCATTCGTTCAAGTCAATTGAAGCGAGCCAAAAATCAAAGTCAACGCCGTCACTGACTCCTTTTTTTTTTTTTAATCAGCCACGCATAAAGAATAGGAATATCAATGTGCCACTCAATCATTAAATTTTCAATTTAAGTATTGGGTCATTTTTGTATAATAGTTGAAAAAAAAATTAACCTAGTGCACGTTCAGTCTTTCGATTTTTTCCCATTGGAGCCTACGCTAAATCAATTCCGACTGAGACCATCGTTAATTTTGATGAAAACTGCAATTTCAGCTAAAGAAATCATCTTTGAACGAATGCAAACAGATGAAATTTGGATTTGCTACAGGGCCTTCTCACATTACGTGAAAAAATAAAGAAATGAGAAAAACCCACTTCAGACTAATTCTTTGATATGTACTAGATTCGAGTAGTGTATCATGGAATTTCCCATGAGTCTCTAGTGGTTCCGTGTTTACCCACTTAATTTTACACGAAGTTCTTGCATCAAATTTCAGATGCGTTTAAATCGGCTTCCTATAGTCTGCGATCTTAAGAAAATCTTAAAAAATACCAACCAATCTTCATAACACAGAATACAACGAGTATAAATCTCTCAAATAAAATTATTTTGGTCACGTGCAAAAATGAATAGCAAGGAAGATGTGTCACGTGCAAAATTGTGTCACATGCAAGATGTATCAGTTGCGAAAATGTATCACATGCAAGATGTATCACGTGCGAAAATGTATCACATGCAAGATGTATCACGTGCAAAAATGTAACGGTCAAAAATGTGGAATATAGCTTTCAACATTTCGAAAAGTCTGGGTGTAATATCGTGGAATACACAACGGCGTTCCTGTATTTATTCTTACTGGCTATGTATGCTATGGCATAGTATAAACATTGTCATCTATTTTTATCTTTTTCTATTGTTATAACCATTTTGTGTGTAAAGGATCGGATCACTATTTAATGCCTGGGTTTTGGTGGGGGGAGGGGAGGGGTGTTGGCCTTTAAAGCTCTACAGTATTCTTGCAAACCCCCATATTGGCAGTCAATTTCCTAAAGTATCCTTTCTATACTCTGTAAGCGACGACTAATTCCCCCCCCCCCCTCCTATTAGCCCTGAAAACTATGTGATCCTCTCCAAAATTTCCCCCCTCCCCTCCCCGACCATGGATATTTACTGTTCCCTGAGGTAAAAGAGACTACTGGAAATATAAGATAGTTCTTATACCTGGGCAACCATAGAGCTCCGTGCGCATGGAGACATGTCCATGCCATGACCGTGGAAGAATTCGGATGAAACGTGCGAAGAATGCCCTTAGTTTGTGAAAAACAATAGTGTGCCGGTCCTTGTTTCCTGCAAAATCCTAAACAAAATTGATAACCATAAGATAAAATCTCATTTATATCCTACAGCATGATACTGTTCTAAATTTACATGGTCAACCCAGCTGTATTTTAAGCCGTAGATCACGCCCGTGGCCAAGAAGACATAGGGCCTGCTAAGTGTTAAGAAGGAAATAAAGTTAGAATTCTTATTTTGTGAAAAATATGGCTTAAGTAACAAAGTGATTAACATAAATCGAAAATTTCTTTCACCTTGATTGCACTTTGTCCTGCAGCCACTGTGTAGAAGTCAAAGTTCTCTCCATCATTACCGTACTGCAGCCTGTATTTGGTGACCCACTGATTCCAGTCGTCTCTTCCCTGTGTGGCTACGCCCCTCACTGCCGTATGACTAGTGAGAAGATCGATCTGTATCCACTGGTTTTGATCATTCCTACGGGAAGACCAAGCACCTCGCAGAGGTCCGTTTCTCTTAATGTTAAGTCGGCCACGTTTGGCACCATGATTTATGTCCCACTCAGAAGAGGCAGAAAGTTGTTTGTCAGAAATTTCACCACTTTGCACGCCAAGGGGCTTGAGACATTCTGTATTTTTATTTTATTTTTTTTTGTAAATGGATACAAAAATGGTTATAACCAACATTGAAGGTCACATGTATATGTAATATTAATAAGGATGATTTAATCAGCTTGATATAAAAAAGACTATTTACTGCAATTTGATGGGAGTTGATTAATCCAAACAGGTAAAGCTTGTCTTGATTTCCGTATAATACAGCTGTTTCGAGAAAGGTTGTCGGGAACACAAAGCGAATAAGTGCGCATGACATCCCCAAAAGGTATTGTGGGTTAATTTCAGATTACGGTTCATTAATCTGGATTTCAAGGAATTCTGAAAAAAACCTTACTGTGACGACGAGGCATCACAAGTTTGATGAGTTTATTTATTCATTTATTTTTCAGTCACGAAGGAAAGAAGTTAATCGTTCGTCGCAAATTGGCCAAAAAATCAACCGTTATCCGTGAAAGAAATTAACCCTTTGACACCCAGTAGAAGTAAAGATCAATAATAAGGATGTTAAAACGCTATTATCTTACTGGAAAAGCAGCCATAAAGCTCCGCTCTCATGGAAATGTGTCCAGTCCAACTGACAGGTCGAAAACGGATAAAACGTGCCGTAATTGGTGGATTCAGATTGTAACGAACTATGGTGTTTCTGTCCGTGTTACCAGTGAATTCCTGAGTAATAATAAAAAAAAAGGCATAAACATACCTTATAAGACCATGCTGTAGAAGTCTAGTGGACTCCAAAAGGTTCACTTTCATGCGTTTTTATGGACTGGTTAAAGATATAGTTGGGCTCGGAAAATACTACGCGGCTCGCAAAACATCCCCGCGTATTAAACAAGGTGTATGCACCCACCTTGATTGCAGATTGTCCTTGCTCCTTGTAGTACTGGAAGTTCACTCCATCCACAGCATACTGCAGCCTATACTTAGTGACCCACTGGTTCCAGTCAGCCCTTCCTTGTGTGGCGATACCCGTCACTTGCGCATTTTCGTCAAAGAGATCAATCTGGAGCCACTGGTTGCCGTCATTCCTGCGAGAGGACCAAGCGCCTCGCAGGCCGCCTTGTTTTTGTACATTCAGTCTACCGCGTCTAGCACCATGGTACCAGTTCCACTCCGAAGAGGCACTGAGCTGTCCGTCAGTGATGTCACCGTTTTCGAGGCCAAGAGGTCCATCGCAATCTCCTGGATTTTTCATTTGAAAAGATGATCAAAATCATAGATACGAAATGTTACAGTGAGCTAATTCCACTTATCTGGCAAGTAGGCCAATCTCAAAATGGCCAAAAACTTCTTTACTAAACAGAGTTTTGTGTGAAATTTATATTCTTGTGCGCAACAAACGTATTTTAATAAGCAATGTTTCCCATTTGGCCCTGGTTTGAACTTCAGTGTTTTCAGTATAACTTGGCTGTTGCACCTAATTGAAAATTACAGCTACACTTTCTACGTCCCCCTAGTTATATAGATTATTCATTGCTGATCATTGAACAGCTACTTAATTATTTCTATGGCTGGATGGGTTGAGATGGGACACTTTGTGTACCTTACATTTTCATTCTTGGAGCAGAAAAAAAGCACAACTTTCAGAATAACGATAATATTGCATTACTACACCTTAGGTGATTGAAAAAAAAGACCTAATTCAGACAAGTATGTTGTGGTCTATTGTCTCTATTGTTTGAATACTTCTAAGCAGAAATGAAATGCATCGGTGCCATGCCTACTGTTGTCTCCTCCGCAACCATCGTTTGGTCTCGTCACACAACGCCATCTATTCCCAGGTGGAGAGAGACAGCATTGCGTGACGAGACCAAATAACGGTTGCGAAAGGGACTAAATTTACTGCCGTTCCTCTAACAGAGAGAAAATCAAAATTATTTGTCTACAGTTAGTTGCCTTAAAAAATATAATTCCACGTAATTTTACTTCAAAAAGCAAACTGCAAATTTGTTGTATCTCCAATAGAACCAAAGCAAAGACGTATTGCGATCTCGAATGAGTGAAGAAAAGGATATTACTTCAAAAAAGGCTCCTTAATTGGTTGTTGCCTATCTGAACTTTGCCCCCTGTGTGTGAAATACGTGATAAAATGCAGGTTGTTTGCAAGGAATTAACACGCGATTGGGCTAAGTCTACGGTAGCCAAAAGCTAATTTTATTCGTAGAAAAAGTCAAAACGCGGGAGAATTGCGTGAAAAATTCACTATCATCAGCACTGAGGACAAGGTGAATTTTTTCAGTGGGGTGGGACAATCAGGTTTGATAAAGTGATAAAATGTGGATTGCTCACAGGGTAACGACACGTGATGGAGCGAAGCAAACTGTGGCAAAATGGAATATGATTAGTAGAATACAATTCAAGCGCGCAAAAAAATTGCCTTATGTTCATGAAGTGCAATGATTGTGGAATGTTCTGATTGGACGTTGTTTTCATGGTACGTGTTGAAATGTAAGATGGAAGGGTTGGAGAATTAGTGAGTTGTGTCTCGATAAAGCTTTACCCCCTAAAATCATGTCATCCTCACCAAATTCCTCCAAAGTCTTTGGAGATTTATATAGAGGGTGGTAATGTATTTACCTTCATCTTGCTCATCTCTGAATTTTTCCTGTAACACAAAATATTTCACGTGTAAACCAAATGCGGTTTTTCCTATTTTTAAAGTTCACAGCCGGCAGTGAAAAACGCGGAAAAATTTCCGTCATGATTACCCCCAACTATTCTACAACAAAGCACTTGCCCCAAAGGTTGTCTATTGTTTTCGACGATGTTTACTTTTATCAGATAACTGTTTGCACAGTGAAGTATGAGGTTTAAAGGAAATCTTTTCAAACGCTGTTTGTGCAACACTATCCCTCATACCATGATATAGTTTTCAATAGCATAGCTGCTATGAGGAAAAAGAAGCACTGAATTGCAAATGACTGACAACTCCTATCGTTATCAATAAGAATGCAAAAAGAGTGCTGGTGCGCACTCAGTAACGCGAAAATGCGTACGAATGTTCAATTTAAGGGATCCTACCCCGGCAACGAAGAACAAAATCTGGGAAGGCGAGGAAACATAACACAATAAAGATAATTTACTAACAAGGGTAAAAACAAGTGTATACTGTTCCTCTATTGTTCCCTTAAATAAATCGTCAAACATGATTTACATAACAAGTAAAGAGTACAAATAACTGCGAGGAGCCTTTAATTATCTATTGAAATTTATTTATTCTATTCTGTGCTGTTTGTTTGAAAAAATTTTGCAAATCAAAGCTTGTTCCTCTTATTCGATGCGGTGTTATTTTTTTCTGTTACCTTCCCAGAACAAAATCAAACAATTTTCTCTTGAAATTAATTTAGTTACCTTTGCCTTGAGCATGGAATAGGAAAAAAACCGAATAACTTTTGACCATTGTAAGTGCTATAGTTTCAATTGTCGCCGTCACTCGTATTTTTCAGAATCTTTAGCACAGCAAAGCGGCAAAATGGGAAAAACTGTTTACGTGATGGATGTCTTCTGACCTTGGGAATCAATTCAATTGGGAAGACGAATATTCTAGTGATAAAAACTTTTAGAAAACGTTTATCATTACCGGAACAAATGCTGCATCCATCGTTGTTCCCAAAACAGACATCAACACGATCCATATCGTTATGTCCGTCATTTCTTCCACTCAGCTTGATTGGACAAAACAATTCTGCGCAAATGTAAGTGCTTGATTCAGTGGCCAGTAGAAGCACAACTTAACAAATGTTAGATATAATATAAAGGTACGAAAATCTGCATTTTTCTCGGCTCGATTTAAACTTGACGTCGTGGCTTATATCGTCAAATAAAAAATTTCTTATATTTACGAAATCGATGTACAGAGAACAGGTGACATGATCCTTGGTAATGGCAACTTGAAATGGGGACCTGAAAATACGAAATTATTCGAAACTTACTTTGAAATTAAAGAACGCTCACCTTTCTTGTGGAGTTCGAAGTTACCTTGGCCGCGAGAGAAATGAATATGAATACAGCCATGTGATCACAATTTTTATAGCATTTTGTTATCTTAATAGAACAAAGGGGCAAAGTGTCGCTATAAATAAACAAGGTCCCTTGGGATGAGACGTTCTTGAATGAAGCGCGCTCAAAGAGTAAACAATGGCTTTAGCTCAACTGTGAGACAAAGAGAATTATGGTTTAATCAACATTCTTTTTCCCATGGTGATACTAAGAACCAACTGTCGTTTCTCATTTTTACTCGGAAAAATTATCAGACAGATCTACATGAATAGGAACTAAAAACTGATTACGATGTTCCTTGCTGTAACGTATAGAATCAAACACGAACTAGATAAGTAATTTCACTACTTCCTTTATTAAGACATCCTACGTGACTGAGACATATTACGTCAAACTTTCCCAAGAACCAACAAACCTGCTGCTTACGTTTCATCAGCCTGTTTGATTTGATGCTTCTACCGTGATTCACAGACGAGTCTGGCTATCAAACAGCAAATATGGTCAAGCTGAACTCTGAAGAAAAAAACAAAGGTATAATAGTTACGTATACAGATTATAAATCAAAGAAACAGATAAGAAGCCAATGAAAGATGGACAAGAGGATAAACTTTTTTTGATTAAAAATCAAATACAGAACTGCCGAGGCCGCCATATATTAGAGACCGCATAGATTCCTCGATGACTGAAGAAAATCTCTTTCGTTTCTCTAAATTTCAAGTTACAATTTTTCTTTTCCTCTTTCTCCTTCATACTGTTTTTCTATTCACGCGCGGTGCGTGACTCTAATCTCTTTTTTCGTAAATGGATTTTTTTTACAATGACCACCAAAGTTTACATCTTGATGAAGGGGAGCTCACGAACTTGATTCATTCAAGCAATAACGAAAAAAAGCATTAGCCATCTATATTTTGAGTTGCAGTGGTACTACAATACTGGAACGCTACTCCTCGTATAAAAATTTTCAATTTGTATTGCCTCAATATTAGTATGCGGTTCAGAAATGCTCTTACTTGTTGATTATTTTCGCATTTTTTTATTTTCTAATTCGATAAGAAGCGAGTGATTGTAAGAGCGGATGCAACTTGACAGCTCCGTCAGTGTAAGATTCTGTTTCACCGATTTCTAGGAAGACTGGAGACAAAATTTAAAGTAATAGAGCTGTTATTCGTGCTTGCCTCAGTGGCAGTGGCAACTCAAAGAATCGAAAAAACGAAAAACAAAAAGAAGTATAATGTTGTGCGGAAAATTCATACCGAATCGATATCAAATGGAGTTAAAAAAAAAAAAGAATTATAATGTTTAAAAGTTTAAAATCACTGGTGGTATCTGTAATCTGATTGGTTCTAATTCACGAATCGCACCATTTTTGGCTTTAAATCGCATCTTTTTCGCAGCCAATGAGGAGGCTACACCAAAAACAAAACAACCAGTCAGATTTCAAGGCTTGTTTAAAGTAACCAGTCAAATTGCTGGAAAATGAAAGACAAAGAGTATCATGTGGCAAATTTTACAACTTTTGTTTCCAAAACTCTTATTTCCCCTCCCCCCAAAAAAATGGATGAATTTAATTTCAAACCGGCTCAGTACTGTATCAATGAAATATTTGAACTGACCAAGTCCTGTATTTGGGCGATTTCAAAATGGATGTAATAAGGTAATAATCAAACTTCGTGTCGAGCAATTTTTGTCTTAAGTTATACTTGTGATTTTAAATACACGCGTGTGATTTCAGCCCAAATTGTAATCCATTCAGTTCAATTACCATTATGTAGCGTGCAAAATTAACTAGCAACTCGGTGAAGGATTTTACTACTTTCTTTATTGAGATATCCCTTAATTGGAATTCTACATGACGAAACATTTCATCAAACTTCCTTAATACCAAATAAAACAGCTGCTTATGTTTCGTGGGCCTATTTGACTTGATGCTTCTACCGAGGTTCACACAAGAATCTGGGTATTAAACACCAAACATTGCCATGCTGAACTCTAAAAAAGATAAAAAAAGAAAGCATTATTACTTACGTATAAAGATAATCAATCAAAGAGTTAGTAATGGGGGCAAAGATAAATGGCCGACTGGAAAAAGTTTCGTTTAAATTTCCCCCAGGACTGCCGTAGCCGTCATATATGTGAGACCACAAGATTCCTAAACGATGAGAATACTTTCCGCCAGTTTGTGAAATAGTGGGTGAACCTACCTCAATTTAGCGATCAAAATAAGGAGCAGCCGGCGGCATTTGCAAACGTATGGCAGTGGTAACAACAAACTACCGAAACGCAAACCTTTGCTTTGCAACCTTTGTTTCTCGTGAAGAGCTCAGGTGGGGTTTCACAACATCGTTTTCCGTGGTAATCGCTCAAAACTAAAAATCTTATATTTTACTCGCATTGTAGTTAAATTCGTCCTTGAATCTTGAGGTCACGATTATAGCGTCAGTTTTCTATGCAATGTGTCACGGTCTAAGTATAAAAAACTTTCTAGATTATCATCTATTATACGTTTCACTCCTTCATATCCTTACCCCCCCCTCCGTTCCTTTTTGTTTAATTTGCGGGTCTTCAACTCCCTTAAGTGATTAACATGTAACTTCTCCCTATAACATCCACACATTATCCAGCAAACAGGTAGTGAGAATACTTAAACTTATCAGGCAGACGTTAGTAGCCTTGATCTAACACCAAATTCCCGTAACTGGTTTACAAGGAAATGTGTAGCAGCTAGAGGGGAGAATTAACAATCAGATCATGTGAGTTAAAAGGTACAAGTGTTTTCCGCCTTTAGCAATGTATGGTTTGGTTCACAACGAGCAATAAGAAGTATGCACTCTTCCCACAGATATTGTTCCACTCAGCCACAGCAGAGCTCTGTTATCTCCCCATTTATGATACTGACATCATAAATTCCCTACCGTGGTAACTGAATTTATTATCCACCACATCAATGTCGCCCTCCTTAATAAACTCAGCTAGGCCGTTTGGAGTGATGTCATGTTGAAGTCTTCAAATCGTTTTTCAGCTCTCCAGCCGTCACAAATAAATCATGGTTCGTATCAGTGGCTTTGAAATGACACAAGATTTTCTTGATATCATATATACTTTTGTAAGTCATGATTTTAGACTCCTCAGGACTGAGTTTGCCGTCAGCTGTGGAGAAAAGTATCATAGTAATTTCTGAGCTTTTCATGTAACATGTCCAATGGTCAAATTTTAATGAACAAAGTTATCTTTTTCTCTCTACAGCAGCGCAGGTTTGAACAGTTAAACAGTGAAAGTGATAAATATGAAAGCGATCTTCGCAATAATTCAGGCCTGTACGGAATTTGAACCCTTGACCTCTATGAAACCAGTGCTGTATCAGTTGAGCTAACAAGCCAACTGGAAGTAATAATTATGTTAGTTAATAATAAACCCGTGAAGTGATAGAACAATGACTGTGAATATATGAAAGTCATATTCGAGGACCACTGGTTCTTCAGTGTATTTTACTGTTTTGTGTAATCCTCGTTAAACAAAGTTGATTATTATTATTATATATGCGAACTGCAGATTAAAAACTGAATATAAAGGAGGGAGGAGTACTATTAGGAATTCTTAAAGGCAGTTTCTACCCACATTACCATATACTTACTCTATACATGCCATTTTCCAGTCTTTGCATCAATAAACTACACTCATTTTCAGACCTAGCTTGTCAGGATTTTGCTCTTTTTGTGAATCAACAATACATTTTTGATAGAGCGATCAAGCTTTGTATTGGGGTCAGTATAAAGTACTGGTAAAATTCATCAAGGAGTTAAGCTAGCTGGAAGAATATATTATATCACATTACCTCTCTTTCTCCGTTATTTCGTTTCGAACTTTAAAGGATTTATATAATCTGGTTTCCTTCAAAATCAATTCCAATTTGAGAAAAAATGGCCAAAATTTTATACCCATTTTCCACACAAAATACTACAAAGGAGCATTTAGGGACAGTATATACCTGTTTAGTTAGTTTTTTAATGTCAGCTTCAGTATTTTTTGAGGCGATCGATAACAGAAAATCTTCTTCATCTTAAAAAAAATAATCGCTCTGCGAGATTGAATTCCCTAACTTACGGACATTATTCCAAGAAGCTAAATGTTTTTCAGTTATTCTCATATACGCTCATTCTAAGATCTTCATTATAATAAAAGATCTCTTACCGTTCAGATCGAAATCTTCTACGTCACCCTTCCACTTTAAACCAAAGCTTTCCACTTCACCTCGGCTGGCAAATCCATCTCCGTTCGATGCCATGTTTTCCACCAGAGCTAAAAGGCAAAGAGCATTCGCTTATTTTTTTTTTCATTATTATTTTTTAATTTTCACTGAAGGTTTTTTAATCACCCATCAGATAAGGAATATGACTATCAAGGAGCCAGTCGATCATTACATTTTCAATTTAAGTAATAGGTCATTTTAATAGTTGAAAAAAAAAATTAACCCAATACACTTCTTTCAATCTTGTTCCCATTGGAGCCCAAGCTAAATCCAAACAGATACAATTTGGAGTTGCTACAGGGCCTTCTCATATTAGGTGAAAAAATAAAGAAATAATGAAAACCCACTAGATTCACGTGGTGTGTCATGGAATTTCCCATGAGTATCTTGTGTTTTCGAGTTTACCCATTTATTTTCACACGAAGTTAGCGCATCAAAGTAAAATGGGTTGGAATCGGCTTCCTACAGTCTGCGATCTTTAAAAAATCTTAAAAATTGTTACCTACACCAATCCTAAAAGCACAAAATATAGTGAATAAATTACAACTAAAAGTATTATGGTCACGTGCAAAAATGTATCACATGCAAGATGTGTCATGTGCCAAAATGTATCACGTATGAAATGTATCACGTGCAAAAATGCATCGCATACAAAATGTATTACGTGCAAAATATATCACATGCAAGATGTATCACTTGCATTGCAAAAATGTTATAGTCAAAAATAAAGGATAAGGTTTTCAACGTTAACATTTCGACGGGTAGATTGTGGCGCACAATGAAAAGGCTGGGTGTAATATCGTCGAATATAACGGCGTCCCTGTATTCTTATTGGCTGTATATTCTATGGCATGTTATAATTATTTTCATGTATTTCTATCTTTTTTGTTATCATTATTATCTTTTTTTGTGTGTGTAAGGGGCCCGGGTTTTGGTGGGGGGAAAGGGAGGAGGGGTGGGGGGGAGGTTCGTTGGTAGACTTTGGTTGTGTTCTCCTGATCCGCCCATAAAGCTCTGCAGTATTCCTATAATCTCCCACATTGGCAGTAAATTTTTAGGAACCCTTTCTACACTCTGTAAGCGACGACCAACCTTTCTCCTCCTTTTCCCCCTGAAAACTATGCGATCTCTCCAAAAACCACTGACCCCCCCCCGACGATAAATAATTACTGTTCCCTGAGGTAAGGGAGACTACTTTAAATTTAAGATAATTCTTCTACCTGGGCAACCATAGAACTCCATCCGCATGGAGACATGTCCATACCATGACTGTGGAAGAATTCAGATGAAGCGTGCGAAGGCTGTCCTTAGTTTATGAAAAACAATAGTGTTCTCGTCCTTGTTTCCTCTAAAATCCCAGATAAAATTGATAGCCATGAGAATAAATCTCATTTACATCCTACAGCATGGTACTGTTCTAAATTTACATGATCAATCCGTCTGTATTTAAAGCCGCATGATCACGCCCGTGGCTTAGAAGACATACGACCTCCTACACCTTAAGAAGGAAAAAAAGTTAGAATTATTATGCATTTGTGAAAAATATGGTTTTAGTAACAAAGTGATTAACATAACTTGAACATTTCTTTCACCTTGATTGCACTTTGACCTGTAGCTACAGTGTAGAATTCAAAGCTCTCTCCATCATTACCGTACTGCAGCCTATATTGGATGACCCACTGATTCCAGCCGTATCTTCCCTGTGTGGCTACGCCCCTCACTGCCGTGTAACGAGTGGGAAGATCGATCTGTATCCACTGGTTTTGATCATTCGTGCGGGAAGACCAAGCACCTTGCAGAGGGAAAAGTAAAGGCACAACTTAACAAATGTTAGATATCATATAAAGGTTAGAAAAGCTGCATTTTTATCGGCTCCATTCAAGCTTAACGTCGTGGCTAATATGGCTAAAATAAAATTACTACCATTTACGTAATCAATGTACAAAGAATAAGCAGGATAATCTTTCGTAACGGCAACTTGAAATGGGGACCCAAAAATACGACATTATTCTAAAATTACTTTGAAATAAAAGAGAACTCACCTTTCTTTTGGAATTCGAAGTGACCTTGGCCGCGAGGGAATTGAATATGAATTCAGCTATGTGATCATAATTTTGATATCATTTTTTTTCTTGATAGAACAAAGCGGCAAAGTGAATAAAAAAGGTCCCTTGGCATTAGACGACTTTGAATGAAGTGTTCTCAAAAAGTGAACAATGGCTTTAGCTCAACTGAGGAACAGAGGATATTAAGGTTTAATTAACATCCTTTTCATCATGCTGATACTAAGAACCAACGGTCGCTTCACATTTTTACGTGGAAAAAGTTATCAGACAGATCTCCATAAAAAGGAACAATAAACTGATTACGATGTTCCATGTTCTAACATATAGAATCAAACACGAACTAGATAAGTGATTTAACTACTTCCTTTATTGAGACATCCCACTATCATCACACTATGGGACTGAGACATATTTCGTCAACCTTTCCCAAGAACAAATAAAACAGTTGCTTATGTTTCGTAGGCCTATTTGACTTGATGCTTCTACTGCGGTTCACAGAAGAGTGTGGGTATCAAACACCAAACATGGCCAAGCTGAACTCTAAAGAAAAAAAAGCAAATGTTTTGATAGTTACGTATACAGATAAAAAAAATAGATAAGGAGCCAATGAAAGATGGACGAAAGGATAAACTTTTTTGATTCGAATAAAATGCAGGACTGACGAGGCCGCCACATATTTCAGACCATATAGATTCCTCGATGAGCACCGAAGTTTACATCGTGATAAAGGGGAGCTAACGAACTTAACCCATTCAAGCGGTTAAACAAAAAGCAATAGCCGTCGATATTTTGAGATGTAATGGTAATAAAATACCGAACGCCAACCGTTTCATAGTTTTTAAATCTGAACAGGTTTATCTTTCACCGACAATAATAAGTTAAGCTGAGCAAACTTTGTTTTATAAAAAAACTCAATGAAGTCTCATAATATACAGATGCATCTATTTCCATGGCATTCGTCAAAACCCTGAAAACGAATTAGGTACTGAGTTTGTAGTCGAAGTCGTCCTTGAATCTCAAGGTCTCTTTGATCGCCATGTCTCAGTTTGTGCATTAAAATCTTTCAAGATAAACACCCACAATCTGTTCCACTAAGAAACAGTTTTAGGACAGAGGTTTTTTCTCATTATTTTCTCTTTTATCTATTTTCACTCTTTCGGCCCATCCTTGACCTTTCACGTTCCCTCTTGTTTAATTTGTACGTCTTCGCGTGTTTTCTACCCTTAGGAAAATGTGTTTCGTTTTGACAACGAAGAATGCATTCTGCAAATAGATGTCGTGGAATACAATGTACTGCACAGCTGTATTATCTCCCTACTTATGATGCCGATGTGATAAATTCTATTCTCACCGTTGTAACTGAATTTATTATCCAGTTCATCAACGTCTCCCTTCTTAATAAATTCTGTAACACCATTAAGTGAGATGTCGTATTTTAAGTACTCAAATCGTTTCTTCAGCTCCCCAGCCGTCACGTACAAATCGTTGTTCGTATCAGTGGCTTCGAAATGGCACATGATTTTCTTCAAATCATATGGACTTTTGGACGTCATAATTTTGGACTCTTCCAGACTAAGTTTGCCGTCAGCTGTGAAAAAAAAAAGAAAAGAAATTCACAGTAATTTCGGAGCATTTCAATTTAGACCTCAAAGGCCAGTCACTATTTGTTTATTCCCGGGAGGGGAGGGGGACGGTGGATTTTGGCTGGGGAATCAAATGGTTTTTCCGGGGAACGGAAGGGGGGCAATCAGTCGTTACCAACAGAGTATAAGGGGGGGACTATTGAAAATTGGCTGTCAATTATCTGCCAATGAGGGGAGGGGGTGGTGGTCATAAAAATATTACAGAGTTGTCTATATGGATAGAAAGGTAATTTTAATCATGACACATCCAAAATCATCCGTTGAAATGATATTTATGTATATATTTTTTCATCATTATCATTATGACCTTTCTCTCTCCATTATTTTATTCAACTTGAAACTGCCTTCACACGTTCTTCTGATTCCCTTGAAAATCATATCCAATTCGATACCAAAATTGACAAAATCTATACCCATTTTCCGACCAAAACAGCACAAAACCATTTACTCTGGGGCAGTACATACCTATTTAGCTAGTTTAAATACTGATAACAGCAAGATTGTTTCCATACAAGAAAGGTAGAATCCCCTAGCCACCTTATAAAATCTATTCTAAAGGTAAGTTCCTCTTTGATATTCTCATTTACGTTCACTTCAAGATCTTCAACATAACAAAAGATAGAGAGATACATGGATACATGTACACTTACCGTTCAGATCGAATTGTTCCACACTACCCTTCCACTTTAAACCAAAGCTTTCCACCTCATTTTGGTTGGCAAATCCATCTCCGTTCTGGTCCATGTTTTCTACCAGAGCTAGAGAGCGAAGAGCATTCGTGAAAGTACTTGTTATTCAGTGATTCGAGTGATATATCATGAAATGTCCCACGAGTCACTTGTGTTTCCATGTTTACCTACTTGGTTCCGCTCCGCCATCGAAATGATTCAGTTCGTGATCTTAGGGAAAGCTTTAAGCGATAAAACCTCACATGCTTGAAAAATGTAGGACGTGGCTTTCAAAATTTTGGTGAGGAGATTTTACAGCACAATGAAAAGGCTCGGTGTAATATCGTCGAGTATACAACGGCGTTCCAGTATTGGACTGACCCAGGGTTAAACTATAATCGGGGTTTTTTATTCCTATGCTCAAAAAGAATTTTTTCGGTTAATTTTCTTTATTACTTTAAGGGCATCCAATCAATAAATTGCAGACTACAAGAATTACGCTGAATAAGATTTAACACCAACTCTGAGATATCTTAACCCAGCTTTGAACGACCCAGACCTGGGTGGATGAAAAGGGACTGTAATAGGTAGATTAAATTGTTTTGCCCAAGAACACGACTCATAAATATTGGCCGAACCAGTCTTTCAAGGAGCTTTCGACCCCGAGTCCAGCGCACTAACCATAACGCCATCGCTTCTCCCACATATAAAGAAGGAGAAACTACTTTTAAAAAGATGAGATGATTCGTACCTGAGCAGCCATACACCTCTATCCGCATGGAGATGTGTGAACGCCATGACCGAGGAAGAAATCGAATGAAACGTGCAAAGAATGGCTTGTTTAGTTTGTGAAAAACAATGGTGTACTTGTCTTTGTTTCCCGCAAAATCCTAAACAAAAATAATGAGCGCCGGAATAAATCTCTTATATTATACCCCTTGGTACTGTTAACATAGAAAGTAACGCATCCAAACTAGTCGATAGACACTTTATCTCCCAAATCAGTCAACCAGCAAATGCATATGGCAGTCAGCGGCCTCTCCCTACATCTTGGCATTTCGAAAAGCCGCAAGACTCTAGAATAGAATACGGTATCAACGAAAGTTTTACATACAGCTTATTTACTCTGATACTTTTCACGTTACCATGTTTCCAACAATAGCATAGCTCCATTTTTCTATAAACTTATCGCAAATAATCCACAATTCCATGATTTCCTTTGAAGAAACTAGCGCCCTAAACAACAGGTCTAGAAACTCTTCACGGTAGCCAATTTGTACAAGTATTTGCTAGAACATTGGATAGTGTTAGAGGCGCGCTTTGATTGGCTACTCAAACACGGGATATCCTTTGCCATCATCTCCGAACAATTTACGCGAGAATTGTGCCCGGAAATCTTACAATCGCTGCAGGAATTATTTTTGCACGAGTTACAACCATCTTTTGGTACAATATTTTCCACTGTTCAAGTATACACGTAAACAGCTATTAACCTCATTCTGATAGGCAAGCGGTGGATATTTACCTCGTCGACTCGGGGATCACAATAAATATCTAATACTAGCCACTACCACTTCGGCAACTTATTAAAAACTGATGTTAACTATTATTTAAGTTGATAAAACCAAATCATTTAAGAAGCTTTATAGCCTCCTCTTAAATCTTGATGACTGTGGTGACAAAGTGATTATGATAAATCTACACTTCCTTCTACCTTGGGTGCAGTCTGTCCTGGCTCCTTGTAAAATTCAAATTTCTCTCCATCATGGCTGTACTGCAGCCTGTACTTGGTGACCCACTGATCCCAGTCGCCTCTTCCTTGTGTGGCTACGGCTGTCACTCTCGTGTAATGAGTGCGAAGATCGATCTGTATCCACTGGTTTTGATCATTCCTGCGAGAAGACCATGCAGCTCGCAGCGACCCTTGTTTCGCAATGTTAAGTCGGCCACGTTTGACTCCATGGTTTCTGTCCCATTCCGAAGAGGCAGAAAGTTGTTCGTCGGAGATCTCACCGCTTTGCACACCGAGGGGTTCGATACATTTTCCTGTATTTTATGTATAAATGGTTATACACTGAATATCACTTGAATATTACTTAAAATGCAATGCATAAATTCCATAAAAAGTCGACAATCAGTACCCCCTCTCCCCCCCCCCCTCCGCTGGGTGAAGACAGGTACAATGAATTGTTTGATCTCGCATTCAGAGGTCACTAAGACAAACTTTGGGCCTGTACTTCTAGTGGTTTTGTATTGTTCAAATCATCTGTTCGTAACAAGTGCACCTCACCTCCGATCCACTGTAGGTGTTTTAATCTATTTCATAGGCTGCGTTCTGATATCGCTGTCTTACTTTGGATTGTTCATTCCATACAATGATAGAGCCAAAGGTTTAGGCATACTTAAGTGAACTTTTGCGCAAAGCACACTGGGGTCAAGCAGATCGCGCGCTTTAGACGCAAAGATTAACAAAAAGGATAAGTAGTTAAACAGTATTTTTTTACCGGCTAAGCAGCCATAAAGCTCCGCTCTCATGGAAATATGTGCAAACCAACTGACAGGTTGAAAACGGATAAAACGTGCCGTAATTGGTGGATTTAGGTCATGCCTAACCACGGTGTTTCTGTCCTTGTTACCAGTAAATTCCTGAGAAATCAGTAAAAAATAAAATGCGTTAATTTGCGCTATGGACCGTGCCTGAATATTTAAGTGGGTTGGATATAGGTCAGGTCATTTCCATACGTTTTAATGGACTGTGAAGAAGTTTGGGAAGAGTAAATGAGACATTATTGGCCTGGAATAACGTTACCTGTACATTGCAGATGTTCACGTAGAAATGATAGCGGTCTCACGGAGCCCGAGATGGCAACGTAAGTAAAATTCGCGACTCTGAACTGGTTGTTCTAGATCTATTAGTTGTGAGACAAGCTGTAAAACAAATAGTTTCGTGTAACATGGCCTATGACTGTCATATTGGATGTACTTCTACGAGTCGATTCACCTCGATCGCAGATTGTCCTTTCCTTTTGTAGAACTGAAAGTTCTTTCCGTCCTTGCTGTACTGAAGCCTGAACTTAGTGACCCACTGGTTATTGTCAGCCCTTCCTTGTGTGGCAACACCGGTCACTTTGGCGGTTTCGTCAAAGAGATCAATCTGGAGCCACTGGTTGCCGTCCCTCCTGCGAGAGGACCAAGCGCCTCGCTGGCTGCCTTCTTTTTGAATATTTAGTCTGGCGCGCCTGGGGCTATGGTTCCCGTCCCATTCCGAAGAGGCACTGAGCTGTCCGTCGGTGACATTACCCCTTTCAAGGCCAAGAGGTTCTTTGCATTCTCCTGGATTTTCAATCGATTAAGATAATTTAAACTCCATTTGCAGTAGATGAGAACTTTAACAGAAAAGTATACACATCTAGCAGTTGGCTATTTTGAAGATGCATAAATACCTTTGTCTTAAAACAGGGCCAAGACTCATACTTGGAATAATGTTTTGTTTGGTATACACTCAATTGCGAAAACGTTGACTCTTATAAAGCGTTGGCGATGAACGATGGGATCCGATAGCTTTATGAGTACAAATGCACATGATATGTTTTGTCTAGTATACACTCCATCGTAAAAACGTTGAAAAAGTGTCCGCAATGAACGGTGGCATATGTACACATATACATGATGCCACACGTAGTTGCGCACGGTAAATGATAAAAACTACTCATACTTTTTTTGAAAGAAACGAATTATCATGAACAAAGACTTGCCATGAATACTGAAAAAAATTATGCACTGATTATGAAACTGTGCGAAAATTTCCCACAAAGCGATTGGGCTCACCGTTCATGGAGGGAGCTTTCCGGGTATCAAAGTTGTTGCAATCGAATGTTCTGCTAGCAAAACGCATTGTTGAAATAAAGGATTTGCGCTCAACCTAAAATCAGCTCTTACGCCAAAATCCTTAATTACATTGACATTTCCTTGGTCATCTAAGTTGCATAAACTACTCTCACTAATCATTGATTAACCGTACTTAAAAAGTAACACAGATCCTTGAAAAGATCTAGTGAACACAGTTATGATCTTACCGTCATCTTGCACACCGCTGAATTTTACCTGTAATACAAAACATTTCATTTATGAAATACAAATTCTCTCGAGATGCCTTTTTTGTTGTTTAAATTCACGGCATACTATTCCGGAGTAAAGCACTCGTCCCAAAGTTAACCCGTTGTTATTGCCATGTTTTCTTTTCTTGTATAACTGTTTTCATAGTGGAGTATGACATTGCATGAAAATCTTGCCTAAAATGCTGTTTGTACAACACTATCCCTTATATCTGGAAATAATTTTTCTATAACCTGGTCGAATCGATGAATTATAAGAAATTGTAAATAATTGACGTAATTTCTGTCGTCAAAAATATTTTTTTGTGCTCTTTCAAAATGCATGTAAATGTTTTATTAAAATGATCCTATTCTGGTGATAGAGAAAGAAATAGTTGAGAAAAAAAATGCCTTCTACACAATCAAGGTAACTCAGTAACAAGGGTGAAGCAAGTGTACACTATTCTAGTGTAACAATCCTCTTAATGAGCCATCAAACACACTTTTCATGACAATTGAAGAGTACAAATGCCCTTGTTAATCTATTGAAACCTCTTTCATCTATGTTTGTATAGTCTTCTAAAAAAAATTTGCAAATCAAAGCCTTTTTCTCATACCTTATTCACTCTTTTAATGAACTTTTTTATGGTTACCTTCGAATTCCCAAAGCGAAAGCAAACAATTTTCTTTGAAAAGAACACAGTTAACTTTGTCTTGAGCATGGAATAAATAAAATCCGAATTTTTTTTTAGAGAATTCGAAGAGTTAGTCGCGATTGTCGCTTTCATTCGTATTTTTCAGAATCTTTAGCAAACCGAAGAGGCAGAATAAAGAAACTGTTTGCTTAATAGATATGTGCTTACGTTAGGTTCTCAATGGGATGATTGCTAAAGGTTATTTTCTTTTCGTTCCAATCAAAGAAAAAAATTCATGGTTAACTTTCTATTTCACTAACTCTTAAGATTTCTACATGGAGAATTGGTTCTAACGGGAAGACGAATTTTTGAAACTTAAAGAGCAAGAGAAGACTTGTATCATTACCGATGCTGCATCCATCGTTGTTCCCACAGCAGACATCAACAGGATCCATATCGTTATGTCCTTCATTTCTCTTAATCAGCTTGAATGGACCAAAGTTTTCCAGGCTAGGAAACCCACAACTGAACAAAATTTAAATATCAAAGAAAGCTAAAACAGATTGCATTTTTATCAGCATGATTTTAAATTTACATCAGGGCTAATATTGCGATAAGTGGAATATCTGATATTTACGTAATCCATGTACATTGAGGACCTTTAAGTTGGGACCCGAAAATGCGGAATAATTAAAAATCACTTTTAAAAAATGAACACTGACCTTTGCTGTGGAAATCGAAGTGACCTTGGCTGAGAAAGAAATGCATGTGAATAAAGCCATGTGACTACAGATTTATAGCATTTTTTCTGAATATAACAAAGAGGTTTAAATATAACTACATTTCAATATTTTTGTTTAACCAGTTCTCTTAGGGTAGATTGATTTTGAATGAAAGGTGTTCAAAAAGTAAACACCCTCTTCTTTCTTTTCAATTGCTTTAGCACTACTGTGGAACAAAGAGAATCATTGTTTACAGCAATTAGCATCCCCTCTTACTTATGGTGATAATGAGAATTGATGTTTCTGAAAAGGAACAGATTTCTTCCTCAAACAAAATGAAAAACGCATTCTAATGGCTTATTTCCTCTATCTTATCATTTTTTTCAGCTGGCGACGCTGCAACATTTAAGGTTTTCCTTTCAAATAGGAAGCACCCGTATTTGTGACAACTTTCTGGCTCAATTTCACAGAGATTGAAGCTAAATCTACAACAAATGATATATTTTGTTTTCTTAAACATATCATTTATTCTTATAATTCGAAAACATTTTGATATTCCCACTGCAATATATTTTCATCAGGCCGTTCTGTGCAATCGAACAATGTTAGCATTATTAGCTAGATATATTCTTAGTAGTTAAAACTAAATTATATGGCCTTTCTAAAGGTTTTAATTGCACTTTGCTGAAAAAAACACGCAAGTGTAAAGCAAACTGATGTGTACTGCTGTATACATTACTTGCCATGGTTTCTAACATCGTTAACGATGGTTACTTAACTAAACAATCATTAAACTAACAAAGAAAAAGTAAACACTACCAAACAAAAACTGAAAATACACTACTTACAACGCTTAACAGTATTTCTAATACTTAACTGCTAAATAAATACAAAAAATTACAGTTCTGATAATAACACAACCTTTAAAACTTTACTCAAAGCAGATGTTTTTTCGTGTGAATAAAGAGGAAAAGTTCTAAAGAAACTGTGGTACTACGTCGCTTGGGGGAGGAGTGGGTAGCACAAGATAATTTGGCTTTATCAACTAAGTCGATTATGTAAATTGTTACCGAGTTCCCAAAGCTGACGTGTCGAACGTTAGCCCTTCTTCAGAGCGAATAATGGGATTGTGGGTTGTATGTAGTTTATAAACAGAAATATAGAGATACACTTTTGGTGGGAACGAGTTGATTTGAAAAGTGTTTGAGGATACCGCGTAGTTTATCTAAAGATATATTTTTTTTCTAGAGTTTTGCAACTTTCTGAACTGCCTAGATGCGGGGAAAGGAAATATATGACAGTCTGCGTCCTTTCCCTACATCTAGGCAGTTCTAGAAACTTTCGATGGCCAATTTACATTTATCAACTCAGTTGATATAACAGAAAAATTATCTTGCATTTTCGAATGGATGAATAGCTAGAGCGAGCAGGGATCGTTGCTGACTAATATATACTTAATATTTGGTCCCAAGGGAAACAGTTAGTTTTTTTTTTCCCCGAGAGTCCTGATGTTTTCCTCGACTTCGTCTCAGGAAACATTAGGACTCGACGGAAAACAAGATTGACCAGTTTCCCGAGGGACCATACATTAAGTGCTTTCGTATATATTTAGACTTTCCCTTAAACAATCTTATGGCAAAAACATGTTGTTGTATTCGGCGCGCGGGCAACAACTGCGCAATTGTATCCCGTTCGGGATAAATTTGAATTTGATCAGGGGCACGCGACCAAGAATCAACCAATCACAATGCTCGTTTTGTTGAGTAAAAGTATATAACAATCTTTTTGTTTCCTTGCATCCGCGATTCGATAAAATCTGAGAGATTTTTTCAGTAATTGCTCTTTTGATAATTCTATTAGATATTCTCTTGATTAGATGCAATGAAATTGAATGGAAATTCCAGTAATAGCTGGGAGCTACGATTTGAATTAATAACGGGCTGAGAAACGGGATTCGGAAGCCTGAGACTTCAACTAGATTTGGACTTGTAAACTGGTGGGATACTATGGAGGGTCTTGAGTCCCATGGGTTTAAATACAAGTTGATTGAGTTCAATTTCTTTATTGTTACATCTCTTTTTTTATCAATCTAAGTCACCGAGAAGAAACAAATCAAAACATTTTTAGCCACAACAAAGTGACTGTCTGTGTGACAGTACGTTTCTCCTCAAATGTCCCGCAGAAGGCCTGGTATCAGGCGTTGAACATGGCTTTCTTGAACTCTGAAACAAATTTAAAAAAAGCAATTAAAACTTATATGTAAATGTAGGCTCAAATACCGACATTTATTCCATGACGACCACTTCACCACAACGACCAATTTCATCCGTCCCCATAATCATCCTTATCGTCTTCAACAGCATTAATCACCATAGTGATCGTTACCGCCATCACTAGTGTCATCACCCTAATCAGTACCATCATTACCACTTATTTTCGTTATGACTGTCATCGTTATTGTCAACATAATCATGGTCATCATTATTTTATCTGCATTGTCATCGTCGTCATCATATTATCATAATCTATTCATTATAAATTATCAGTTTTCATTAATAACGTAGGGTTCTCTCGCATCCGGGGAACTTCATGGCACACTCACATCGATGCTTGTCTATTTTCCCTTTACTTATGACACTGATATTTTTAATTCCCCACCGTTGTAGTTGAATTTGTTATCTGCCACATCGTCGTCTCCTTGCTGAATAAATTCAACAACTCCGTCTTGAGTAATGTCATATTTGAGATGTTCAAATCGTGTTTTCAGCTCTTCCGCCGTCACGAACAAGTCATGGTTCGTGTCAGTGGCTTTGAAATGGCATATCATCTTTTTCTTTTCTAAGTCTTTGGACATCAGTATTTTGGTCTCCTCGAGATTGAACTTACCATCATCTGTGGAGATATGTATTTTGAAACACCTTTCAAAGACAAAAAAAAAACTGGTGTTGTTCGTCATTACCACGCATTCTTAAAAATGTCTTTAGTCTGGGAAAGACGCTCGTGAAGTCATGGGCAGGGAAGCCTATCCTGATCTCTGCGGCATGAAGCAGTTAGGGATATTACTAGGCAACCCCCAACCCCCTCCCTCCCCACTTTTTCGTCTGGCTTCCCTGACAGTTTTCCAGTAACCAGTTGTATTCCTGGGTGTACCGAGGTCTACTTACAGCGGAGTGTCCTGCCCACAAATACACTTCAATTTCCTCGTAAGGCCTCGAATCCAGATCTCCTGACCCGGTGTCGAGCGTGATGACCACCGTCACCTTTCCCACAGGGAAAGAGGTATCAGAGACCAACTTTTAAATTTAGTAAAAATTTAAAAATTGTGCACTTACAGTTCAGATCGAAGTAGTCTACGTCACCCTGCCACACTAATCCAAAGTTTACTATTTCACTTTGGCTGGCAAATCCATCTCCGTTCTCGTCCAAATTTTCCAACATAGCTATAAGATAGGACATTCGATATAAGTTATGAAGGTATGTATATTCATTAAAGCGACGTTGTTTCTTAAGACCGTATTACTTTCTCTTATACAAACCCTCTTTCGACTCCAGCAGTTCGCATTTGCATGAGCGATAACAGTGTGGGAAGACCCTTAGAAAAATAAAGAATAAAATAAACTAAAAACTAATTGAGATCAATTTATACCTGAGCAGCCATAAAGTTCCACCCGCATGGAGATGTGTCCAAACCATGCCATGGGAACAAATCGGATGAAACGTGCGATAATTGGCTTTTTTAGTTTATGATAAACGATGGTGTTCTGGTCCTTGTTTCCCGCAAAATCCTGCACAAGATTAATCAATATTTGAGCTCATTAAAAACTCAATCCATTAGATCAAAGTCAAGTCTGGCAGCAGCTGGTGATTTGTTCTCTCTTTGCAACATAACAACAGATTTATTTGAGCACATGTTGTAGATAACCTTAACTGAGACAATTGCTGAGACGATTTCACGCGTTTTTTTTTTAAACTTAGGAGTGCTGTAATAAGAACTTGGAGACGTCGAACTTGCGATGCGTTAAGAACATATTATTTTAATTAGATTTTCGTGGGAGATAAAGTTGCCTACAAGTTATCGCAGTTGACTCCAAGTTGAGGAGCCTCGGTAAGAGACATGACCGGGTCATTGTTATGTATTCTCGAGTAAGGCACTTAGCTCTCACAGTGCATCTCTCCACCCAGGAGCATAAATGAGCAACGGCAAACGGTCAGGGGAACCTGGCGATGGACTAGCATTCTATACAGAGGTTATAGCAATACTTCATTTCGTTTAATGTTACAGAAACTGGGATAAGCTTGGCTTAATGAGGCCCTGAGATCCAGTACATGTCTAACCTTGTCTATAGCTTCTCCAGGCTCTTTATATGAATCGAAATTCACTCCATCCTGGCTGTGGTGCAGCTTGTATTTAGTGACCCACTCCTTCATGTCTTCACTTCCTTGTGTAGCTATGGCCGTCACTTTTGTATATTGACTCAGAAGATCAATCTGGAACCACTGATTGACATCATCTGTTTCAGCAGACCAAGCACCTCTCGACGACCACTGTCTCCAAATGTTTAGTCGTCCACGCTGTGGTCCATGGTTTGTGCCAACTTTCGAAGAAGCAGAGAGCTGTGCGTCGGAGATTTCACCACTTTCCATGCCGAGAGGGTTTGCACATGTTTGAGCTATATTTTTGATACAAATAAATACTGGGTTACTAAAACTGGTTATCTTGCGATAGGTTACAATTGTAAGCGTATAATTTTATCAAAATCTACAACACAGAGGGTACTATAGTGCTACAAAAATCGGAACTGGGCTACCTTATCGCGCGACATGTAATTCATTGATGTAAGGGTGAATAAAATGAAATATATGGTAGCGACTAGAAATTAGAAACTATTTCTATATTACCCAAGCAACCATAGAGCTCCGCTCTCATGGATATGGCCCCCTTCCAAATGAGAGGCCGAAAACGGAGGAAACGAGCCGTGATTGGTTGACTCAAATCGTGACGAACAACAGTCGATCTGTCTGTGTTACCGGTAAATACCTAAGGGAGTAACGGAAAGAAATGTATTTTAGATTATGGACCAAACCAAGATATCTTTAAAAGTGGTAAGCTTCTTAAGAAATTGTGGTACTGCGCAGGATAAATTGGTTTTATCAAGTAAGTTGACAGTGGAAATTGGTCAGCGTTAAGAGTTTCTAATCTACGTTATCAACTAAGTTGATAAAACCAAATTATCAAGTTATCATTACCCAGGCTTTTGGATTTCATTAAGCTTTCTACGTATAATAATATACTTGCTGCCTCGAGCCTCCAAGTTTGTTTAACATTAGATCTACTTACCTTTCCCTCAGTCTGTCCTGGTTCCACGTAGTCTTGAAAGTCCACTCCATCATCACTGAACTGTAACTTGTACTCTAGTACCCACTGGTTGTTGTCTTCTCGTCCTTGTGTAGCTACACCAGTCACTTTAGCATTCTCGTCAAAAAGATCAATTTGGAGCCACTGATTGACATCACTTTTCTTAGCTGACCAACCACCGTCCCTCTTTCTAGGTGTCTTCTGTTTCTTTAAATGTAACCTGGCATTGCTGGGTGCCAACTTGGCGCCAGCTTCAGAAGAAGCTGTAATTTGGCCATCAGTGATCACACCGCTTTCCAATCCCAGAGCACCACGACATTCTATGAAAAGAAGATGAAATTAAATCAATTTTCATTTGACAAAACGTGCAACGTCATGTCATTCCATGCCATGAAATTCCATGTCATGTATACCATGCCTACCATGCAATGCCAAGTGATCTCATGTTATGTACAGTAATATGATGTCACGTCATCTCATCTCATGTCATGCAATCCCATTCTGTACCATTCCATGTCATACCATGCAATATCAAGTCATGTCATAACATCCCATGCCATTCCGCATCATGCCATGTCATTGTAATTTAAAAAGTCACATCGCTTGTCGAAGCTTTACTTGAAGAATCTAACGTGTGGCAAAGGAACCATGATAAAAGGTATCGTTGCATTCAATTTTTATAGTCCCCCCAGTTTAATACCCTGTCAGCGACGACTGATTCTGTTTGCCCGGAAAACCATGTGACTCCCCCGAAAAAAAATAATTTGATACCCCCCCCCCAAAAAAATACTTCGATACTCCCTCCCCCGAAAAAAAAATATTTCGACACCGCCCTCCCCCTCAGGCGATAAGCAATGAATGATCCCTACCGAAGATTGCAGATATCGACATTAAAATAAATTGTTTTAAGGTGTACATGCCACGGTGTAATTTCATGAGACTGACTAAGAATAAGAGATTTGTCTCGCGATCGAACAACGCCACTATTTTTTTTTTTTCATAAGTCTCTGGACATGTCCGCCCAAACTGTCCCTTAGTGGTAGCCCCTATGCAGAAAAAATCGCCTACCTCCAGATTCTTCATCACTCACTCTGTAGAGATATCTCATCTGCAATGAAAAGGAATGATAAACATACTGTATAAAGTTCTGTTCCATTTGGGTTCATTGTCTCAAATTCTCAGCCTTCATTTGAAAGTGATTTTATTTAAACATTTCATTGTTGGCGGAATAGAGAAAAGCGTGGGTGGGAAGCGACTCAGAGGGGTATAACCCACGGGTCTTTGCAAAATTGTTCCGCTTAGTAACCTGAAGGATCGCCTATAGCGATGTAACGTACAGGAGGACTCTTTTTGGAACAACTGACTACCTATAAACCGTCACAAATCGTTTCAGAACACACTGGAAACGACTACAAGAGGTTCTCTTGTTACAAAAGACTACGGAAAAGATGTACTGGAACATTGTGGCGTTGGCATACACTTTCCCTTCCTCATATCTCAAAAGTAGCTTCAAAAAATTCACGACGCAAAAAGTATGACTAGATATTTTCATTTTTAATCGATCTACGTGCTTTAAACCTATGATACAAGAAATGCAAATAGGTGATCATAGTGCACGTATATCGTTACACCTCGATCGGCATAACAACTAAAATTACAGGTAGATGAGTGAAAATGTTATCAATCTTCTGAAACCCATTAATCCTTTGTGGTATCTATTTGCATTAGAAATTCTAAAATCCTCTGCCACTCTCCCTCTTCAACGTAAAGTTGTGATTTTTTTTAACAATAAGCTTCATCAAGCGAAAAAAGAAAGAAAAGGAGAAAAATATTTGACCAAATTTCGACGCTACGAACGGGAAGGTTGAACCGTTAAGAAATTGTTTCAGAAAAACAAATATTAGTACCCGAAAATTGTTTGCATTCGTCACTGTTCCAACAGCCAGTATGAACACGATCCAGATCCTAACATCTGTCATTGTTACCACTCATTCCTTATGAAAAGAATCTGCAAGATATTTTTTATTCACTGAAATCAAGGAAAACGTTCTACGTTTATTAGTCATGAAAGTGGGAGAAAGAGTCTCCAGTTAGGATTCAAACATCAACCAGTTTCGACTGTTAACACGTACAGGTGCCCCAACAACTAAATTGCAGATATTTACCACTATACAAGTCCCTTTTTGAAATAGATTACGACGAGATTTAAAGACAATTTCAGCCAAAGCTTCTGATTCAGACGAATTTAGGGAAAACCGTCTTTTTTCTATCGGATCAAATGTCGTTACTTCGGAGTCAACAAGAAGGCGAAATCTTTACGCTGGACAGTCAGAGTTCATTTTGGAGAATTCACGGGAACCATTTCTGTTACGAACACTTGAAGCTAAACTACAAAAAGGAAATGCATGGTCCTGGGATCATTTGAGCTCAATGATGACTCACCTTTCGTTTGGTAGTTGGCCAAGTTTAGAGAGAAGTGCTTGTGAGTAAAAAAAATCTCAGCTTTATAGTCTTTTTCTCTATAGATATAGCAGTGCGATCTTATCAAATCAGTAAACTTTTACCATTTTTGAATAGCTTTGTATAACGGTGTTGCAATGGACACAAGATTTTGAATGCTGACTGAAAACTGAATCAAAATTTCAACAGATTCTGAATTTTTTCTATTCAGTGACCCAGACAACGAAGTTGTGGCGGACAATGGAAATTAATGACAATAGTTTTCTATTAATCCTTTTCATTCAATCCAAGTTTTCCAAGATAAAATTCTTAGGGTTTTCAATTTATCCCTGGAACTAATTTTAACTCGAGCTACACTCAGCAGTGAGTGCTGGCCATAACCTCCAATGAAAGACTGAGAGCAAATAAATTATTAGCGCAAGTAGCATTGTCTTTATGATTTTTTTTGCTTTGTTCTTTTTTTTTTTTTGTCTTTGTTTTTTTTTTTTTTTTTTCGTAGTAAGAAACAGAGATTAAGAGAGATGAAATCGTCATGACATGCATTACAATAGAAAAAAAAAATTCCTGCTTTGAAGGGTAGGTAGGGCCAATTAATTATACATTTTTTAGTCAACTAGCAGATTTTGATCTTTAAAATTGTATGGCATCTTAGAAACTATTGGAAAAAAATTTGTCCGATGAAATTGTTGAGGATAGTCGGATTTCAAACATGAAGTAGAATCCTAATTACCATTCTTTGTAATGATAAGTTACTGAAATTAAGTCTGCTAATTTTTCTCCTGATAAAATAGAAGCAACAGAAGCCATGCTCACACGGTACCTTTTCCAAGTGCGGTCAATTTGATAATTATGTAAGACAAGTGAGTATACATCCCCCTTTCGTATTTATTAATAACTTGCCACGGTTGACCTTGACCAAACGATGTTCAAAACTTACCATTTCACGAGCGATGTTATATCACAACTAAGTGAAACAGTCCAGCTGCATTTTTTTTTCTTTTTTTGCGGTTGCGCTCTCTGCAGGTTGACACCCTCGCTATTGTGTTGTTAAAAAATCAAGATATTACGTCATTAAGTGATAGATATCACTCTACATCTTTCGACGCATGCACATATTTTGCCCAATTAAAGGATGAGAAGGAAAGTGTTGAAAGAGTACATCTCTTTCAATTATACTTGAATATTCAAACGCTAAAAAGAAAATTTTTTAGGACAGTTCATACCAGCAACGAATCCAAATAAAAATTCCTCTGTCGGCATACTTTACATGGTGTCATTGAGCTTAGGGTTATTTCAGCAGCCGACAAGACGAAACTTAAATCGTGTTTGTAATATTCTCCAGTATATTCGGATGATTATTTCCTCGCTGAAAATTGTGTAGTATTGCAAAGAACGTGTAGTGTGAAAATTTTGCTGATATTAAAATTTTTGGACTCATCGGATTGTCCATGATTCGCGAAAAAAAGGTCTCCTGGCTAACCCCAACGTCTGTATGCACTTTCTCCAAACGCTCCCTCTACATTCCCAATGGTGCTGACAAAAAGAATTTGTTTATGAATCGGGAGCTCATAAATTGCCGACCATTTTCATAATTCTCACGACCATTACATTTGGTTCTAGAGTGATACTGTAAAGAGAAATTAGGAGCCGGTCACTCTTGGGGAGAAAAGGGTTATGAAAATTGTTTCCAGTGAAATTTCACCAGAATATAAATAAAACGTTCAATTAATCACTGTTCTGTGGCTTGAATACAACATCGCAAAATTTAGTTCATAGTAGAAATTTTGGTCATTGCTTATTTATATGTGCAAGACTTACTTAACCGCAATTCGTAAAATATAACTCCTTCAAAAAATCGATGCGACTACGATACTTTTCTAGTTTGAAGATTAGTCATTTTTCTTGTGATCACGGACGCCATTTTGGACTGTATAGAGAAATATTTATTCCAAGGGATTCTAAGGAAATTTATCATCGCCAAGATCCTGCATTATCTTTCAATTTCATTGAAAGGGGAGCCTGGCAACGATGCGAGGAGTTTCTGTAGCCGGCTACAGATTACCCGACTTTCTTGAATCGCACATTAGAGGCTATAAACCTAAGACTTAAAAGATCCTTCCATTTTCCACTGGTTGAGCAGGGGGAGTGGCTGGGTTCACTCAGCCTTAGTAAAAAAAATACTCAGTAGGTTTTGAAACATTTAATACCGAATTTTCAACATTAAAAAAATATTTTTACCTTCTCCGAATATTTTTCTTTGTTTATCATTTATTTTTAGGATTTGTTTATTTATTATCCAGTAAGCTTCTAAAATCATCTACATGCAGTTTGAAAGTGTTTTTGGCATTTCTCTGCTTTGTTTATTTGTCTTCTAAGTCTTCCTTCTCACTGCCATACTCAGTGTTAAAGGACAAAACTGTCGCCTTGTATCTGGTAAAAAGAGGTTATAACTATAACGTGTTACTTCAGATCAAATGAGTTTTCATGGTGACTCGAGTTGAAATGCGATAAGAAGCGCGTTGCCTCCGAGTTTGAGTGTCATTAAAGATGTAATTGTTAATGGTGAAGAGAACTGAGATACATTCTTGCTAGAGAGTTAATGTGTTTCCCAACAATTTACAAATCATACCAAAAACAAAAATCAAGCCTAGAAAAAAACTTTTTCTTCGTCGGGTCTTTAGGGTTTAAAGTACACATTTAAGATACTGCCCTTTTCTGTGACAAGTGGCCAAGCACCAAAAGTACCATCGGGAAAGAAAAGACAGAAGATTTCTCCGCCCTTTTTTCTGCAAAAATCTATGCAAAAGGGCAGAGAAATTATCTCTGTGGTATGTCTACCACTAAGTAGAATTTGCTACAAAGAGCCACATGGGAAGAAAAAAATAAATTTGTAATCTGACATTTTAATGCATTTTCCACAGCCTGGCGGTGGTGATATCTACACTGAAAAGAGAAGATGGATTTTTCTTATCGGATTATTAAAAAAGAGAGCTTTTAAGTAATTTTTTACTCCGGTAAGGAGAATAGTCCATTTCATGGGCCGTTTTGAAATTTCGTTTCAATGCGCCACCAGCTCTGTTATTGGCAGATTTGTTCATTTTCTAAAGGATATGAGGATAAAACATAAAAAAGACTTCCTAAAGTTTCTAAATGTCAATTTTCTAAGCATTAGGGTCTTATTTTGCAGATGTCACACTGGACATAGTAAATATGCAGTGCTCGATTGCTAACAGGTAATTAGGCGATTTAAGTGAAGGTAGCCAATTTTTTTTTCGATTAACACTCAAAGCTATACCCGATTAACAAACTGATCGATAAAGGCAAAGTGGGACCCTTAACGAGTATTATTGAAAGGAGGCCGCAAATTACCTGTTTCTAAAGAGATGATTACCCAATTAAACTTAAAGAGGGCAAGTTTCCGAAAAAAACTGTGGTCCTGCGCCGGAGAGATTATTCAATTAAGATAATCATGGTCTTATCATCTGTAAGTATTAGCCATCTTAAAGAGTTTCTGTTGCTGACGTCTCGAGCGTTAGCATTTCGACAGAGAAAAAGAAAAAGGCCAACGCTCGAAATGTCGCCACTACAAACTTTTCATGACAGCCTATTTTAATCATGAACTCAGTTGATAAAACCAAATTTCCTCGTAAATAGAACTTTATTATAATTTACATTTTCATTTGTAAATAACCTCTAATTTTTACTATCTATTTAATTAAAAACCTCGTGGCTTTTAATGTCTTTAATTACAAATTCAAACTTAAGAGTAGTGTTTCAATGTTTCAAGAGGGCGTTGTTCGAGCGGCGAGGATTTTCAAGCCTTACGTTTCCAGAGATGGCACTTACAGGGTACCGAATACTTCGAGAGAACCCTTCAAACTAATCAATTATTTTTGCTTAAGCGGCAGAATATTTTTAGATAAATAACAACTTGCGTGTAATTCTGTACATATGAACTCGTTTCTACGCTTCGCGTAACCACGAGTTAAAAATGAGATACAAGTTTAATCACAGAAAACGCTAAATTATGACCTCTTTGCCAGATAATTATAAACATTTTTACACTACGTAAAAATATTTTTGAGTGTCCACTGCGTGTTAGAAGTCATTTTATGGGTTAATGAGAAAAATTCAATCTCTTCTTTGGGACGATGCAACTCATCATGCCAGTTAAATTCTAGTTCTCAAAAGTGGAGAATGTTCAGTTGACCTAATCACACTTAATTTGCATGAGAGTAAAAGGGTATGACTGTTTTGTTAAAGCGAGTCAAATCAAATTTTCATTTCATTTAAGCATGAGAGGTGAAAGAAAATCAGGAGAAATTACGATAATTGCCGATATTTTCCTAGGTGGGCGGTAGAATTCTAAGGATGTGATATCAAAGATTCTTGCGTAAATAGTAAAATAAATAGTTAGATATTTTTTGTAATCGTGTTTTTCTATGTCACTGAATCCCATCGAAGAGTATAAGTCATTAAATCAACAGTAATGGCAGAACCATGCTAACTCGAGCTCTCGAGAGAAAAAAAGAAAATGGTTGTAGTTAGCAGGGATGCGAGTTACCGAAATTGGTGTTGAATATCAATTATAATATTAATAATTAATAGAGAATCATATTTTTAACCATTCTTGCACAATCAACAGTCATTTTCGTACATATAGTTTGTATTATAATACCTATTAGATAAGGACATTTAGTTTGGTTGAGCTAAGAATATTACTTTTTCGTTAATGTTATAGGATTCGTATCAACAGCGATTAAACATTGGACGTGCCAATATGCTACGTTCTGACACCTTGACGTTTATCGACCAAAGTTTTGAGTAAAAATTTTTAGTTATCGGGGTAAATTAGTGCCGAGAGAAAGTAAAATTAGTTCCAGTAAACAGGGAGTTAGAGTTAGCTGATAGTTAATGACTGAAAACTGGCTTCAAATCCAAGGGAAGTCGGATCTTGTTCGAGTTAGTGGGAAGTCCGAGTTCACTGAGGTTAACAAAGTTAGCTAGGTTCTACTCTACGTGTGTCACACGGTCGCAGTGGAAAAGATCCTTTTATTGCAAGGAATTTTGTCATCTCTACCTGCCTCAATTTTAGGCTTTTAAGTGCTTATTTTCAGATTACTAGTGCCTTCCGGAAGGATTTGTTTTTCCTAGATCTTACGCAGAGACAAAAAGTTGTCAGCTCTTAATCTGGGGAAAAAAAGAAGTACTAGAAGGAAACGCAGTGGCAGTCATTGCAGAAAACGATGTATGCCCGCTTTTCTAAATACTCGTTCCCAAGCTTATTTTTCTTCCTTCTCTTTTGATGTTTTTTTTTCTTTTTCTTTCTTCACGTCTATTTTACAGTTTGGTAAATGACAACGTTTTATATTCTGAGATAGAACTAAACGGCTCCGTAAATCGCAATGCTGCATTAAACGAACCAAAAATTGAAACCAAACGTGAATTATTTTTTTACCTTTATTGATAGAAGTATATAATCTGTAACATGTACAATTTTCATAAGTATCGTTACAAATTAATCTGGGATAAATCTCCAATTCAAATTAAGATACGCATGTAAGTTTCTGTTATGGAAGATCCATCATCATCGCTCATCTGACTGAACATCGTCAAATAAGTTTCGTTTTTCGTGAAGCAGTTTTGATAATCGCATCAGCTTATTTCGTCTGTACTCGTTCAAAGGGACTGGGTTATCATCGGCCAATGAGGCCTGAGGATTCTCCAACTCCTGGAAGAAAAACAACAAAAGTCAGAGATCAGGCGACCGCAAACGTTTATCTCAATCCTTATGTAAATATTAGTTCAAACCAGGCTGAAGAAAATAATTTTTTTCGTTTGCTGTTTTAGGTATAAGTTAATCTTTGCCCTGTCTAATATTCTAGTAGAGCGATGGCATAGTAGATCAACCGTGTTTACAATTTTCAGTAAAAAAAATGGCGTATTATTTAGTTAGGGCGAACTGGATGGGTGAGCTACTAGCTCAGAAATTGTGAAGACTAGAAGAATCACGCATCTACAACAGTTAAAAAGAGCCTTAAAAACTCTACTTTCGTCATGTGACATACCTCACGCTTACACGTCATGAACATGCATATATATCTTCCGCTCTGAGCTTCACATCGACTTGAGAACTCTAATATCACAGACAGAACTAAAAGAGCAAAGAACAACCTAGACACCATGTTTGGATCTGTTGTCACCTCGGGGAAATCTTCGCTTTTGCCTTCACACGAGCTTTGCACGGTTTTATTTATGTGTGAGTCATAAAAAGCGGTGGCGCCAACGATCGTTAATTCAACCAGTCATTGATTAGGACTCGTGGCGGAGACACCTGCTGATGCATATTATAATCGTGATCGACTCATTATTACTGTTGATTACAAGCATTACGTCATAAAAGGCCGATACCACACAATATTTTAAAATACTGCCGTGGTCCCCTAAAGGCGAAAGGTGCATTAGAAATTAGAGGTGTTACTTATGATCAGCCGGAAGGCATCGTGAGAAAATTATAATTACCAACTGCAACAAGACAATAGACTTGTGAATCTTCCTGTTGGCAACAGTAGTACCGAATTTCTGTCCACCGGTAGAAATTAACTTGAAACCATGGAAAGTGTCAAATTTAGTATGTTGATTTCGTTTCATTTATCCTACTTATATTTTTAATGGCTCAGAAGTGCCAAATGTTTGAAAACTAGGCTTCAGTAAAGAATTCTTAAGGATTCCCTATAGTTTAGTTAATAGAAGCTGCCTTCAAAGAGCCATTAAAGATCATCTTGAATAATAAATGAAGAGACTTCTTGATTAACTGATTAAGCCGGTGAAAAATCGAGCCTTTAAGCTCAATTTCGAGTGTTGAACAATTACCGCAGATCTTTCTTAAAGCTTATTAGCTCGATAAACCCCGGCGAGGAAACAATCTTCTCGGTAGAACGGGTAATTTAGTGTTGACAACTGGGTTGAAAACGTAAATTAGCCACCGTAGAGGGTAAAAAAGCTGACGTTTCGAGCGTTAGCCCTTCGTATCGCTCTGACGAAGGGCTAACGCTCGAAACGTCAGCTTTTTTACCCTCTACGGTGGCTAATTTACATTTTCAACCCAGTTGTTAACACTAAATTACCTGCTATACTCTCCCACCGACGCAGCATCACAGTTTCTTTAGAAACTTACCCCTTTATTCTTGGTAGAACGTGCTGGCGTTTTAATTAGGACTATAAATGGCTCCGAAATAAAACTCTCTTATCTGCTTTGAAGTTTATTATTAACAAAACTGGGTGTGATTAAGTTTATGCTGTGTCCAACCTTTAGTGTGTTGCTGAATCAGTTGCTACTGAACCTATTTCTTAAGAATGCTGTGCGAGTCCACCTCTCTTAAATGTATACACATGCTAATCGATGGCAGCTATCACTTCTAAATGTGTTATGAATTTTGATGAAGCGGGCATTTTTTTATAACCAAATGACACCGGCCGGGTGAAATACAATTGATTCATCATTTTCATGAAGGGAAAATGCTAGTGAATATATTTCCCTCTTTTTTGACATAAGTATAGAATAGAATTTAACTAATTTGAACCTTACCTTATTGGAGCGAGCATTTTAGAAGTAGGGAGTAATTGTCTCTTATTTTTTTTTTGGTAAATATAAATGAAAAGCTGTAGAATATTCAAAAATATGAGTGGTTCAGTCAGCACCTGCAGACGTTATTCCATCACCTTCTCTACAAAGAGGTAAAATTATTTTCTCTTGCATGCGGAGTAAATTTTATTTTGCCTCTATCGGTTGTCTTTGGAATAAGCGCAAGTTGAAAATGGGAAAATTACGAGAGCTCGATTTTTGTTGTCTCCATGACGACCCGAGCTTTAATGCTTAAAGGTTAAGACCGTTCTAGAAGCTGAGCTACATTAAATATTTCATTTTCCAGAAAGCGCTACACGAAGAATCTTTTTCTTGGATCAAATTGTTTATAATTCGGTTCTTTCCGAATAAGCTGTGCCTGAATTTCTCTGTCAACTACTCTTTTAATGGTATTACTGTTGCTCTACACATCTTCCAGCTCCAAACATGCTAAATCTTTTATATTTTTTTCTGGAACGAAAAAAACTTCGTTCATTTCTTCGAAGATCTTCGAAAGTAATGACAATCTTTGTTAGTCATTTGCAATAAATTCACCTGTCTAAGAGTCCAAAGAAATTTGAATAAAGTAATCAGCAAGCATTTATTCCTCTTGAAGTTTTCTCAAAGATGACTTCTTAGAGAGAGTTAATTGGTTCAAGTTAAATTTTCCAAACTTGAGGATGTCCTACGAGAAATGAAATAAATGTATTTTTTTCCTCTTTATTCATTTTTGAGACTTGTTTACCAGCTTGATGTGTCTTAAATTTAGCTTTAAATTATACAGAGTCTTCGTTAACGAGCGGCACGGTTCCTTTTCTTTTGACAAGATTGGTACAACATGGCTATTCCTCATTCAGCATGACATCATCAACAAAGCGGTTTCGTTTGTTTCGCAGGAATTCTTCTAAACGCGACAACTTGTTTCGTCTGTACTCGTTTAGAGGGATCTGCGGTGAAAGATCCGGGTCATCTCGTATCTGTAAAGAAAGAGAATCATGAAGAAGCCTCCAAAGATGCGATTTCTCGCAGGAACTCCCACACTCATAGTAAGACGAAAAAATATCTTTCTAAATTTATAACGATGCATATAATTTACTATTTTCCTCATTCTATTTGTTTACACAAAGCTCTCAACATTGCTGATCTTAGAATATGTAGGACGCGTGAACCTTGTAATGGCCTAGCTCCACACCGCACAGGCTCTGGATATAGAGCACTGTAGCGCAGATCCCGAAGGTCATAAGTTCGATTTTTGATGGGGGCTTAGAATTGTTTCTTTGTACCACAATTGTGACAAAATGAAAAAACATCTGACATAAGCCTACAGTATGTCGAATGCTATGTAAGTGGAGTTACTGCAACTGAGAAGATTCCTTTCAAAAGAAATCTTCCATTCTTCCAAAAGACATCTGTTAAAAGCCTACAATACTACAAGTGGAGTTACTGTAACTTAGGAAAGTCCTTTTACTAGGATTCTCCAATTCTAGAGCGCAATTATTAAATGTTTTCCATTACTTTCTGTGCAGACCTTGACCTTTTTTTATCGGTTGCTTTTTATTTTCTTTTCGATTGGAGAAAAGTGTCAAACATTGCTAGTTTCTGGGATTTTTCTGAGAATTACCGTCTACAAATGTCTAAAACCTTGAGAATTGAATAGCTTTAGCACTCGATTTGGTCGATTACACTTACCCCATTTATGTTGCACTTTTTAGGGCTCATTATACACCCATAATCTTGGGCCTGAGATACGCCCGAGAATCCAAGCAAAGCGAACAGGAAAACAAGCAGCGTAAACACCTTGAAGGTCATCGTTACGATCATCAGATCACGAGCGAGAAAAATGTCTGACTGTGATAATAGGGCTCAGCTGGCATTTTATCCAGTCGCCTCGGTGATATTTTTGGCAGTTTATTCAGATCAGTCAAAGGCGCCTACGACAAGGACTTAATTACGGAAAAGTTGGTAGTTCGCGTCTACTTGTCAAATTGTGCAAATATTTGAACGCAAGCATAAAGTTACGAACACGGTAATTTTCTCTCAGCCGCCAAAACAATCATTTATACACTTTTTTCACGAAAAATCTCATTAACTGCCGCTGAAATAACTGAAATAAAGTCATGATGTTCCATCGGGTAGAAACTGCTTCACTGGAAATATAATGGCCTTAGTAAAAATTGCCTACCTCTCCTTTACCCGGTGGGCAGTAGTAGAAAACACACTCAAATCCTTGGGCCTTGCACAAGCCTGAGTTCTCCAACATTACTGACAGGACTAGAAACGCAACAAGAATCCTAAAAGCCATTGTTACAGATCAGAATTGGAGCTTCCGAGATCGATCAAGGAATTCTTCAACCCTCTGAAATGACTCTTGCAAACGCAAACACTTGGACTTTGATGAGGTGGATCAATGCACCTGTACCTCTTGGTGTTTTATTCACCACGTATATTTTTTAAATGCTTTTTAATGTTAAAGTGGATGCCATCATTGTGTTATCCAGAGAATAAAAGATAATAAGTTATAATATATTTGTAGATGAGTCAAGTTAAGTACTTTTACAGCATGGAATAGATTTATAGCATTTGTTTTGGTCCCTGGAGAATAACGGACAGCTAACGTCATCTTTTTCCTCAATTATATTTAGCTTTAACTCTGGGTTTGGCCTCGAAATGTAAATAGAGCCAATAGAATCTTAACAGTCTTTTTTGTCCGCCTCGACGACTCTTTGTCGCCTCAGGCGGTCGTCATTAGCCTTCAACCCTAGTTAATGTCTTTTTAAAAATGCCGTGAAATTTGATGCGAGTACTAATCGATTCTTGAAACCACTTTTAATTTAAGGGGGCCGGAAAGAGTATTTATCATTTCTCTTAATATTTGTTAAACAAGCAAAAATTGGACGATAACCGCAGGGTCAAAGGCAAAAACCGTTTCCTCTTTAAAAACGTCTAATAACGGTCTCCAGTTGCACTTCAGATGCTTTAAACGAGGTTAAACATGAAGCTTCCACAACGGCTGCCGAGAAGTTGAGAGTGAAATTTCAACAAATGCATTGACATGACTGATTACTGTTACAGCTTTTCTACGGACAGGAGAGCTGTTTTAAAAAGATGCATAATATGTAAATTGGTCTTTCTTTTTTGTTTTTAATTTAGTAGGTAATTATGTAGTCAAAGTAAGAAATAAAGCTAACTTCCGATAGAAAATTGAACCTTTAAATTGCAGGAGTTTGAGGAGGCCTATTGTAGAATGATAAATCGTTTTTGTTGAACACGAAGCACGCTCAAAACATTAAAGTTATTGCTGTTTACAGAACAGGTTTTAATTTATAACATTTTTCATTTTTGATGGCGTCGAGCTCAAATACATCCTAGTGACATTTCATATGCTTTGATAAAAAGAGTTCAGTGAGCGCCAATTTTTCCAACTCAACCCACGGGATACTCATTCTTTTTACTTCTTTTTAGTATGTCACTTTTTGTATCGTAATCTTTAATTCAGACTTGCATTTGTTATTTTTCGATTTGATGAATACTTTTATAGCGAGCATGAATGATAATACACCTTATTTGATGGTTTAACGCATAATAAGCGCAACAATTTTTTTTTCTTGTCCCTTCCAGGCGCAAAGAATAAATAGCGTTCGTATTTAATGTTGAAAACATCGAGTGAGGGATTTATTCTTTTTTATTCATATTTTTTTAATATTCAGGCTTCTGGTTTTTAAAATACCTTCTACAGCTTTTTCGAAAATCGTATTAATGACATAAGCAACCTAATTTTTACCTATTATGGTAAAATAGCGCAACAATGGAATACTAGATGATAACAATGAATTCGTTCACGAGAGGGCGGCACCGGAAATGAATATTTTCCAAACGGGAGGATCATTTTATTCTGTAGCTCGAAACAAGAGAATGATGACGAAAAAGCTCAGGGTAATCGACCCATGATTTTTTCTCAGACTGATGTCTAGATTCTCATATTGCAGATTCCTCTTTGAATATTTCAGTAAAAGAAATGTTGAATGCGTTTCATTTATGATCTGAATCTTTCAGTTGTTGTCAAGATATACTATATCTATCTTATTTTTGATGTGTGGTCAGAAATTTCCATGACGTTGAGGAAATTGAAAAATCCTTAATGATTCTCTTTTTTGTCTTGGGTAAATGACTGATGGTATATTTAATATTGATAGACTAACAGTAGTGACTGAGAAAATGTTTATGAACATGGACATGACAGCACTTTTATCAATATTGTAGCTTTAACTCCTGGCGTTGTAGCTGAATCCAGTCGTGTTTTCGTTCAAAAATGGAAATATATGATAAATGCTAGTTTTCAAAATGAAACGGTGAAACTCCATTGGAAGTGAATCTTTATAAAGGGCGTTTGTTTGCAAGTAACCTGTAATGGACCCAATTCGCCCTGCTAAACCATAGTATATCATGATCACTCTAGCACATCTCTTTGAATTTTTTGCTATCTGTTTGCTAAAAGTTATATTTTTTGCAGTACATGTTCATATATATTGATGTTTCTCTAGTATACAACCTAGACGGTGGTTTTCATTAATTAAAAAATTCGCATCCAAAAATTCTTGGTTTTCCTATGAATGACGTAAATGGTGAAGTAAAGTATTTAACTTACATGACATTTGGAGTATTTTTGAAAGTTTTTGAAAGCGAGTGAAAATTGTGCATCTTTTGATTATGATAAATAACCTATGGAACCATTAAGGAAGCAGAAGAATTTCGGTTTTTCCTTCATAGTTTTCCTTCAAGATTTTCCCATGAATGAAATGATTGGTGAGGTAATGTACGTAACGTAGCAAAATTTAGAATAGTTTTGAAAGTTTTTTTTTTATACAGCGTGAGAAATTTTTCATCTTTTCATTGAGATTAATGATTCATGTAGTTATTTAGAAAGCAAAAAATTTTTGGTTTTTCCTTTTAAAATACCAACATGAAAATTAATCGACCCGAGTCGTTTACGTGTAATTTGCCTGAGAAGCACCCATTATCACATTTTTACGCACAAGGAAAGATTTTCATTTGGGAAAATGAAAGTAACATGATATTTCTAAAACCTTGCTTGCTGAATCCCGATGCTAATATGTTGCCTCTGGTCTATAGGGGCTAATCGACATCATCATGAACTCATCGGGCATTTGTCATGAAGGAATTTGTTTTCGTGTCCAAAGCATGACATGTGGAATGAAAACCATAATCGAGGGTAAACGTGGTAGACATCTGTTTGTCTCAGTTTACGGTTCCCCTTACAATTCAAAAACAATGGCAGTCTACTTTACCCCAAGAGAGCCTGTTTCTTAATTAAAAAGGAAAAAGGAGGTTCATCGGAAAAATAAAAGAAAAAAACTTGTTTCCATTTTGAATATATTTGAGGATGTTTTGATGAACGGTTTGCGCTGATCGCTAAATTACAAATTCATGAATGTGTTAAGAGTTGTGCTAGGATATAAATGTTGTTTAAATAATATCTCTAATCTCAACTGAGCTGGAATCTGAGTCAGCGCTAATTTCTTATTTTCTCTAGCTGATTCACAAAACCTCAATAGACATTTGATGTTATACAGCACCTTTCCACAAATCATTTGCGTTGAAAGATCAAAAATAAATTTTGCCTGCGGCAAACATTTTAAGTGGTATCTTCCTAGACTCTAATGCAAATATTAACACTCGAGTAAATTTTGAGAGCATCCTTACAGTTCAATCATTTATATTTTAATAATGATAATCGTGACTCAGCGAGTTTGTAGTTTGTTTGCATAGTATACGTTAAAGTTGAATTCGGGCTTTGATGCACTGCAACAAAAATAAAACGATGCTAACGTTTTTGGTCGTAAACCTCTGTTTCATGACATAGAATGGCGCCCTTCTATGCTAGACACACAGCGAATATGACCTTGAGTACAAAGTTCTTGAGAATGAATGTCAAATAAATACGTTTGTCTCTAAGACACGAAAAACACCCGGTTATCGTGTTTAATTGCTTCACCTGTCGTCATTAGCAAGTTCACAAAAAACGAGTGGAAATAATCTTTGTGCTTATATTATACTACTGCTCTCTAAATATGTTATATTTTATAAAATATCCGTTAAAATCTCATTATTCTAGAGAATTCCTGCAGGAACTAAGTGAGGATTTTCCAAAGACAAAAATTTGCACCATTAACGTAATGGCACATTCGTTTGTAATTTCATTATCTAATAATCATTCATGCACCGAAGTGCAGTTGAATAGAGGTGGATATTTATAAAACCACAGAGCGGCAAGGTAAATATCCACCACTTTCAACGACACTGAGGTGAATAATTGTTTTAGTGGATACCACACAGATACCAAGAATTAGTTTATTTCTTTCAATGAACCGAAAAAAGGTTCGGAAATTCAACTCTTGTCCTGTTATTTTGTCTCATCAGCTAATCGGAGCTGTATAGTACTTGCTTTTCGCTTCCGAACTCGACAATCAGCGCTAAAAGCATTATTCACTTGTGTGGTATATACTTAAAGTGCATATTGTACAACTTGAGGCGTAGTCCTTCCCAGGGTTTTGATATTTTGGTAAGGCCGAATAAAATTCTATGAGGTGTTGCGTGAAACATTTATAAATGAGACGGTGCATGGCAAAATTCACGTAACGATATGAGGAAATTTCCACGTCTGTGGCCGTTCTCAGCAGGAGATATATATATTTGTACGTGAATATCTGTGAGAATGATACTATGGTCGAGCCTCTATTAAGCGGTCACCCATTGTAATGGTGGTTGACCACTAAATACAGGTTCCTCTAGCTGGGGGCAACATAAAAACAAAAAAAATATTTTGCCATAACTGATCGCATAAAGTACAAAAACTCGCTTAAAACTACCACTTGATATTAACAACCAAATTGGCAATTGCATTTTAATTTTTTGTTTTCGTTTTTCATGCTGTTTCTTTGTTAGTTTTTTTT